ACAGTCAAAATGTCAAGCCGACAAGGATAAATGCCAAGAAGTGATCTATCGAACTTGGCCGGGTGCATTCAAAACGCAGCCGACGGTCAGGGGTTTACGCTTACCGTATTTCTCATGGAGACGACCAATTTGAAAGGTGAACTGTCCGCAGCAGATGGTATCCCAGTAGAACTCGTACAGATGGGTCAACGCAGCGAGTTTGGGTCCGGGGAAACGGGCAATGGGAGACAGATACAGCCGGTCGAGGACCACCCAGAGCAGATAGACTGCCCCGAGAGCGACGGCCGAAGACACCGGGTGCGAAAGCAGGAGACGTAGCAGTTCCATTGTTGACAGGGAGTCAATTGCAGCTGTGGTTCATGCAGAAGGGAAACTCCAGCTCACCAGAACCATGGTGCCGGGTCGGGTTGGCCGTCCACAGGTTTTAAAAAAAGTTGAGGAGTGCCATTCACTCGGGCTCTGGCCAGTGCTCTGACCCATCAGACTGACCGGGGGGGAAACGAACAGTGCATGCGAATTCAGCTTGAGTTTCCATGTTGTATTGGCTTTTGGTGGGCGTCTCATTCTGTCTACTCCGTAGAAGGGAGGCAACGAGTGGAGACTGAAAATCCAGTAAGACAGCCACGCATTTACTTCCAATGATGAGAAGTGGGAAACTCATCCAAGGTTTTCCAGGCTCCCTAAAAGACCCAGGTGCAGACTGTGAAGGATGCCCGTGCTTTTCTTCACGGCAGACGGGCAACCGGATGGAGACTCCGGGAAACATTGCAGCCATAGTGGATTCCTGGAGCCAGTCAGAAGCCAGGTATGCGTTGGCTCGGGACCCAGTGCAGTGAAGGATTGCCCCATTGGCAAAACAATAGCTTTATCCCCGGCTGCTAACAGACGCTAGCGAGGTTAGACTCTCTGCCTTTTCCTGGTCTGTGTGGCTCTAGCCTTTTTGTTAGGGCGTGATAGGCGTGGACGTTGTAGGGAATCCATGGCCGGAGCCATCATAACCGTTCTGTCGGGTCAAACGGGATGATTGACATGGTTGAAATATGTACGTTTGCAGCCTGCATAAAAAAAGAACCAACAAACACGCTTAGTATCTTTCATCACCTTTGGTTATGAACATTATTAATTACGAAGAGCATCCGGATGACCCGCGTCTCGACCCACTGATCCGTCGCGTTGCTTTCCCGTTCTGGGCTGGGCTGAACTTCTCTGGGGGCTGGCCGCTGCCTTCGTACTTCTGATCCTTCTGATTTTGCCTGGGTTTGATTGGCCGTCCGCCTCATGGCATGATGATGGTGTAAACTTGTCTTCCCGGTTCATGCTGCCATGCTCCTGGAAGGTCTCCGTTCCCGTTCAGTACCATAAACCATATCCACAGTCTGACCATCACTGATAACTTGACTGTTGATCATCAACGATAAACTTCCTGGTCCTTCAGAATGATACCGATAATGACACTTACCGCTGGCCTATTCTTGTCTCTGGTGCTTTGGCAACTTGTCCCCGACAGCAGGCCCACTGTCCAGTGCACTACAGAGTAAGATTCAGACACCGGGAGATTTCGCGGCAAATACGCCGCTGTAAATGAGGTATGTCATAGCCGTCTTGGCCCAACGAATCCAAACTTGCAGAGTTACGATGTCGTCCTTTGAGTTCTTGTGGCACGGGTCTCTCCCGCACAGTGGAGGTTCACTATCCATGGTACGACTCTGGGGTTTCCAGTCGATATTGACGTGCTAACTGGCTAGGGTACATTATTATGAGTTCAATGTGAACAGTGCTTTAGATGGTCTTTTGCCTACTCTGAACCGTCTATGGCGGCATGTGATTATATTCGTCACCTCTGCGGATATGGTAAACAGCTGAGACCGCAACTGAGACCATCAAGTCCACTGGACTTACAATATCGGTCAAGATGTACTAAGATCCCTGCTTTTCTGTTGCGGGCACTTCTGAATGCTTGATGATGCAATCACTTACAATTGAAGTACTCTGACTGGCTATTGCGCGGAACGCGATCCGGTTGTCCATGAAGCTATTCCATATGGTCATCTTGAATAATTCTCGTCTGTTCGACAGGAAGACCATTCATTAAGTGTGAAATAGATGTTAGTATGATCGACGCAGGGGTTATCGGCCAGGCATCTGCACTGTTTCTGGCCGAGCCGGGGTACAGGGGTTCAAGTGGGTAATTCATTTCCCAGGATTTCCAGTATATTCGCATCTGACTAGACTGTGGATTGCCTGAATAGTTTGACAACAGTGACAGGTACTCCAGTATCTGGTAAAAGCGCGTTGCTCCCAGATCTCGCCTCGGCCTGCACCGGACCTCCCCCCAATGCGACCCTCCATGTCAAGTATCAGTCCATGACCTCAATCCTCTATATCCTCCCCTAGCTGAACAGAGCCCTCCAATCGAAACGCATTCGATGTTTTCGACAGAGATCAAGTCAGTCGACGATGCACGGTCTCTAACGGAGGCGCGGCTCGTAGTCAACTTCAGGACTAGAAACCATCGAGACAAGGCGTTGATGCTGACGGAGAGTGACTTGCCGGGTTGTTATATTGCAGGGGAAGATCCTACAGAAGTATACTGCAGGTATATCTGTAGGTGAAATAGATAAGGGAGCCGTCCATCCGCACACACGGTTAGCCAAATTCAAAAGGTCGTCTGACTCTTGCCATCTCGGAAGCATGTCATTCAGGTTCTGCTTTGATTCCGATCTGGCAGAAAGGAACATGCGGCTGGAGGAACTGGGGCAAGACGTGAGTCATGCCTACGTTCAGCAACTCTCGGCTATACGTACTGTATGGAGCCCCAAATATATTATAGTCCCTTACTGTATTATTCCACCTTGAACGACCGATCCAAACATCCGTACACTCATCTCCCACGCAGCCGAATCGCCTCTTCACCGAGAGTCCTTCAAACCGGCCACGACCACGCCGCCCTCGACATCGTACAGGTGTAATTCCGACCCCTGACACTCTGCCCCTGATTAACTTCCCATGGTAATCTGTCAAGAAAGAAGAGAGTCTAGCCTCGCTAGCGTCTTTTAGCAGCCGGGGATAAAGCTATTCTCCGCCCGACAGGAGACCACATTGACACTGATCTCGAACCCAGAGCCACAGGCTACATCATCTCGCCTGTCGTCTCCACGACTGATTATACGAGCCCATCCGCGGCAGTCTCGAGCGGTGCGGCTTGCCGATCTCCACAAAGTCCACACAGGAGCTCCACAATTGCAGGAAGGGGAAGAGCTGCAGCTGCATCCCAGCAGCAATATCAAGCTGCTCCCTGAATACGCGTGGTGCCTCTCCTTATCAGACCGTCTCACATACGCATAGTCTAGCCCGATGTTGCCGAAGGCAACTAGCGGCGAGATACATTAACCCAGAAGCTCGTGGCGAAGGCGCGCAGGCGTTGAAGCTATGTCTCGTCGTTTGCGAGATTGATTTCGGCAGCATGGTACAAATGCTACCCGAGGGTCATTATGTAGATGTTGGGATGCTTCTTGACTGTTTCAGGTTCTCGTGCGCCCCGGCTAATGTCATCGTGGTGGGGATAATTTGCGGCAGCTGTATTTCTGGAGGCGCTGGAGCACTTGAGCGAAATCGGGTTTATAGTATTGTCTTCCTTGGTAGATGTCTTGAATTTGTCCAAGGTGAAGGTTACTGCTGCCTGTGCGTATTAGCAGATCCGGTGGAACAAGGAGATGCCGTACATCAGCGTACTGAAGACGTATCTCATGCAGGAAATATTATGCCGTGATGTGTCTGGATTTGATTATTAACATATTACTCCGAGTAACAATATGATAAATCTTCATCTGGTCCATGTGCAACCTTTACAAAAAATATGAAGGAACAAAGCATTTCTCTCATGGACAATGATTTGATATTTGCTGGGAGCAGGTAGGGCTACTAAGAATCCAGGGCATCAAAGCAGTTAAGTCTCCCAAGACAGTATCTATATATACTCAATTCTCCAGAGGTAGACCAGTTGCTGAATGAGGCCGCACCTCAGCCTATGGTATCCCTTAATCAAGACAGTTATATACTTAGGGATGACCTTTGGGCAGCCCCTGAGTCAATGTATCCATGTCCACTATAACTAGTACAGGCTCGGTAGTAAGACGAGAATGAGTAATTGCCATATAGAGGGTCCCTTCACATGTCATGGGTCATGGCGAGTTAGCACTCCGGATAAGCCTAATTCGGCATTGTAGAAGTACTTCCCTGCTACAATCTGCGCAAAACCCCCGATTCCAATGCCGAGTGATTGTAGAAACCGGCGTATGGAGTACTGTTGACTTTGACTCTCTTAGTAGGTGAATATCCATCCATAATACTATCTCATGCATGACACGAGTCAGTCATCGGAAGATTCTGCCGTTATGCATCACCAGGTTTCAGCGAAATCCTTGCCTGCGGTGTGCCGTACACCAACCGGATTCCCGGCATCGATTATGGCCATATCGGATGGTTCTGATCTTCTTCTCGGGATATTCCAAGGAAATATCTTGAACAGTAGTCGGATGGTCTGCCCTGAACTGATAACGGATACTATCGGCCAAACTCGGACAGACGCGGCTATCCTCGCTCACGTGCCTCAGATGCGAAATTTTCACCATTTTAGGACGATTCATCAGCCACAGTGCCGTCCATAGCCGATTCTTTATCAACTGTGCCTGCCAGACTGGCGAAAAGCCATTGGACAATGCTGCATATCGGAAACTCCCCTGTGGCTGATGGAGGCTGATGTGCCTGCGTTCTGGCCAGCTTCTATAAATATTATATAAAACTTCGGAAAAGTATGGATCTCCTACATCACTATGAGCTCCATCTGGCAGCCATCAATGGCAACTGACACCCAACCATGAAAAAATTGTCTGATCCACCGCGGCCTGGACGTGGGAGGATGGTGTTATATACCAGAGACAGGCTCCTTAGAGTCGTAGAGCTGTAGACACCGAAGCAAAGGAGCAGCTCTCTGACGGAGAATGGACCACCCAGAGAGTTCCACTCTGGATTCACATTCGCCCAGAGCTTTCCATGATGACCACCATGGCAGCCAACCCCTCGACAGCGCCAGCGACTGCCTCTCCGACGAAACGGTAGACCATCTCGAACCCCTCGAACTCACCCGCATCAACACCTACCGACTCCAGCAAAAGACCACCGTGGGCTCCACACGCGGCCCTGCACCCCGCGATGCATGGCTACCCATGGGCGCCGGCAAGGAATACCCTCCCTTACTTCCCGATCCGGAAACATTCGTCGTCGAATTCGATGGAGCGGAGGATCCCCTACACCCATACAACTGGTCCATGACCCGAAGGTAGTATTTCCTCGTACATAGCTGTCTGCAAAGGTGCTAATGCGGATTGACAGAATCTTCCTGGTCTGCATCCTCTGCTACGGCACCTTCGCCGGCTCATTCGCCAGTGCCGTCTTCTCCGCAGCCATTGCCTCCACCAGCAAGGAATTCCACGTCAGCCAGGAAGTCGGCTCGCTCGGCGTCACACTGTACGTGCTCGGCTTCGCCGCTGGGCCAACCATCTGGGCCCCTGCGTCGGAGCTCATCGGACGGCGCTGGCCGCTGTCCCTGGGCCTCCTGGGGTGCGGGATTTTCACTGTGGGCTGCGCAACGGGGAAGGACTTTCAGACTCTCATGATCTGCCGGTTCTTCGCGGGCTTGTTCGCCGCGAGCCCGATCGCCGTTGTGCCTGCTGTCTTTGCGGATCTTTTCAACAATGCGCAGCGCGGGATCGTCATGTCCATCTTCTGCATGGCCGTCTTCATCGGTCCGTTTGCGGCGCCGTTTGTTGGTGGGTTCATCACGATGAGTGCGCTCGGTTGGCGCTGGACGATGTACATCTCTGCGATAATGGTGTTGGTGGGATTTGTGCTCGTTGTGCTGTTCCTGAATGAGACGTATGCGCCTGTTATTCTGGTGCGCAAGGCGGCGACGCTGCGGCGGCAGACGCATAATTGGGGTATCCATGCGAAGCAGGATGAGGTGGAGGTTGATTTCCACGAGCTGGTGCGGAATAATTTTACCAGGCCGTTGAAGATGCTGTTCACAGAGCCGATTCTGCTGCTTATCTCACTGTATATCTCGTTTATCTACGGGCTCATCTATGCCCTGCTCGGTGCATACCCTGTCGTCTTCCAGGGGGTGTACGGGATGAACATGGGCGAGGGGGGACTGGCGTTCGTCGGCCTGATCGTTGGAGAATTACTGGGTGGCATCTTCATTCTGTTCCTTCAAGGCTCGTATATCAAGAAGCTGGCTGCGAATGGAGACGTTCCTGTGCCTGAGTGGCGTCTTCCCCCGGCTATTGTGGGAGGAATCACCTTTGCTGCAGGCATGTTTTGGTATGGATTTATCTTCTGTACTCTGCATAGAAAAACTTTTACTGACTGTTGCAGGTTCGGCTGGACTGGCTATACCTCGTCTATTCACTGGATGGTGCCTATTTCCTCTGGCATTCTGACTGGCTTCGGCATCTTCTGCATCTTCCTGCAGTGCTTCAACTACATCGTTGACTGCTATCCTACTTTGTAAGTTGCTGTCTTTACTATATGTATCTCCCTGCTAATAGTACCAGGGCTGCTTCCACGATCGCAGCAAACACTATCCTCCGTTCCGCAGTCGGATGCGCATTTCCCCTATTCTCTCGACAGATGATGGAGAATCTTGGCGTCCAATGGGCTGGGACGATGCTGGGCTGCATTGCAGCAGTAATGGTGCCGATTCCAATTGCATTCATGGTGTACGGCCCTTGGCTGAGAAGTAAGAGTCGATCGGCCGGTGCTCCTGTCTATCCGGAGACACAAAAGCAGTACGACGTTTGATGATTGCATAGAGTATAGACTAGATACCACGATATGATTAATGATATGAGGCATGAAGAGTAATACGCAAGTTATACAGCCTGGTCCTTGAGTATAGTAGTGTAAGGCGATGGATAGTCTTTCGCGGGTAATTTCACACTTTACAAAGTCAAGTATGTACGCAAGCAGCTCAAAGTATACGTCGGTCCTGTAGCTCATACTCCTTTCAACTAGGTCCAAGTCCCTCTATGTCTCTTTGATTCGACTGGACTTCGGGGAAACATAGTGTATGGACGGGTTCTTTGTCAGGGCGCTCTGAGTTTCGTTTCACTGGGGATCAATTGATCTTGAACTCTTTCTGAATTCACCTACATTAAATGATCAGGTTACCATTCATGATTTCATGGAAAGTTATGCTGTCATTATGAGCCACTGATTTTGTGGTCGGCCGTTCGTAGGTTTAATGAACCATGGCGCATCCTGACAAAATTGAACTTATGTCATCGAAGGTGTAGATCTAGACAATTCAAATAGAATTAAGCTTTGGAACTAATAGTGTTATATTAATCACCATTCTCACCCAATTTAGCAGAAGCATATTGTGGGGAAATCATTACACCCAACTCTTAGCTCAGGGCTAGGTATATATCCTGAAGGCCTTCCAACACTAAGTAGAAATTGGTACCCAAGTATACTGCAATCTGCACAAACTTCATTCAGTAGTTTGTCTATTCATCATCATCAAGATGTATGGGAATCGTGTTGAATTGACCAGGGTTACCCTGTTTTATTTATCCTTCCTCATAGTTCTACTATTACCTCTCTGTGAGTAATTTTCACCAGTTCCACTACTTGTACGGCAGTACATGTGCTAAGCACCAATCTTTCAGCCCTTGCCAATGGAGCTTTATTAGCTACTGCCCTTGTCAATCGTGCGTTACCTAATGCACCCAACGGATACACCCCTGAAGGCGAGACCTGCCCTTCGAATCGGCCATCTATCCGCAATGCCACTGCCCTATCGAACGCCGAGACCTCCTGGCTGAAAGCACGAAGAAACAATACCAGAGACGCCCTGAAAGCGTTTCTCAGCCGAGTCGACCTCGGTTCTTTCAATGGGTCGGCCTATATTGCTAATCATTCGGCTAATGCATCTGCCTTGCCCAATATTGGAATTGCAGTGTCTGGCGGTGGCTATCGAGCCTTGATGAATGGTGGAGGTGCACTGCAGGCGTTTGATAATCGGACCACGAACTCAACTCACAGCGGCCAACTGGGAGGTATCCTACAGTCGGCTACTTACCTTTCGGGGCTCAGTGGTGGAAGTTGGTTGGTTGGGTCGATCTATATGAACAATTTCTCGGATGTATCGTCGTTACGAGACAATAGTTCTGTGTGGCAGTTTCAGGATTCTATCTTCAGTGGTCCGACTCAAAGCTCCACATGGGATTTCAGCACGGGGAAGTATTATTCATAGTTGTTGGGTGCGGTGGATGGGAAGTCGGATGCCGGCTACGAGGTCTCTATCACAGATTACTGGTATGCTTTTGTTGCCGTGCGCTCTGGAGAGAGAAAGGAATGCTCACTATGGAATACAGGGGACGTTCTCTCTCTTACCAACTCATCAATGCGCCTGAAGGTGGTGTCAGTTATACCTGGTCGTCGATTGCTCTAAGCAAGGATTTCCAAGCTGGGACGATGCCTATGCCCTTGGTCATCGCTGATGGTCGAGCTCCGGGCGAGACCGTAGTACCCACGAACACTACGGTCTTCGAGTTTAACCCTTGGGAATTTGGAAGCTGGGACGAATCTCTATCCGCCTTCGTTTCCCTAGAATTCCTGGGATCGAACTTTTCGAAAGGAACACTAGCGACAGGTGAAAAGTGTGTTCGAGGATTCGATAACGCAGGGTTCATCATGGGCACGTCGTCATCCCTGTTCAATCAAGCATTCCTGCATATGAACGATACCGACGCGCCACCAGCCGTGAAGGACTCCATCAGTGCGATTCTGGGGGGTATCGGGTCCGAGAACAATGATATCGCCGTCTACAAGCCTAACCCTTTCTATCGCTATGCGAGCCAGTCCAAATATACAACATCGCCCTCATTGACCTTGGTGGATGGAGGAGAAGATCTCCAGAACATCCCGCTCGATCCCCTTCTTCAGCCCCAACGTCACGTTGACGTGATTTTGGCTCTCGACTCGTCAGCGGACACGACTACAAGGTGGCCCAATGGGACATCCATGGTCGCCACATATGAGCGAAACGTAGACTCATCAGAAACGAACAGTGGTCTGCCTTTTCCCTCTGTGCCTGATCAAAACACATTCGTCAACCTTGGTTTGAACAACCGCCCGACATTCTTTGGCTGCAATAGTTCAAACATGACTGGCTCTCCGCTTGTCGTTTATATTCCGAACGCCCCGTATATATACCCGTCCAACGTGTCCACGTTCGATCTGCAATACAATACTAGTGAACGCAACGCCATCATTGAGAATGGCTACGATGTGGCAACACTGGGGAATGGGACAGTGGACTCCAACTGGCCGTCTTGTCTTGCTTGCGCTATATTGAGTCGGAGTTTTGAACGCACAAATACGACAGTCCCGGAGATCTGCTCGACTTGTTTCAAGAAGTACTGTTGGAATGGTACCGTAAATGCAACTACTCCTGGGGATTATTATCCGACGTTGAAACTGCAGTAGGTAAGTAGATGACAGTAGGACAGTGGACTTAGGACACAAAGAACCGCGATAGTTTAATTAATATTCAATTCATGTCCCCCCTTTTGACTAGAAATGAATGCTGAGGATGGTTATCCTGCGCCAGTAGGAGGACAAGGAGAAGGAAAATGTCGTGCTTTTGACTGCCCCGAATTGTATGGATTGGATATGACGTCGCCAGTCATTGATATCTCAGGTCCCGTTGTCTTTGACGGGACTATTGATACTTGGTGAGGACATTGAGATTGATGCACCTGCTTACTTGCATATGGAAGACGAGGGTAATGATACAGACTATCATGCATGTTTTATTGGTTATGCAGTTTCACAAATCAAGCTACATACAGGGGTCCCCATTATATACAGCTCCTGCGGCTTATACTCCTCCACCAGCGCCTAGTTCCCCTTACATTGTGTCTTTTCCTTACGCAGGGTCAAATAGTCACCAACAGAGCCATCGTCACCGCGGATAAACTCCCACTTGACCTCCTTCTCACTCAGCACAGTAAGCTTACTGATACCAAAGTGCGTGGTGTCCAGCAAGGCAGTAATATTCTGGAGGCCCTGGCCGTTGCTGAACTCGCTGTGGCTCTCGATGTTGCCAGCCATTCCGTTGACGATGTGGGTGATGGACTTTCCAGGGTTGGTGCGGTAGGTGTGGTTGTTGACAATCGACGCCGAATCGATGGTTCCGTTCGCGCCGAGGGGGTACATGCGCTCGTACCAGTGGATGTGACTGCATCAGTTAGTATCTGCGTTCCCGGCGAGGGAAAGATGCAACATACCCAGAGAGATAAGCATCAACGCCGTACTGCAGGAACAATCGCTCGAACGCAGCACGGAGATTCTTCTGGTAGCTCGAGTACGCGGAGCTGTACATGGGCCGGTGGCTCATGACGAACACCCAGGGTGTCTTCTTGCGATCGACGCTGGCGAGATCTTTCTTCAGCCACTTGTACTGCGCGTAGGACTTGGTATCCTTGTAGCTGCCGTCGACGGCGCCAAAGGGGCCGCTGTCGGTGATGTACGTCTCTGAGGCTTTGGGGTGCGTCTCGTTGCCCTTGATATCCGCCTGGAACGGCGATTCGGGGCTGTTGGCGAAGTCGGTCTCGCCGTCCATGGAGATGAAGTGAGCGAGGCCGTAGTCGAACGAGTACCAAAAGTTGCCGACGCCGCCGGTTTCGGGGCCAGGCATGCGGAAGCGGTGCTGGTACGCGGTGAAGTTCCTGTCCGGGTTAGCTGGTACTGGGGATAGCGGGGGATGGATCTTACCGTTGGGATGGAGGGCATGTGTAGTAGGTCAGGTTGGCCTTAGGAGCAGTGCCGTTGGAGACGCCGTTGTTTAGATATGCGGTCAACACGTTGCCGGGGCCATCAAACTCGGCGCACGCAGCCTCGTGGTTACCGGGTAGAACCATGTAGGGCATCTTCAGCGTGACATTTCCCAGCCACTGCTGCCACAGATCCCAGTTGGACTCGTAGAGGACACTCATATCGCCTCCCTGGGGACCGCCCTGGTTGGGAATCTCACCCGCTGGAAGAGGCTTTTTGTACTCATCGGGAACAGGTCCTCCCCCTGGCAACTCCGTGCTAGTGCCATTGTAGCAGACGGGCCAGTCGTCTTCACAAGGCAGGATACCCGAATACCAATCATCGGCATAGCTGATTGTATGCTTTAGTCACTGTTGACAAATAGATCGAAGAAGATATTACCTGATGTCACCGCCGTGCCAGGCAAACGCGGTACCCTCGTTGGCGGCCTTGACGAGCTGTTTGAACGAGCCGCCTGCATTGGTGTACCCCATGTCATTTAGGACGGCCACACTGAAGGGACGGCGATCTCCCGCGCGCTGAGCGGTCTTGAAGCTCAGAACTTCAGATTGAGTAGTGCCGTTGGCGGCAGGAATCTGGTAGTAGTACGTTGTTCCTGACTCGAGCTTGTCGAGGCTGACCTCGTGGAAGAACTGGCTGCACTGAGTGACGGCTTTGATTTCGGAGCACGGTGGCGTGCGGTCATACCTATGGGAGTCAGTTTCAGTTTTCTAACTCAGAGGCCAGAACATACGTGTGGCTATATCCATGAGCGACTCGATCGAGGTGCTTGGGATCCTTGCCCCATTTAACGGAAGGCGTCACACCCAGTCCGAACGGCGTCTGGTAGTGAATGTGCATGCCATCCGGCAAATAGGACAGCGAAATCACGTTGACATTGTTCTTGGGGTTCGCCGTCGCAGGCTTCACAGCAGGAGGTTCCACCAAACGGGGGAATCCTTTGCCGTTGCCATTAACGGTTGGATCAACCCAGTCGCCGACGGGAACAGCGGGACCGGTGTACGGATAGCTCTCATCCACCACGGGACGGGCCTGAGCGGTCGTCGCAGCAAGGGCAACAAGCAGAGCCGAAGCGGTGGTTGTCTTCATTTTGGTGCCTCTATGAAGAGCGTTGTCGATTGACAGAATTCCGATCCATCGAAGCGATGGACTGACTTAAATCAGTCCAGCTGCTTATCTAGCTGTTGGAGACGCAACCTCCGTCGGAAGACCGTTGTCAACAAGCGTGTCACACGTGCAAATGCCGAGATCAGCAATTGGCCAAGACTAACAGGGAAGTACTAGTGACTTAGTGAGCTCGTATACAGGATTCATAACTTGGCAAAGCTTCGGTTAAGCTTGGGCTAGCATGTGCCGACTGATAGCGATCACCATTGGCTGATAACAATCAGGCCAGGCACCTCTAAGTAAACTAGCCGAGAAAGCAATGCCCATTGGGCCATGGACATATTGTTGCTTATCCTTCATTGGTAGTGACATGTTGCGGTACTTGTCTACTAGAGCACGGATCCTGGACTCTGTCATGATGATGATATGTCATGAATATGTTAATATCTGAAAGTCCTGTCGCACCGTTAGGCCTTATTTACTGGCTCAAGGGATATAGATGGCATTACAATCTCTCTTCTCATTTTTAAGAGGTTTAGCGGTGGACCGGTAAAAAGGGTATATCGTCATGATTTCCGAAAGCAGAAGGTGTTCGGACTCTCGGCCCCAGCGGAACATGAGGCTTGAAAAGGGGTCGGCAGTCTGCATGAGGAAAGATATCTTATCTTGAAAGACCATCCAAAAAAAAATGTGCCGATGACATTGAAATGGATTTCTTCGGGGCGTTTTCAACTCCCAGGCGTTGTTGAACTGCCTCAACATCATTCGCTCGCCTTGCAACGCCCTCCAACTCGCAAATTGGCCATCTCCGTCTTCTTAACCTCGTCAATTTTGCCTATATTGCCATTTGGCATCAACCAATCTTTTTCTCCATCAATGTAATAGTCTCCCTCGCCGTTCCTAGCCTTGTCCAGAATGCCGTAGCCTGGTTCAAATACTCCGTTTCTTCCAATGGATCCTCCAACTCTTCCGGCAACATTTCGTTAATATCCACCCACTTGGACATATGTGACTATCGATGTTCTTCAAGGCCCGGGAAATGTACCTGCAGATTGCCCCTTTTACCCTCATAAGCAGGCATCCATTTATACGTGTTGATCCGTGTGCGCGGTACATAAGCCCTTCCATCCTTATATCCATGTCCATCCGGCCCGCCGGTTGTTTTATTGAGCACCCGTGTCATGCTTTCCTGGTCCGCAGAGCGGCCCAGAGTCTCGTTGGAGAAATACTGAGTGTATGCGAGACTTTCGACGATGTACCGGAGGCATCTTGGACATTGGATGCTTCTGCGGATCCTCTGATTTCGTGACCGGGGCTTGCTCATGCGCTGCAGATAATGCCTGTAGTGCGGACGATTGTACCAGTCCGAGACTTATAATTGCAGATAACTAGACTCCGAGTCCTCCTTATTCAAGGACAGCGGGTTACTGTATTGGTCAAGTATCCTTGTCCATTGCGGTATTGCATTAATATCATTATACGTGAGATACAGCCTCATTAGTATTTCGAGTCGCTATTTATAGTTGCAGAAGTGATTATCGTTTCCCTCATTGTGGCCGCAGAACCTTGCGGAATGTTTCACAATCTATCAAATGTCAACATGATCCCACATCAAACTTGCATGGAACTAACGTACCTCTCTCATCATGAAATACAATTGCTAGCTGCCTTATGTGGCGACCTGAACTGGACATTGACATGGTCGAGTGGCGTGAATCGTTCGACATCATGCTGCCAATACTACCCATCGAGTTCCGTCTCGTTATGGCCTCTCCCTGCAGTTGAAGCCTGGTTGATAGCTTCGAGTACTTGAGTTCAACGAATCCGTCCACTGGTATATTCAGTAACTGCATCGCAGGTAGACAGATCCCGAAGGCACATTACATACGAGGCCATTCCAAAAAGCCCATCTTTGCGTTGGAGCCGTGTTTGAGTTTGCCAAAGTAGAGTAAACTCCGGGCTGATGTGAGCGGGTCCTGGAGGACACGAATGGTCTCCAGCGAACAACGTTCCTCTACGCCGTCGGCGTTTATATACTTAACATCTCCGCAGTAGAGAATGCTTCGTCCTAGAAGTATGCTCTGAAAAGCGACAAAGTCTGGATCTGGTTAGGAGCTGCAGTCCGAACTGAGATAGTAGGACTCACCAGCATGCTTCCGGCAGGTATATACCGGCGAGATGGCATATCTTTCGATAGCGCCGTTCGTCTCTATCTTAACACGATGAGACCCCTGGAAGCATATTCTGAACGGAGTGATCGGATCGTTGACAACATGCGCACTCTCGATATATGGGATCATGGAGCTCTGGGCTCCTCTGAACGTTGCCTCGTGAATCCGATGAGTTATTTTCACGCCGCCAGTCACATCTGTCGCCTCGATCAAGCCAACATCGCGGGTGCGGTGATGCAGGTAGACGCTTATTGTGCATTTAACCGGTTTGTGCAATTCATGATTTTTGAGATTCGGATCCGGAAAATGTCTGTGTCAATGTAATGTAAGCAAGGCACAAATACATCTATATCTCCTGATCAGAAACATACATCGTTACAGGACATTGCGTCTCTACTCTAGTATACCTGTAGCGTGTACTGATCGGCTCATTTAGTGGAGGCGTGGGCGGCGGTTCCCCGGGAGGGTCATTATCATGCGGCGAGTGCTCCCTTAGTGCAGGGGTGATGGCCCGTTCTTGATGTAGGAGCTGGAATTTGACCCAGTCACTGAATTTTTCCCACTCATCAATCTCCTTGTTCAAAATCCGAGTGGGCTCCTTGGGTTTGGTTGGTGCGTTCAGCGCCAGTTGGCCGGGGACGGTGACATGTCTGAACCCAGCCTGATTCAAGGCGCCACGAATATCCTCTCGAATCTGGTCTAGGAAGCCGACGACGGGCATGTCACGGCGCATTATAAGATGCTCTAGCTTTTGGGAGACATCTTGGATACGAAGAAGGGGCTTCGATTCCCGCTCGTCGGACCTTGAGCCTGGAAATTCGAGCAAGGGTTGCTGCTGTTCAGTGTCTCGTAACCGTGGTAAAGCTCGCCGGCCAAGTTCGGACAAGAGCCGGCTTTCCAATGTATTCTCGCCGTTGTTAGAACTATGCCCTGGCATGCATTGGCGGAGGATGAACGATATCTGTAGGCTCATGATTCTGCCAGGTTAGTCAGTCACGGTTCGGGAATTACGGCGGAACGGTCTTCAGCATACTTAATTGCACGCAGGATTTCTAAATTCTCCTGCCTATTTTCGTGTCTATTCTGTTTCTGTATATCAATCACGGTATTGGTTGCCATCAAGTTCGCTAGCTGGACATTTCGCTCAAGCGCACGGCGCAGTCGTTCGGCTTCTTTGCGTTCTATCGGCCACGAAATTTGGTGGAAAAGCGTCTTGACTCTGTCCGAGACTTTCTGCCATTTTAACGGTTCTTTCGATCCGCCTGAATGTATATTGCTCGCTAGCCATTGGTGCTTCTTGACGAATTCGGCGCATTCGATGATCGTCTGCTGATAGGACTGACCGAGAGCGACCCTCTTGGAGACTGGGACATCTTTCTCTGCCTCTTGTAACTCCTCGATGGTCGCTCTCATCAACTCAAACTCTGCTTTGAACTGTATGAAGTCAACTTTCGCATTTTGAGTTCCGTCAGCAATACACTTGTAGACATCCCAGGCGATCTTGGCGGCTTGTAACACATCTCCGACACTCCAGCCGAAGCTCATCCCGGATAACGTCGATAGTTAAACAATAGCGCTGAATTTCTCAAGGTAGTAATGCCGAAGAGGATCAGGTTGCATCCATGGATCAGCAAAAGTGGAACTCGAAGAATGAGCATGGGCCATGGGAAGAAACGACACGCGAGCTGATCCCCACCCTCTCTGATAGCCTGGCCCGGGCGTTAAGAGGCTGGCGGCTCAAAATACGCCTGCCTCCCACGAGCAGCGGAAGAATACATGCCTCGTCAGAAGCATGTCAATGGGCGCTTTGTGGCAGTGAAGGGCATTCATAATATACAAGGTCATCCATCACACGTGGTGGCGCCAAGGGGACTAGAGTACGGAGTAGCATCGATAGCTTCGTTCCCCCGATCCAATAGCTGCCGTCGTCTACACAACGTGGATTGATCCAACAGCATCTTTGGCGAAGACCTTCGGAAATTTCGATTCGGTCGTTCATATCTAGCCTATCGTTTCGAGTTGCAGTTTGACAGATGTCTCGCGTCTGTGCAGGGCTGCCGACCCCGTGGTCCACAGGGCACGTTCAAGTCGACTCCGCCCCTGGATTTCGATATGGGAGATTGTGTGGCTTTGCTCGGCTTTCGTATTTTTGCCTGGGCAAACTACTTTCAAAAGTATGAGGCTCTCTGACTCTGGAGAACGGCCGTCAGCCTCGTATCGATAATGATTTAGGACCAGGATGGCTGCCAGTCGGCAGCGGAGAAGACATTGTGTCCTTGCCTCTTGAATCCTGATTCAGTCTCCAATTTGCAATATACTTAGCGCAATATGCGATATCCTCGCTTAGCCGCTCTGGGTCTGCGAATCTACCCATGGAAGGAATATCAGGACTTCCGGCACCATACAGTGAGGACCCGTGGATACAAAAGCTTAGCCATGCATCAGTTGCTAACCGTAAAAACAGCCCGCTCAAAGACATGCCTACATCATCGGTAGACTTGAAAGTGCTCGACGACGGGAGTGGATGTGGATCGTCGTCGTAGCAGGTATCGGCTTTTTCACCGATGCATATGCTGTACGTGACGGCACCCATCGGGCAGGATTCATCAACTGACTTTGCAGATCTTCTCTGTCAACATGGTTCTACCCATGATGAATATTGTCTATTGGAACCATTCGAACTGGACCGAGTCGAATGCAGTCCGACACGACTACGAGGTGGCTCTCAGTATAGTCACTTTAGGCGGTGTTCTGCTTGGCCAGATCGCCTTTGGCGTCGCTGCGGATGTCTGGGGACGAAGCAAGATGTACGGCATGGAGTTGGTTATTCTGATCTTCGCCACTCTGGGACTCGCATTATCGTCTTCCGGGGTCGAGAACTCCATGTCTGCTATCTCCCTTTTCTTATTTTGGCGTGGACTGCTCGGGATTGGTTTGGGTGGGGACTATCCTCTGTCGGCAGTTATCTGTTCAGAGTAAGATCCTATTCGGCATGGCGTAACCGCAGCTGACGATCCCAGGTTTGCGCCGAGCCGACTACGGGGGCGACTACTTGCAACAGTCTTCTTTTGTCAGTCCCTCGGACAGCTCGCCGCACAATTGGTTGCTCTCATCGCTGTGGCGGGCTTCCAACACCATCTCCCCACCAACCCTGATACGACCACATGTACAGGAAACTGTATCCGAAGTCTTGACACCATCTGGCGCCTTCTGGTCGGACTAGGAGCTGTGCCTGCCTTTATTGCATTGTGGTTCCGACTGACGATCATCGAGTCCCCTCGCTATACAGCAGAAGTCACCAAAGATAGTCTTCAGGCCGTCAATGACGTATCACAGTTCTACCAACGTGTTAGTATCGACAGTGCATCAGTCAACAGTGTAGAACCACCCTCTCCGGAGTCAGGTTCATTCCGACTATCGCCGACTCAATCAGCCGACCAACAGCCAGATCGGCCTGCTTCCGCTGCGGCATTTGCGGAACAAGGCGCCACCTCTCCATTGGCAATCTGGAAGGACTTCAGACTCTTCCTCAGGCAGAAGGATAACTTCAGGAAACTGGCTGCCACGTCCCTCTGCTGGTTCTGTCTCGATCTTCCCTTCTATGGCCTAGGGCTCATCAGTCCTCGGATCACGCGAACCATCTGGTTCGGAAGCAAGCTGCCCCGGACTAGTCTGTATCAGCTACTCTTTCAAACAGCATATCAGAGTATTGTGGTTGTTTCCTCTGGCGCTATCGTGGGGAATCTGCTATCAATCCTCACGATCGATAAACTGGGTCGGCGCAATATCCAGCTGAATGGATTCTTCTGGTTATTTCTGCTAAATGTGGTCATTGGCGCTTCGTTTCAGCATCTGGTGGGACACGATGATCCGTCGGCGTTGGTGGTGTTGTATATTCTCTGCCAGATATTTTTCAACTTTGGTGAGCATATCCTTACACCATGTCCGTGGCCTCGCTAACTCGCTGCCTAGGACCCAACACAACAACATATATGGTAAGTCTCCCAATCCGCACTTCAGGAAAATAGGCTGATCGTTAGTTCCCTGCTGAACTCTTTCCAACTCGATTCCGGTGCACCTGCCACGGCATCGCCGCTGCATTCGGCAAACTCGGCTCGGTCCTTGCGCAGTGTTTCCTGGCCTATGTGGATTTCGGTAATGGAGCAGACTATACCAATGTCCCAGATTGGTTGGGATATGCTCTTCTTTGGTAGGCTCCTTTCGGAGAAGTTTGTGATCATTTCACACTGACAAGTGACTAGCCTATCCTTCTTCATGCTCATGGGCCTCCTCATCACGTATTTCTTCATTCCTGACGTCCGAGACAAGGATGGAAGGATCAAGTCCTTGGAGGAACTTACGGATGGGATGATGCCCGATGCTGAGTTTTCCCAGGCTGTGGCGAATGGATATCCTGCACGGGGGTCAAGCCCTGAAATGACTCAGGTTGATGGGGATAGTGTTAGTGTATAATTTTGGATAGTTGCGGTGTTATTGTGTGACAGTAATAGGCCCGCTCACCATGGTACATATGTTTCCATTTTCAGCAGTTGCTATCAATTATAAGTATATGCTGTCCGCCCAGTAGCAGAGGGTAAATTGCAGGCAAAGATTGTATTTTCCTTGCGGTCAAATGAAATGCAGGATCGGTGACACTAACAATTATCATCCCATACCATCCGTCAGAGGGATTGGGACGCTTAAAATAGTAATAGGTAGCCATCGGAAGTAAATGTCTGGAAGTCCCAATTGTGAATCTAAGTGGAGCCAATGCGATGCCTCTTGACCCACCAGATCAGAACCATAATGGGCCCTCGTATTCGTACTGTTCGCCTTCTTGGGCTTGATGGTCCATACCATTGGTGGGTAGACGTGAAAATCGTACTTGAGTGCCGCGAGTTTCAGCCATACGGGCTGCTGCTGAGGACTTCCCGTACCTTATGCTCATAATAAGGATCTGTCTATGCTCCTGCAATGTACAGGAGAAGAATAAACATAATATCGCCCAGGCGGTCTCGGATTACTGATAATGCAACATCCGTTTGTATATGTACTCCCTGCCCCAGGTGAGAGATGTCATTCCAAAGTACGGCTGAAAGTTTTTATCTTCTTCCCTTCTATTTTATCTTTTTTCTGCTTTCCAATTGGGCTGAAACTGGAATCTCTATGGGATTCCACCTTCTTGAGGTACAGAGGGAAGAGCCTTTTGCCACAACCGACCTCGCAATATGAATAGTCTCTGCGGCAACCTGCGGAGGTCCATAGTTGTATTAGTCCAATCGAGGTGGACGACTGAGATCCACTGCTCGTAGTTCGTATCAAAGACCGATTCGGGTCACCTAGCTCCCTACGCTGTATGAGGAGGTGATGCTTCAGGTGGTGCTAAAGAGGTTCAAATTGGCAAATTGTACGAAGTAGCTTCATGCACTTTGTTTGCTATGACATTCAACCCAGACGAACTAAAGCCAAGGATCCCAGGCAGCTCTACAATGAGATATGCGCAGTATCTGGAGTGGAGCATCAGGAGCATAAGATGGCTTTCGCTATTATATCTGTCTCCAAACCCGCCCTTTCTCTCTTTGATGGCCAAATCCAAATTTGCACGTCAGTAGTAAGCCGTTTATACCTATTATTTAATTCCAGACCCCTCCCATCCGTGTTCTAACTACAGCTGTCACGTCGAGCTTTTCCCTTCCGAGTCAGGTCATGGCATTCAAGCTTTACCACTACGACCCTTCCGCAGGCGCCGCTGTTGCGTTTGCTGCAATTTTCGGGTTAACAACGGTTGTCCATATATGGCAGATGGCAAAGGCAAGGGCTTGGTTCATGACTGCCTTCATTATCGGTGGCTTCTGTGTGTATACCCTTCTTGAGTGGTCTAGAGTGATGGTACCGGACATAGGGCTAGTTGCCGGGGCACAAGTTACAGAGGCTAACGCACTGTTGATATAGTCGAAGCAATTGGCTACCTCTGCAGATACATCAGCGCAGAGCAGACCCCAAACTGGACGACAAAGCCGTATATAGGGCAGAGTTTGCTCCTTCTCCTTGCTCCAGCGCTATTCGCCGCGTCCGTATACATGATCCTGGGCCGGATTATTCGACTGCTGAACGCGGGTTCTCTCTCGTTGGTCCGTCCGAATTGGCTGACCAAGGTCTTTGTAACTGGTGATGTTATCTCCTTTTTAATGCAGTGCGGAGGTATGCGGTTCCTTCAAGTGTGTAAGAAATTTCAGTCGAACACCATAGCTGATACATTGTGGGCAGGTGGTGGCTTACTGGCGGGCGCCAAAACACAAGACAAGGTCGACATGGGAGAACATATGATCATCGGTGGCCTCTTCGTTCAAATCCTGTTCTTCGGTTTCTTCATGATCGTTTCAGTGATTTTCCATCGCCGTATGCTTGCAACACCCATGCATCACATGATGTCCACGCAGCTGCCATGGAACTACTACATGAAGATTCTGTACACGGTCAGTCTTCTGATCATGGTCCGGTCCGTATATCGTGTGGCCGAATATGTGCAAGGAAGCGACGGGTATCTTCAGAGCAAGGAGGCCTTCATCTATGTTTTTGATGCTGCACTAATGTTCGCATGCTGCGTTATCCTTAATGTATCCCACCCGAGCAAGCTCTTGTCGCACAGTCAGGCGGGCCACAAAGTGGATTCTGATCTGGAGATGCTGAACCCGGAACGGTAATAGGCAGTTGCTTTGACCGGATCCCGAGAGGTGTATCCTTGCCTGTCTCACAAGGGCAGACCTTGTACGAGCATCTCAATGTGAACTGGCGCGGCTCTCAGGATGATGGTAAATAGACATTCAACGATACAGAAGCAGTTAATATATATGCATATATTAGCCCAGGCCAATACAGGCCGCCACCATCCTGTTAATGTCTTGTGAACCGTCAGTATGGCCAACATGAGATTTGCCCATTTTGAAATTCAAGCGGACAAACCGTACAGGTTGCATGCTGCACATGTACTTTGCAACCTGGGTGATTGTGCTCAAAAATGAGAAATCAGAGTCACAGGCCATACTTGGCCCAGACCGTCAATCTACTAATACTAGGAACCTCTGTGATATTTTCATAAATGAATCTGACAAACCGAAATGCCTTCAAGTATGAACAAGCAGTGAACACTGTAAAGCATATCTCTAATGATCATTGAATAAAATGCTTAGGGAAGGCTTGCTAAGCAAGAAATAGCGGGCAGAATTTATAACCATATGGGGAATGAATTGCTCGGATGGATGCTCCCTTGACCATATTAATGGCCAAGGCTAGATTCTTAGCTGGCTTACAGTAAAGTATAAGATAATGAGTGCTTTCTCACAAGCGGGGTTTTCGCTACAGCTAGTAGAAGGGGAATACAGTCATACGAGGCGTGTGGAAGGATAGGTTGGCCGTCAATTGGATCGTAGGAGGTGAAAAAGCCCCGTGAGCTTCAGATTCGGCTATTTTATCCTGTTTATACCGCCATATGCAGCCACGGCTGACTCCGCACCAGCCTCGCATTAGGTAGGCAATTATAAGTTGCTGTGGTCCCCTAATTCACATCTCTTCTTCCACCCACAGATATGTAGCGATTTAATGGCATATTGCAATTTTTACCTTCTTGTGCTGCTACTGCAGTCGCTCCCCGTGTCGGCACAATATGTCGTTTCCTCCACCGCTGCCTGGTCCTCTCAGATCGTTGCCTTCTGGGGCGCGATCATCATAGCGGCCCATGTCGGCAAGGTCGCCAGTGCAGGAACGGCTCTATTCTCGAGTGTCCGCATGGCCCTTCGCATCCGGTCCATGACCAACGCGCTCGCCCGCGGCAACTGGTTTTTACATGCGGGTTGGGTCACCAATAAAGTCCGCACGGATGTTGCCGTGGTGTGCTGGCGCACTCCTGAGGAGTTGCAGGGTTTAGTCCGCCGGGTGGCTATGCAGATAGAGACGTTCGCCGCCGGCAGTGAGTGGCAGGTTCTCGTGGTGGGATGTCAGCTGAAAGACCAGCCGTCCCGTGAGAGCACGATACATTGGATCAAATGTCCTCGGAGCGAGGGTCTCTGTGGCGCAAAGGTCAAAGAAACAAACGAGAATCTGTTTCCGCTGCAGGACGCAGACCTTGCTTTTGCGCTAGACATGCTGGAGCGGTCGCCACCAGTGACGACAGAAGAAATCGTGCGGGAGATGGAGACAAGAATGGATGTGCGCGCGTCGCGGTGTACGTATATTAAGGAGCAGCAACAGGAACTGCAGGTTACGGAGGCGACACTTTCGTGGGGATGGATATTCACCAGCGTAGACCATAACATCACTCCATTCTTGAAGCTGCGGAAGTGGACGAGTCCCTACGGCAGTGATCGTGGGGCGCGAATGGCCTGCGCTACACGAATGTATCTCCTTGTACATCTACTTGTTGCCTGTGCTGTTGGACTCATGGCTGCCGCGACGGGGCGTGGTCTAGCGGTCTGGTTTATGACGGTGCGGCCAACCCTTGCGACAATGGGGGGCAAGAACGTCAATGGGAACGATATCTTGCAATCGTTGCTGTGCATGGACGAGGCTGTTTTTCAGTACGAGACGGCCGACGGATCGCCCTTGTTGGCGGGCGACGTTCTAGCTTCTTCCCTCCCGTGGTGGGCTACTATGTTAGCCTTTGCCATGCCTGCTCTGGAGATGGCCCTTATCATTGCAGGATGGCTGTACGGCGGGCTGAACGCAAAGAGACTGGCACCCTCGGGTGTTGTTGGCCACGGAATGCTCTGGCTGTCCGTTGTCGTGGGGCTTTCGCTGTGTATCCGTGCCCTCTTCACGCTGCGCAACCAGGGAAAAGGCCGTCTAGTAGGGATTTGGCATAAGCACGAGTTTGCGCAGTACACGATTGGCGCTGAGTCGCTGGAGATCTCCGCGTCCGATCTCGCACGTATGGCAGGTGAGCCATCTCCGATCGGTTTGGTGGTCCGCCTCCTTCGCGAGAACAACCCAGATAATATTCCCGTCATTGAAAGTTTCCTCCGCTTACCTATTTTGGTGGTGCTGGTGGAGTACCTTCTGGCCACGCGAGTCCTGCAATATCAATATCAGGGCGATGAGATTGTGGCGAGGGGAAGCAGAGCTATCTCACCAAAGTCTGAGTCCCCATGGCGTCAATCCTACTGCTGTGTGGCAGTGACTATGGCTTGCGCATGTCTGTCGGCTGTTTACGCGTACTACCCACTGCCAAAATGGGTGAAGCTAGTCACGGAGATGCTCCTTGCAATGAGTGCAGTCTGGTTCAACTCAATTGATCTGGTGGGTAGTTTCATGCATGAGAAGGAAACCTCTGTCTGCTTTATGGTAGCGACTCTAGTTGTGTCGTCCGTTTGGTATGTGGGATTGGATAATGTAGGTTGACAGGTGGCTAGGGTTACTCTCCTCATTTTTCATACCTGTGGTATCAATATGCATTCAATATTACCGTGGCATCGTTCTAGACATTTTCTAGACATATTTGTTGTGACGTCAACGACTAAACTTTGATACATCCTAAGGACCTTAGCCAATAGATGCAGGGCGAGCCTTTTCAACATAGCGATCAGAAACAAGGAGATTGGTCGTGGTGAACATTTTTGAGAGAGCGTCCTCTTGACGGGAATCGTAGCTAAATGTAGTCCAGTCACTGATTCAGCGACAAATCCAAGATAATCTTTCCCCTAGCGTGTCCCTCATCCAGTCGCTTAAAGGCGTCCTCGAACTGCTCCAGCGGCCAAACACTGTCCACGACACCCCGACACTTGCCCTCCTCCACCAGCTTGGTGACCTTCTCCAGATCTGCCCGATTCGCCGACACAATGAAGAAGAAATTCCGGACATTCTTCCCTTTGCACTCCTCAGGCTGCACTTGCTCGGGAGGCTGGCAGATGCTGATCAGAATCCCACCATCCCTGACACACCACCACGCATCTTCCAACGACTTCTTGCCAATACAATCAACCACTAGATCAACCTGATTCTCCGGCCTCTGCCCCCACTCCTTCAGATTCGTCTCCCGGTAGTTGATCACCTTGCTTGCTCCGAATGACTTCACAAACTCGACATTCCGCGGCCCACACGTCCCAATTACCGTGGCGCCAGCCAGCCGCGCCAACTGCACCACCCAGATCCCCACACCCCCGGACGCAGCCGTAACAAGCACCCTCTTCCCGTTCCATGCCTCATCGCCCAGCTCCCCAATCCCAGACTGCACAAATAGCGCCTGCAGTGCCGTCTGCGCGCTCAGCGGGATGGCGGTGCTCGCCACCCAGCTCAGGTTCTGAGGACGCCGGGCGAGATCGGCGCCGGATATAACGGCGTAGTCGCGTGCGCACCCAGGACGGAGATAGTTTGAGCGCGCGTAGACTTCTGTACCCGGTTGGAAGTCGGAGGATGGCGGTGCGGTTACTACTGTTCCCGCGACATCGTAGCAGGGGATCTGCTCGCGTTCTTGGAGGGCAGGGAAAGCCTTTGCCCAGTTGAGTTCGTTAGCACAGGGGCTGACGCAATGCACGCGGATGAGGTGCTCGTCTGTTCCTTCTGTGGCTGTTGGGACGGGGTGGTCCGGGGTGAGGACCAGACGGGGTTCCTCAACGGAGGGCTGGAGGAGGGCGCGCATTGTTTTGGGGAGGGACATTTTGATACTATTTGTGTTTTTTGATGCTAGTGTTGAGGTGCTACTGTGAATCATTTATGGCGGTCAGGCAAGAGGAATATGACGCTTTATATGACCTTAATGGAGCATGTCATCAGCTGTCTGTATAACCGGATTGCCGGTCAAATATGGAATACGAGCTGAGGTGATACCAAGGCTGCCAAGCAGCCAATGACTCACAGATAATTAATTCATACAGAAGAGAGAGCGTAAATATATTGACGTTGAGGTCTCGTATAGGGCCCGGCTGGCCACCCGGGTATTGGTGATTCCCTGGATTCCCGGATACCCGATCTCCCGCAATAGGATAATGGTCTGTCAGCACTTCGGACGAAGCGTATTTACTACGTCCGACGCCGAACTTTCGGACGGATAATTCTAGTTCTCTTTCAATCTAACTCAGCTTCGGATTCAATAGCAGTTGTTGAGCTGTCCTGCGGTTTGTTTTCCGGGCGATAACCAAAGGACTCATACTTTGGGCTGTAACTATCTGATCACTAATCAGGGCGAATCAAATGAGGGCAATCGAGGTATAGCTTGTAAAGCTTGCTACGCAGTTTGAATGTGAATAAGCCCTGCGTATCCATTTTTCAGCATTTTCAGATACAGCACTCAGCCACCACCAGATCATGAATCAGGGTGTCCCGAATAGTCGCCTCATGATAGTCAATGTCAAACAAATCGCAAAAGTCCAAAGACTCAGCAGCCATGTCCGGTGCAAAGGATGAGGCAGTAATGTCAGTGGTTACTCCAGATATACCCGTTATGGCGTGCTGTGGTTCTCGCGACGCGGACGGGGAGGGCAATGGCCGGTCCAGTGATAGTATCTCCCGCGCGATCACGCTGATTTCCTGGTACGTCCGTTTGCCAAGTGCCCAGTGTTCACCCATGGCCTTGAGAGTCCCCATGGTCACTCTGATCCGCTCTCGATCGAGTCGCAAGTCCTGTCCCTTGAAGACATAGCGGCAGGCGGAGAGGTGGGCGACGGCCACAATGGCAATCATGCAGATAATGAATGGAGTGTGGCTGACGATGTTTGTTGGGAGGGTCAGCAGAGACTCGAACTGCTCAATTGAGTGCAGAACTCTCCTGGTGTGCAAATCACTTTCAGGGGAGTTACTTTGGAGAAGACTCTCTGGTGGTGCCTGCGGGCAACACTTTGACACACCCTCGATGGCGCTATACGCTAGTGTTGACAGTTGCCGGTGAAGGTCGACAATCCATCTACACATAATTAGTAAGACTCTCAAAGAAATGGAGTTGGACCCACGTATGGATAATGGCACGAGCCTTGAACAGAATCTCATCCAAGGAGCCGTCTGGTCTAAATACAGTCCTCTTTGACGCAGGCAAGAGTGTCGTCCACGAGACGTGGATCGCATCGACGTTAGCACAGACAGTAGTGATGTTCTTCAAGTCAAGGTCTTTTCTTGCGGCAAGAGCCAAGTCCAAACTTCGAGTCAAGCCTACCATCTCTGCAAACGACGAGAACTCCCGTTCATCACCAGCAAACTCTCGCATATCGTACTCTTCCAGAGTTCGCGGGTTTGGAATGTTCTATGATCTCAGCAACATAACATACCAGAAGGAGGACAACCTACCCCAGACTCATACTCTTCCTCCTCGCAGGGCAAATGAACATCCATATGGATCCCATTCGTCCGGAAGGGATAACTGTGCGTACTCCCAGCGATATGCGCGTCGGTAATATAAATCTGCCACCAAGTCCGTCGCCAGCTTTCCTCGAGGATCGGATCGTTCCTCCCGTGCCCGGTGGCAAAGTCACTCCGATTCATTCCAAGCCCAAGAGCCATCTGAATAGCTTCCTCAAGCAGGTCTAGGCCTTTCCTCGTTTCGTCACACCAATAGACTGCAATGGAGTAGAGAAGCACGGCCTGGACTGCGAACGGTGAGACTACATGATTGGTACTCCGAACGACAGCCAATTCCGCCTCAACATGATCTTTCAACTGCGATGACGGGATTAATGCGTTATGCAGAGAGCCGATGTACTTCATCACCGCATAAAGTGGCTGTATTGCTCGGCGGTCGCTGACCGCATAACGCTGGATTGCAAATCGAGGTACTACGCATGGATGCGCACTATGAAAGTACCGATAATACATTGAGAGGAGCTGGTCATCCACAGGATCTCTCGGATCAGCTGTTGAGGTAGTCAAATTGAGGCCTGAATTCATTTCCCTGGTCACTGTTTCTGATAGGATTGGTAGTATCGATGTAAACGATCCGTGATCTATTTTCGTCCCGTTCATTGGCGAAGTCGGTGTGCTCAAGACCCGACGACGACCTCCCCGTCGTGACTTGACATACACACATTCTTTCTCCTCGTCGACGCACCGAGTACATCGTGGTAGAGCCGCATCGCATCGTACATGTTTGGCCCGACAGGCCGTGCAAGCCCGGGATGAGCGATGCTTGGGTGTACCGAGGTCTGGCATCTGGATAGGTAAGGGGCAACAACAGATGCAATGCAGAACCGGATGTATTTGATTTATAGAAGGGTGATTATGTTGGAGATGGAACGCGTCATGAATATCAAGCAGTCTGTCAGCGCCGTTGTACCCCGCTGAAATACTCTATTTTAAGACCCTTAACCTTGATTTTATGGCCGAGTGTGATTGGTTCATGATGCAGTAAGCACACCATATTCCGTTCTGGGCAACTCAATAATCACGTTGTTCATGCACTCTTATCAAAGTCGAGGTTCAAACCAACTTTTGCTTTTGCTCTCCTCATTGCCTGTTTGCAGCTTGTGCAATATTGAAATTCCAGAATTCTCATTCTGCGCAGAGGAGACCAACTCTTCGGCAGTTCAGAGTTACGCCGATCTCATGAGCTATATATATATACCCATCCGAACCCTCGGCTTGTGCATTCTCCCCTATAATACCATGCAGAAAATTGGTAACCTGCGGCGTGATAACAGTCAATTAGCAGTAAACCCTATTTTATTGATCTCAATATATTCAAATTGGTGTAACATCTATCTCCATGCGCATTAGGGTAAGTGAGTATGAAAATGGCCCTTCAAATTTAAAGAGCTCTGAAGTTGCAACAGCCAATCAAATAGCTCAATTGGTAGCATCATTGGTCTAGTGGTAGAATTCGTCGTTGCCATCGACGAGGCCCGTGTTCGATTCACGGATGATGCATTCCTTTTTACTTTCAATCTTTTTTGTATTTCCATCTACAGTTCTTGCTTTCTGTACTCCTTTTTTTTTTTTATATTTTTTCTTCTTGACCTGCATTTCCATGTGACATTTCGCAGCGTGTGAACTTCCTTCCACCTCTCGATATATTCGAGCAAGCTGCTCTGATAGAAACCTGAGACGTTCGGAACCATAAAACACGGGTAACACGTCCAGGAAACAGATAGTTTGATCATAAATAGCAGTATTGCAAGTCTACATCGCCTGATTGGACCGCACATAAATGGTCAGCTTTGAAAACCATAAACTCTACCCTTCATTACCTATGACCGAATCCAGTTTGCAAACACTCATAGACAATCGGTCAGCTTACGAATGAGTGTTTGCATTACAGGTATGTCTTGTGTTTAGCAATGTGGAGAGTGGATAGAGAGCTGTATAGTTGATCAAGCCTGGGTATGCGTTGAACAATGAGACATGAAATTCGATGCTCTGCCAAGGAGAGCAACGACCCTCAAGGCTACAACTGCTTCCAGTTCAATGGCCTAACCTCAGGAAAGCTCCATTCTGGTCTAGTCAACCCTTGAGGTGAAGCACATACGGCACGTAAGCCTTGCCAGAAGGGTCAATTACGCGAAGATCTCAGCACTTGCACTCAGTTGCGTAGGCCATTATCCGAAGACAGCTTTACTGACTGAAAGCAGAATAGAGAAAAACCCAGAGTGTCTCCATCAAGAGATACGTGGAGTAGTCATGATGTAGCCCTGATCTATGATGCCCTCTGGGGGTTATGCAACGTTAAAGGGAAAAGAAGTGTCATTGACGTCTGCACTGGAGGATGAGATCGAGGAGCAAATGTCTTTGAAAGGATATTCTCATGAGGTCTCGACCGTTAATCCTCGGCATCACTTCCGTTTTCGATATGAGTATCTGGAATTATCTCATAATCCAGTGGACCTAGTCCGGATTTCAGCCTGCCATGATCTTGTACACGCCCGAGTGCAACCCTAAAGACACTTTCAACCCGTACTACAGCCCATATGTATCATTCTCGCGGTAATTGACTCTAGGATTGCCACAGCGTTCTTCTGAAAGCGTCAAGCACTTCCGTCATTGCTACAGTGAGCCTGTAATTTCATCCTGAATGCTGACTTCATAGACTGTGATCATGGGAATTTGAGTCTCCTTCGTCGTTGTCTGGAACTAAAGCACTGACCGGGGACTGGGAGTCCATTGCATCAACGATGCGTTCGAGATCTTCCAAGTCCCGAGGCCATTCTATCCAAATAGGAAGAAGCAAAGCTATAAGTACGAGTCAAGCTTCGTCGAAATCAGACTGCTATGATCGACCATCAAACACATATCTGCGAATAACTATAGCAAGGATTCCAATTCTTCCATTATCGAAATTCTTCTCAAAATGCCTGCTCTTATCAGCCGCCAAAACTCCATACCGGAATCTATCATCTCGGTTAAGAACGGCACCAAGGTGCAATCCACCAGTTCCTGTGGCCTTCTCGTGAATGCAGCCCGCAAGGGTAACGTCGATATCATCAGGTTCCTGATCTATCTCGGTGCCGACGTCAATGAATACTACGACGGCGTGACCCCACTCCTCGCGGCAGCCATAGCCGGCCAGGAAGCTGCCATGATTGAGCTCCTTCAGAATGACGCGAGCCCCACAGCTCGTGATAACGAAGGTTGCACCATTTTCAAGCTCCTCCTTGACAACGGTCACTACGATATCGCGGAGATGTTGATCAAGGAGTACCCCGACCTCACCGTGACGGACCCGCGTCTGCCCAAAGGAGAGAAATGGCTCCGGGAGCAGTTCGAGGAGATCTCAGACAATGTCAAAGACCCGAAGAGCAAGCCTAGCAAGGAGGTCCTGGAGTATCTCATTTCAGGTCAGCTCCCTCGTGAGGAGGGCCGCTCCGTCTCGGACGTCTACTGGGAGCATATCTTGCTGCGTTATATCGGGGATGTTCCGCTTGATATCAAGCGGAACTACTCCCGCTCCCTGCGTCTGTCGCTGATGGGAACTTTTGACAAATTCCTCCTTGGACATGATGGCATCAAGGAGTCGGCGAGGCTGCTTAATAGTAAGTTGCCTACTACTGCTTACACCATCGAGGGCACTGTCGTAGATGAAGACGGGGGATGGGTGACGGAGCGTTGGAGCTACCATGATGCCTATGGCATCGATGTGAGAGATGGTATAGATTCGTTCTTGATCGATAGTGAGAAGGGAAAGATCATGGTGAAGATGATTAACTACAACGTTGGTAAGAAGACGAATTGTTAGGTCCTGGCTGACATGTCTTCTGTTCGATTGCGTGAAAAACCAAAAGTATCCTTTCGTTTTTGAACTTTTAGTGTTGCTTCAGTTCTAATCAGTGGAATTTGTTTTAAGATATGAATCAAATTGGTTTTGGCTTCCTCACGGCAGTTTTGTCAGTTATCCAGCTGAATATTGGTACAGCTACCACGGAATCAGACAGATAAAGGCTGCTTGACAGAGCAATGGTCCATTCTCTCCCTAAGCTGAAGAAATCTAACATACAGTGGCAAGTCATGCTGACTTCACAAAATCAATCAAGGAAGAAATATCGTCACCACCATGGCCAGCCGCCACTGCCTCCCCCATAAATTCCTTCATGGGCCGAATAAAATCCGCAGAGACTTTCTGTGCCGCACTGGCGTCGATAATATTCTGAATAGCAACCAATTGCATACCGAGATTCGATCCTTCGCTGGCGTAATTCCCCTCATCAATCTGCCTTGCCATCCCTTTGGTGTATTCGGTCATTGCCCCCAGCCATGGAACCAGGAGGTCCACGAACTTGACCGCGGGCGTGCTCGACCTCACGAGAGCGGTTGCATGCAGGAAGCCTGAGAAGAGACCGTACATGCCGCTGAGCAGAGCCAGGTCATGCAGCGACGCAGAGCCTGCATCTTCGCCTAGGAAGACGCACTTGGCTAGCACTGACAGGTCGGCCTCGGCGGCCTTGAATGCATCCGGTGACCCGCTGTACAGGACAAGGGCATGAGGCGAACCGATCATGGACGGGGTGGCCATGATTCCGCCGTGGACGTATCGAGCGCCGTGACTGACGAAACGGTCTGATAATCTCCGAGCTTGGTCAGGCGTTCCGTTTGTGAGGTTGATGATTGTCTTGCCGTGGAGGTGGTCAAGAGCGCCGGCGAGAGTTGCTTCTACGGCGGCGTTATCGAGGAGACAGATGATGATCAGATCGCTTGCGTTGATGCCATCCACTGCAGTATAGGAAAGTGTTGCACCCTTTTCGAGCAAAGAGCTTGCTTTTTCTGGAGATCGATTCCATACAGCGACCTTGTACTTCTCTTCGAGGAACCGAGACGCCAGGGCTGTGCCCATGGCTCCGAGACCGAAAATGCTAACGGATGACATTGTGATTAGGATTTGAGAGGAAGGATTGATCTGAGTGTTGATTGATCCATACATTCAGCAGATTTCTACTTCTATTTATACGTGCACGCCTCTTCATTCCATGTTGTTCCATCTTAATATCTACATGCATGCTTGGCAGCCAAGGGTTGCTTTGAAATCACGGTGGGTACATCTCGTATTTGACAAATCAACAATAGATTGCCAAGTGAATTGACTCATTTTGTAGTATTTGCATCTGGAACCAGTATAGAGATATTCAGGACAGAAATTGGAATTCCGTGTGAATATGCAGTAGTACTTGGGGTAATATAACCGCGAGATGCCCGAATCCGGACCAATATAGTAGCGCACAGGATACATTCCCTACAAACGGAGTCTAAAGAATATCTGACATATAAAGTATAAATTAGGGGGTTGAACTATTATAATGGTACTATACTATGATTGTTTTAATCCTTATGCAGAAAGTCCTTATTATAGATGAGACTGAGAGCAATAGGGTTAACTATTTTATGTATTTATAGGAATGAGTTAGCAGGCTGATGCGTCCTTTAAGAAGTTGGAGCTAATCAGGGCTCACTATGACATGACCTAGGAACGCTTACCACCATGGAGGACAGGTTCGAGGAGAATTTCAAGAATGGGCGTCGAGACGGGTCCTTCAACGGTTATCCGTGACTAGCCCACCCACACCGCTTCCAGTGTGGGTAATGAAGCTATTCTCAACGCATTACCTGACTATCTAAGAAGAAATTCATACTATTCTCATCTGCTGCCTCTGCTGATCCATATAATATCATATTATCTTGTGTAGGTGCTGGTGGTGGGGGTTTACCATGCACTTTCTCCCACTGCCTTTATCAATGCCTCTCTTGTGCAGCAGCACCTTTGGCCTTGATATACTTTAATTCCTTCATCTCTTGCTTCACTGGGCCTAGATTAAGGTGTTCTGGGAGTCATTTCTTAAGTAATATGCCCATACCCTGCTAACCTGTCTAACTTCACCAGTGTGCTGAAGTGACTGATTTGCATACTCTTCTAGTAGCTTAGGTGTCACTGGCATGGTATGATCTCCCATCCAGACTATCCACAGTATTAAGGCTTCCTCCTAATACCCATTAAGTGCTTTATTAACTGGTTCCAAGCTGTATGAGGCTGTCTGCCCTTTTTAATGTTGATCACATAGTATTAAATAAGGAACGCCATATTCATTCGGAGATATTTAGTTTTTTTGGGTCTGAGCGGCTTCACAGGCCTTAAGGAGGTCAGATTCATTAACTTTTATAGATTTAGGCATGTTGGGTGATGGGAATAGCTTTAAGAGGTTAACATATCGAAAATTGGTGATTACAGTGAAATTCGTGATTACGCTAGCTCACCCATAGCTGGAAGTGGTGTGGGTGGGCTATAGTCACAGATACCACGTTGGCCACAAACAAGATCACTCATCACAAGTATAAGAATGACGGATGGATGAACGACTAGTTGCTGGTCGCGGTCAGTCATTTAGCAAATTTATGCAAAGTAGATCAGACTCGATTAGACAAGGACAATATGCCCCTTGGCCTTAGCATGTTCAGATCAACAGATGTTGGATTAAGTACAGGTCAATAACGAGCTTCAAATGACTTTTGTGCATTTTCATCATGTTGCCCCATTTCCAAGCAAGCCATAATGACACGGGGATCGACTGTTCTATCTCGAGTCTCAATGAGCAAAAACAATGGGCTGGCCGTCGGGTTTTGCCTGTCCGGCACTGTAGCTTACGCCATCCACTTTGAGACCGTATTCATTGACAAGAGTGATGGTGTCGCCATTAGTGGAAAGATGACAATGGGGGATGTCGAAAACCTTTGTTGCCATCGCGTCCAATGCTGCATTAGGGGGTAAAACTTGGATTTGGCCAGCTGAGTTATGAATCTGCCACGTCCCAAGGGAGAGAGGTTTGCTCGTGAGGTTGGTGAGAGTAACGGATTCCCGTCGTTCCTTTGAGCCACCCCGTCCAGGAGCTTTGATGTTTGCCTGTTTGATGGCCACAGAATTCTCAATAAGATCGGGCTGCCCTCTTTGGTCAATTAGGTAGTCACTCCAAGTCTCCGATGATATGGCATGTCCAGTCCGATCATCAGTATGGGCTGCCTGGGATGCAAAGCCGAGGAAAATGCCAACCCATCGGTCAGGATTTGTGAAATGAATTAAGAGAGCTCCGTCTTGAAAAATGCCATCATCCCCCTTCCAGCGTCCTTTGTTGCCCTGGTTCATATGGACATCGTGGATTCCATTTTTTGTGTTAAAACGCGCACCAAAAATATATACTTCAGCTTGGTGTTCAATGGCCTGACGAACTTCGGGTTCCAGCACGTCAATAATATCGTTATCAGGGCCCTCAATGTCATGTGGCAGAACCCGGCCGCTGTTGACGTTGAACAAGTTACTCCGGATAAAATCAATCCTTGGACCATCAGGGCTCGGCTTCGTATCTTCGAGTAGATGGAAACCCAGTTCCAGTACACTGAGCCTGTCGATGATGGGATGCTGGCTGAAATCACGATCTACCCAATACACGAGGCGAGAGTCCTTGTCTCCAGATTTGATATTGATTGCAGCTCGGAAGAGTCCAGGAATTTCCTTCCCTGTCCGGCCAAGGTTGCGTTGAGAGCCCTCCTTGCGATGTTGTCCACTGTCGTCATAGTATAATGATAGATGCGGTGACCGTGGGTCATCTTCATGATGTTCAACTATGTAGCGCACAGGGTATGCCTTCCAGACACCATAATCTTGGATAGGCATACTGAAGGTAGTTCACAGTTTATCAATATGCTAACAGTGATATTATGCAGTGTTAGAACTAAGTATATACTATGTTTCAGGGTCTAAGAGGAGTTTAAGGCTTTTTATAAAGCACCATAGTCAGTCCATTATGTGAGTCTGATGACGCATGATGATGATGCGTAACATGATTACGAAATAGTTATTAAATTTCCACATCTCTCTCTACTAAGATCAAAGTGTAGATATCAGGTGAGCTCAGGCCCAGAATAGTCGATATGAGTCAAGCCATTTTCACTAGCTGAAGTTTTAGGATTCCTTACATGCTAATGGACTTACGCATATTCTGTTTTCGCATTCATGGACCCTTTGGTGGCTCCGCGGTTTAGACTTCCACAGTCCTCAGCTGAATGACGGTTGCGGTACCCTTGCGTCAAGCTCACAAGACACCTGGAAAGCGCGCAATGATTCGTGGATGTACCTTTAACAAGGGGCAAGGCAGCTGGGTCAGCTGAGCGCTATCAAGGGTAGACGAGAACAGCAGTATGCTCCCATAGGTGCGGAATTCCGGCTTTATAATAAGTGACGTGAAAGACATATTAAGAGTGCCATCCATAAATACCACTCCTGCTTTAATCAAATTGAGAGCTAGGACATGCCGAATTTAACTACCGAACATGCTACAGGCCACCCGTATTTCACACTCATTAAAGAACAGGACTTAGAGTCTCTTTTGTGCCGATGGTTTCGGACATGACCATCTATGGCTGAATGACCACAATCTCCAATCTTAGTAGACAATTTCCAACGAGACCAGTCTTCCGAATTGACATAAGGTATGTTAGCCATTATGAGCTAGAGCTTATCTTTCCCCTATTCAGGACTTGAACTCCTACGCGAGTCCTTGTTGGCATCTTCAGCAACGTTACCAGAGCCAGGGACGGGAGCATAGGGATGTGGAATGCTCTCTCGCAACGGATGCGCCGTTCCAGTTTGGATATCCCCCTCATCCGTCACTTTATGAGCTGCAGCAAGAGCATAGTCACCAGAGTCGAAGTAGGTCCGATGCTTTGATCGTTAGGCATTCTCTTTGTATGGTCATTGCCCAAGAAGTAGCAAGTACCTTGGACGCTGGGCCTAGCAGCCCTCTGTGTGGTAACTTCCCATAAATGCTGAGGAGGTGCTTTTCGCGCTCAGAGAGCGGCTAAAGTAGACAAAGAAATGAATTAAAGGTGCAGATGTGGGAATGGTCAAACCTACTTCTGTAGAAGGCTTTTGGCTCTCTTTCGGATTCATTTCATTGTTGAGCCTGAGTGGAGTCCACGATCAAAGAGCGTAGGGGGTGATAATTCCAAATATGCTTTGAGTCGCCACATGCATCAGTGACATCACCCGAATGTGGGGTGACACTTATATTGGCTAGACTCTATACATACTAGCGCAGGAGCCTATCCCCACAAAATATTGGTAGATCTCCTGACAATCAAAGTTAAGCTGATTAAGTTTTATGAGTGGGCAACTGACATATCTATGAAGACTATGATATCTTATGTACACAGAGCAGATTAACAATAACAGCTTCTTCACCTATTGTCTAACTAAAGTAGTCATGCAACAAAGAGATTAGCAGTTGAATATTTTTCACATTGAGATCCATCTTTATACAAGAAGCCATGGAGCTACCCTATCTACTCTGTACCATGTTCACATACATCATCAACTGGAGATGTCTACCAAGGTCCACTAATCCTAATCCAGCAATCACATGCCACTACAATAAAACCATTTCAACATCATAACACATCAAGGAAAGCAAATATATGATCCGTCTTCTGTGCAGTTTCCCAAATTGTCCAGAAGTACAGCCTACCATAGGTTGCAGGATGGTGTTTAACGACACGTCGACCAGGAGCTGCTGCTTTAAAGCTATCTGCATGAAGCATCCTGCCATGCTTCACGGGGCTCGCCCGGAATCTTTCTCAGTCGCGAACAAAGCATCTTCAGACCAGCTTCAAGACAAGCTATGGCGAGGCTTTCAACCATTGAGAAGCTAAAATTGGCTGCACTAATATGGAAGCGAAAATGAGCCATTTCCACGTACTCCCCACCTCACGAGACGTTCCAACTTCGCCGACTGCATCGAACTGGACCTGGAGGAAGACGGCCATCGTAGTTGCACGTACAAAAACGACTCGGACTGGGATGATTTATGAGACGCCTCCATATCCACACTGAGAAGACCATGGGATCTTACAATGGTCTAGACATGATGGATCGTCTTGCTCTTACTGTCTTCGACGACCGGACTACCTTTGACCGCGGACATCCTTTGTGCGCGAGGACTTCAGGAAATGGGCTGCCACAGCGCCTCAGGAAGAGCAAGGTACCGGTCCGGGGAACGCTCAACACTACCGGTATTGTAGCCAGGTCACCGACGAGTGTTTGGATTCCATTATTCGAAAAGCGCCGCCACCTGATGAACTGACAATCAACAAAGAGGGGCTTGCCAACATTATTGATGCGAGCTGGGAGACTTAGTCGCAGTGGGATGGTGACGAAAGAATTGAAAACGACGATGCGCCACTTGAAGGCTGTACTCTGCTGGCTGTGGGCTGGATGAAAGTTTGTCACGATGGAGTCATGATGGGTTCTTATTATTATTTACGCAACAGCCACGCCTGGGATTACGAGTATCGTAGACCACCGCAAATCGAGCAGCAATGAGGATTTCGAAGGTGTTTACGGCTGAGTCTCGCAAAGTTGTCCCGTGTTGCGGCAGGATAGAAAGTCATTCTGATAAAGCTACTGTAAGTCATTCCTTATGATACTTGCCTTGTCAGGCATCGTCGGGGCGGATTTCATGAAGGAACTCGGTCTACATGCCCTCAATGTAGAATTATAGCATGCACCCCATTTCACGCCTAATCATGATTAAAAATGAACTAAAATTAAACCCATCGACAAATTGGCCTCGAATATAAACCGTATCTCCCTGTATTCCATCCTGATTTACCCATAAGACGCCCATCCCAGTCAAACCCAACCCATATCCTACCGCATCGGCATCCACGGCTCACACAACTCTTGCGGCAGACTCTTGACACAAACCGACTCGGATAGTTTCACCCGCTCTGCTTTATTTTCCTTCCCGACCTGCACCAAGGCCATATCAACCTTGAGATAGATATCATCCCCCACAGCCGTGAGCTGGAGCTCCCCATTCGCGCACTCCAGATCGACCTCGACCATGAACGACAACTGCGGATTCCCGGTGAACGCTCCTAGGCAGAGACCCGCAACACTCACTTCCATGACCGTGTCGAAGCTGAGGTGGTTGATTGTCCCGGTGACCTGGTGTTTCTTAGCTGTTGATTATCACACCAAACGGGGGAGAGTATACATTGATGGTTCCGATGGTGGTGTTGAAGGATGCCCACTCGTTTTTGGGCGGTCTTCCGAAGAGGTTCAGCGAGGAGGATTGTTTGTTCTGGCGGACGTGGTACGTGCCGCTTTTGGATTTTGTGGTGGTGAGGATGGCGCCTATCCTGTAAGTATTGTTGTTGTTGTGAGGGAGTGGTGCGAGGAATGCGTACCTGTGAATAGGGCGGATTCTGGCGTTTCGACTGTGGAGTTGAGGGCGACCATTTTGGAGTAAGTTGAGTATCTGGATGGCCGGATAGCGGATAGCGGATAGTGTGGGTTGACAGTGTGACCTTGGTCTTGAATTTGTGGGAGTTGAGGTTGAGGGATTGGATGTCAGGGCTCTTTTAGAAGACTGAACAGTAGAAAGGGATGGTGATTGCGGCATCCCTTGCATACAGGCTCGCCTTTCTATTGGCGTCGATCATGTCCATCTTGACATATTGCTTTGTGGAACTTGTCTGATTTGAGGAAACAACAGAATGGCATGGAGGAGATATCACGCTGCAGCTGCAGCGGTAAGACAGAGCCACGTCAATCAAATTGCTTCTTTGATAGGGGTTCCAATAATTTGATACGCTCTAACTCTAATGCAGCTTACTGCAGAGCAGTTGGCATGCAAATGTGATTAATCACACGTACCTTTAGTACGTCGATCATCGATGATCGCCTAGGCTCGATGAATAATAGGTTGCCTGCAGGCATAATGCTTGTATTTCACTGCAGTGGTGAAGAATGCCTGTCAGTTTGCATCAGGAAAACGTTACGTCCCCACCATCTACGCCTCGCTTTTCAGACACTTGTCTATGATCTTTGCCATTTCTAAACATTCTTCATCTCTCATCGTGGTAGCGAAGACCTGAATAGAGCATGGTGCTCCTTCCAGCTGCGTGAAGTTGTCTAAATGATTGTTAGTCAGAAGAATAGGCCTCTAGATCAGCAAAAGTACTCACAAGTCGGTCCAGCCTGACCCGGAGCAAGCTCAAAAGCCTCCTGGGCATCCATCTCGTTGACCCGTCCGAAGGGGATAATGCATGAAGGATACTGAACATTGTTAGACGAAACTTCCAAGCGGTGAAATTAGCTTACGTCAAGACAGTTTAGGAAAGTCGTGTACGGGGCGAGTCCAAACAGATCATGCGGAACAGCCGTATTTTGAGCTGGTGGCGCGAGACAAACATCAAGATCGTGGCTGATCCACATCTTCCTCCAGGTTTCTCGAAGATCGGCTCTCTTGGCATTGAGAGCAGCGAGTTTTCCTAGCCGGTCTAAATGGCTGAAATCAGGTAGATAGGTTTTCCCTGCCTGCTTGAGTATCTCTACCTGGCGCTGGATGTTAACGAGAGCAGGCACCGATGGCTCGCCGGCCGCCTGTAAGTGCTTCATAGCTCCACTATCGAGAGTAAAGATATTCCATGCGACTTCGTTGATCTCCATTACCCTGCATTCATCGGCTGACAGCTCAATGATTTGATGGCCTTGAGCTTTCAGTAACTTGGCAGCCTCCGCCAAGGTCCTTTGCACTGGTGGATGCAGAGGGAAGATAGAGTCTGGGGGCACGACGCCAATTCGCAGGGGATGTCTGACAGTCGCCTGTCTCCAGGGCACATCGATGACGGAGGAATCGTACAGGCCGGGTCTCGCATAGATGACTGTCTTTAGAAAGACCTCAATTGCATCCATATCCAGAGCTAACGGCCCTGCACAGGACAGGATGAACTTCATGCCGGGGGTGCTACAACTGCGCCCGCCACCATTCGGGATACGGGACGCACTGGGCCGGAAGCCGTACGTTCCGCAGCATAGAGCGGGAATACGGATTGAACCTGGCTTTGTTAGTTCCTTCTGTAGACGGGGGATTATCTTACCTCCAATATCAGTTCCGACGCCTAGGGGTGAGCCTCTCAGGGCGACAAGAGCGCCTTCACCTCCGCTGGATCCACCTGGTCCTAAAAGAGTGTTGTGGGGATTCAATGTACGACCAAAGACATTATTGTGTGAGTCGGCTGTCTACAACAGGGAAATTAGCGTTTATACATCCGAAACTAGTAGGTAGACGTACCATCATCGTTTGAGGAATGTTCGTCTTGACATAGATAACAGCTCCCAGGCTTAGCAGAATATCGACCAAAGGCGAGTTTTCGGTCGATTTCTCGTCCAAAAAGGAGATCATTCCAATAGACGCATGCGTTCCCTTGACGTGGAAAAGGTCCTTGATGCTGATCGGGAGGCCATGCAATGGTCCCGCGGATTTGCCTTGCGCCTTGAGTTCATCTAAATATTTGGCTCGCTCTTGGGCTTCCGGGAACATGGTCTCTGTGAGACAGTTTACCTATCTAACATGAGGATTTTATCATATCAGCGACGAGAACATTCATACCAATTGCTGCGCCACTGCAGCTCGCTTGGAAAATGCCAATGTCACTTCGAGCGAGGTCAGTCGTCCATCTGCCAATGCTGACAGAAGGCCAGACACGGTGTATTGCTCTGTGATTTGCAGTTCTCGCTCGGTTAGGATACCAGCTTTGCGGACAGCATCTCCCTGAATCAGGTCATTTTTGTTCTCGGCCAGTGGTAGCTGTAGGGAAGAGAGGATGCTTTCTGGGATCTTCCATTCAGCGGGGATCTTCTGCAGGCATTCCCGTTGCTTTTGGGCGACTTTGTGCTGCCAGTCGGACAGGGAGTTTTGAGAGTTCATTTGTATAATCCAGCAAGCCTGAAATAGTTGACGAGTCTCTAGTATGTGTGGTGAGTTTAAAACGGTACTAGCGAGTGCTCATGGAAGTACTCTCACAATATACAAGTCCTGAAGGTCTCAACACGAGCAGCATCCAATGTAAGGCTACCTGCCATTCTCCACCACATCAAAGATAAGTAATACCTCCGTTCCGGCAAATTGCTGACACCACACCAATTAGGACAACAATCCATGTGTGAAGAACGAGGGGTAGGGATCGCTGCCAATCACAATATACTCACTCCAGCCGATATAGAAACCTGATTGGCTAGTTCGGCTACAGCTTATGGAAAAGGTCGCGTCTGGATTCTAGGCGCATAAATCTGAAGGTCACCGGCTCAATCTAGGGTCGTCAGGGTCGTCATATTTTATGTTCATCTTCATCCAGCTTCATTAGTCTAATGGTAGAATCCGTCGTTGCCATCGACGACGTCCGTTTGATTATTCATGATAATGGCTTGCTTTCTTATTTCACCTTCCAAAGGCCTAATCCAGCATTTCCCTCACTTTGACTGCAATTGGGTCAGACACCACGTCCGTTTTGTCGTCTCTGTCGACTAACTTGACTATTGCTGATCGACGTTCAACGATTCACGATCCCGAAGCTAAGCAGAATAAGGAAGAAAATCGAGGAAAGTCTCTACCTGCATCAAACAAAGCGGCAGAGAACAAGGCCATACAGCTAACGACAGCCGAAGTAAGATTCGGCGCAAGATGTGGACTACGAGAGCTAGGAAGAGAAGCTGTCGAAACTAGGATCAGAGTCCAGCAATTACAGGGCACTTTACTGGGAAACGGTCGTATGCGCCCAATGGCTAGGAACTACCAAGCGAATGTAGCTATACAAATCAAACGTTGACGTCAACCAATCTATTCTCCATCTACCCATCCTTCCTGTAACCCCAACTCCCATATACCTGCCATGAATAAATACAACAATTCTGGCTGTCATAACGTTCAGTCAACGTCGCTTAAATGTCAAGCCCGTGAGTTCTGTGCCTTGAGTTCAGTCAAGCTCAATTGACTGGATTGCTTGATGGACTTCCAGCTAGTCTGATCCCAGTAGCCACCAAAGCAGTATCCTGGGTGCAAAACAGTCAAGCATAGAGTAGCGATAACCATCATAGCGCCCTCCAGGATCATGAAGGTCACTTCGTCATTCGCCAAGGGACCGTCGAAACCCTCTCGTAGTTCGGCCACCCGGAAGATGGACCGGACAAATATCGCTAATGTCGCGACGGTGAGCCCTATAGTTGTCAGATATACGTAGCGGGGTGAAATACAGGGAAGGAGAAGCCTACCGATCAAGAACGCCTTCCACTTGAGCGTCTTGCGGACTTGATACATCGATTCGTTAAGTTTGTCCGGGTTCTTGTACACCCGCCAGGCAAAATCGGCGCACAGACAGAGGAAAACCCCGAGAGATGCCACTTGGCTGGCAAGGCCCGCTATCATAATGTTGATCCCCGTCTGACGCAGGTCTTGCTGATCGTGATCCGCAGTCGAGGTAATGGCTCCTCCGGCAGCTTGGAGCACAAGTGAGAGGAAGTCGCAAAGAACGAAGATAATGGTGTAGGTTCTTGGCTTGAGACGGGAGATACCCTCGCCGTAGACAACGACGATATGGCCGAGGCAGATGTAGATGACGGCACTCAAGAAGGCAGGTCCAATGGTGAGGCAGATTAGATATCTGGACAATAGAAGTCAGCTCATCCTGCCGTGGTTTCCGGGAAAGGTGATAGATAGAAACCCACTCAAGGAATGGATCAAATGGAAATGGGTTGTAGTGAAGCTGGACTCTCCCGACATAACCGATGACTTCAAGAGCAAGACCACCGATCATTCCCACTAGGTATCCCCAAGTACGGTAATAGATCCCAAGTCCCAGATTGGCCACCAACATCGTACCAAAAAGCGCCAGGTACAGAAGGTTACCCGCCAGGTTGGGAACATAGTTGAAGTTGGCGAGACTCAATGGACAAGTATCCAGCGTACAGTAGTCCGAGGGGTCTGTAGTGTTGCTCACCATGATGAGAACTTTCCAGAATATACTCTAAGTAAATAATAAGCACGGTAGAAGGAAGATGCACGAGTTGAGATTTCAACGATCCCAGTCGCAAGTCCCTGTGTGGTTGATGCCATATAAGTAGGTGCCAGTTACTTCGATGCCTGCTCAACAGCTCGACTTCAATTGCTAAGCCCTTTTCCCAACGCATGTTTCTAGCCCTTGGTATCAACGGCTCTCACTGCGGTCGATACATCAACAACAATTTAGTATCATACACCGTAAATGTGGATGAGCACTGGGGCATTGGCCGTAGCTTCTAGTACATGATTTGCTGCACAATGGGCATGAACTCTAAATGACTAAATTTAGAGCCATATTTTCCGAATAAAGGAAAAACAAAGCAATTTGTTGGCTCGGCCATATTTTGAGGCTGAAGTTAATAATTGAGCTGCCTGAGTCAGTAAGCCCTAGAGATAGAACGAGCCAACGAGGTAGGCCTCTTGAAACAAAGCCGTGTTTTTCGGGCACGGACACGGACAAGGACACGGACAAGGCCACGGACAAGACACGGACTCCAGGCTGGGGATAAGAACACCGAGAAGAACGCGCCCATACCGACAAAACAACGCGTCATTCTGCTGAGGCGCAGCGTCAGCTTCTGAGCTGACAGAGAAGAGAATCTTGGCACAAGGCACGTTGTTCTATCCGCCCGCTGTCAGACTGATGTTGGCCAGTTGTGCCCCTCAAGGTAAACAAGGGTAGCCAAGTAAATCTCGACTTGGCGTGTCAACTGAATCACTCTGAAATAACTAAGAAAATATAGTTCAGTCCATGTTCCAGAACCAGGCATCAAGATAGAATAGCCCAACTGCATAAAAAGTCAAGTCTTGGCTCAACTAACCTGAAGACCAGAGACCCGCCCAGCGTGGGGTTGAGGCCGTTGGCATATCTGACCGACAGCGCATATCATCAGGAAGAATGGCTGCAGATACTCTCTGAAACCGCTGCTGCTGCTTGATTCTCTTGTCGGATGTCTAAGACATCGCCGTATGGGCTGGGTAACGACACTATGGCCGGTGATCCTGGACAGTGCAATAGTACTATATTGTTGCCTGAGGCGGCAACTTCTCACTCACCCATCAGTGCTAAACTCTTCCATCCCCTCTTCAAACTCGGGCATTCAACTATCATCAAATCCATCGATTTTATATGTCGGACACATCAATGACTCCCGATACGAGTTCGGATGCGACCACACCGCAGATTCCCTTGGTAAAAACATGCCAGAATTGTGCTCGTGGCAAGATACGTTGTGTTCGATCCGCAGATAGCGAAAGTTGCCAACGGTCAGCATAGCACAACAACTGATCTGTCATCCTCAGGGGACTGACAATTAAAGATGTCAACGTTTAGGAAAAGAATGTGTATTTCGTCAAGCACGCTCCAAGTCTGATGGGAGTCGGCGCGACAAGTCAGCACTCTATGAATATCCCTCCTGCTAGAATCTTGTGCTGACTGTGGGGACGCTGAGCAGGAGAATTGATATTCTTGAAGAGAAGGTTGACCAGCTCCTGGCCAGATCAAAGACGGCTACCTTTAAAAGACGGACTGATCATGTAAGTCCCATGCTGACTGCTCGCTTGAAGTAGTAATGCGCTTAATACATGCAAGAATCCAACATATTCGAGAGCATCGCGGCGCGAAGCGTCTGAGAGCCCCAGCGCAAATGGAGATGTTATTGACCAAGGTATTCTGTCCATGGAGGCAGCAAATGCTCTAATCGACACATACAAAGCAACAATGATGCCAAATTTACCGTTTGTTATCATTCCCTCAGATCTGAGCACCGAGGAAATACGTCGAACGAGACCAGTAGTATTCCTTACAGTCCTCACAGCTGCCCTGTTCGATAACATGCCTTTGCAGCGTGTGCTAGAGAAGCAAGCAAAAGTTGCCATTAGTGACCGCATGGCATTTAAGGGAGAGATCTCCTTTGATTTACTCCAGGGTCTTCTGATATACATTGCATGGTGCGTATGTCGGAACTGGGATTTAGACTGTACTCTAACAGGAGCAGGAGCCAATATCATTCGCGTCCTCGCCGATTCTCACAGTATCTGCATTTGGCAATCAGCATCATTGTCGACCGCCGACTGGACAGAGCTCCTGGCATGCGGTTGTGGCAAACGAGGGTGGGCATAGCTGATAGCAACTCAAACCCAGTGTGCTGGGGCCCGGATGAGCAGAGAGCCGTTATTGGATGCTATTACTTTTCATCAAGGTACTTCACTCTCGCCATCTCTGATACTTGAAACTGACAAGGCGAAAGCGTATCGCGAATCCTTCAAAAGCTATCAACCTTTCCACACACGCCATACATTGAAGACTGCTGTCAATCCCTTGCTCGAAGCTCAACCTGTCCGTCTGACTCACAATTGCCTCATATCGTACATCTTCAGCGGCTTTTTGAAAGCATTGATCACCTATCGCCTCAGAATGCACCAGAACTGCATTGTACAGATGCTGTCCTGGAACCCCATTTTCGCAAGATGAAGGCCGAGCTAGACCAGTTCAGAGCTGATTCCCTCGCTGCCTTTGCACACAATCGTATGTTGAGTGATGATTTACCAGTTAAGCCCTCAAGCTAACCAAAGCAGAGTTTCTCATCATGCAGTTCCATACAGCAGAGCTATACCTTTGCCAAATCACCCTCTTTGACCGGACAACATCGGATGACTCAATGTTCTGGTCGTCACTCCGCGTCGAAGCTTTATCCATGGGTCTCATGGCAGCCAGGCAGTTCTTTCAATTTTATCTCGCGCTCCCATTGCGTGCAGAGACTGTATTCAATAACGCACAGTGGGTTCAAGGTGGATTTTGCTTGACTCTAGCTGCAAAGCTCTCAGTCGCCGCCTCAGATTCCTCGATCGACCGCCAAGTAGCAAAACTTAGGGACTCGTTGGACGTGTCTCTGATACTCCAGCAGGTTATCCTACGCGTCCAAGCGTTAGTCACGCCCCTGGTGGACGCACGAGGCGAAAGGGATGTATTTTATCACTATGAAAATCGCCTTAAGCGCTTGAAGTGGTGGTATGAAACTCAGATGACGCAGATTCCCGTCCAGCGCCAACATCATGCTTCTCCAACAGCAATGGCATATAACCCTATTACCACTGCGGGGCCGTCTCCAGTTCCGGCAGAGGATATGCACACACAGTGGCCCAGTATGTTGCCTGATGCAACCATTGATGATCTATTCAAGGAGTGGAATTCCGACGTAGGCGTCTATTTTGGCGTCGCCTAAAATCCGGATGCCATGATATTGAACGTGCCTCCTTCGACGTTGATCGCTATTGGAGAAGCTCTCAGGCGTTTAGCACAAGTCCACTACATTCTAGCAAAGGTTGATAAGGATAGAGTAGGGGAACATGATGGTGTGTTAGGTATATCTTTCAATTAGAAGTCATTTATCTTATACTGTAAGTACTGTAAGCGAGCTAGTATCTGTCTAATAACCAAATCAGAACAGATTGCTGAATTTTTAAGTCGATAGTAACATGAAATGTCCCCTTTGCCTCAGTTGACATTCTCTTTAGCTGACGGTGCCTGCTGGCTCTTAGCTTCGTTCCCACAAGCAACCCAAGCTCCGCAGTGGAGAATCATGATCTCGATAGCTAGTATAAAATCCCGTCAGGATGGAGTCGGATTCGCCAGGGAAGAGCCGTTTCATTTTCGCAACGTCGAAACTCTGGCGTAGGGCAGCAAACTTTCGACTACGGTTTGTGCATATCTATCTCCGGATGTCAGCTTTGATCAACATTCGTAAAGCTTGTTTCTGACACACCACCAGAACAGGTAGGTAAGGCATCGGCGAAAACTTCCCGTAGACGAACGTGATGTACTCTCCTCCTGCACCATCGATGGCGAAATCCGGCCCCTCCTTGTCATCACAAAGACCCAGTTTCCTGGAGGTGACGGGGACGCTGTCGGTTGAGAAATGGAATTCGATCCCCCCAAAGCCGCCTTTGGATCTCGTGACGGATATTCCTGTCAAGTACTGAAGGTACGACCCTCCTGGACCACCGAACCAGACCCAGAAGAGGAGATTGTGACGAGATTTCGCCGGCGATTGGCCCACCGAAAACCCATCTTTCATGCGTAAATTTTCTGGCGGGAGACCTGGATACCATAATGCAGTATCAAGGAGAGACCGGCAACTTTTTCGTTTTGGCCGGGATGGCCGGCCCACCGCCAGAGAGACAAGTTTGAAGCCCTAGTCTGCCATTAGTACAGGTGATAAACAGGATGAAAGGCTAGAGAGTATCCTGACATCAAAAGAAGCAGTTATTCCAACAATCTCCTTTTCCGACTTCAACATACGTGTTTGAGGACATCCCCTGTTCGAACCGAACCATTTAGTGACGTCGGATCCTTCGTCGATTACCTGCAACCCATGGATACCTGCCGTCCCCACTGCGACAACGAATCCCCCTAAGGCTACTACATCGGCTGAAGAATTGTCCCGAGATCTGTAACCGAGTTGTGTGCTGGTACCATCGTCGAAGAAAAGTTTCAGACCTGTGATGTAGACTGTGTCCTCAATGTCAATGGATGAGACAGAGATTTGACGCAAATGACCAGAGAGGATCACATGCTGCGTGTACAGGATTTTGCAGCTGTCAATATATTCTTCACCAATATTAGTAGCCTTGATAGGCCAATGGAGCTTCACCCAATCCAGGCCCACAGGGTCTCTGGGGTTGTTAAGAATAGTCGTTGTGTCAGGTTCAGATAGGTCCAGGATGCCTTTCAAACACCGTGCTAATCCCCAGATCCTGGCTCTATTGTGTAAAGAAGCAGCACGCTGAATGCATATAAAGCGATGCAGCAATCTTGAGTTAACAAACTTGCTGGGTTCCAGTTCGTGCACCTCGAATGCGAAATCACACTCCTCAGACTTGATTTTCGATGTCCAAAAGTGTGAGCTCTGCATCATAGTGCTCAACCGCCTTGAGACGAATCGTAATTTCAGGCAGTCGTGCACTTTCAGGTAAGCACATATTTCAAACCAAATATCCAATGGGAGGTGATCAAGACAGCTGACACTCTCCGAGCGGGATTTTACTCTCTTGATCGGATACGGCTTTGATGCTTTCCGATTCACAGACTTCTTGGGCCTCGTGGCTCTCTGCAATGCTAACCTCCAGGCCCGATTGCCATCAGGAAAGGGATCTTGTTCCATCGGCCGCCAAGTCTCATGTCTCCCAGTTACACTGTAATGAAGCACACCTCTGCCAGATTTATCAACCATCCCGCCATAGGAATGACCCCAGTTAATCCTAATAGAGAACTTGTTACACAATGAGTTGCACACATCCAGTAGCCGAGCCAGTGGTACAGCCCTTTGGCCGTAAATACGTCTCAGGAGTGACCAGCATGCTTCGTGCAACAGGAATGCCGCCTTCGAGGGGACCTGGATGAAATATCCCACGAAGTAAACTTGTCTGCATTGAGGCTTCGGTTCATCGTTCCAAGAACTGTTCTCGGCACGAGGGACAGACCACGCCATCCTTCCCTTGCGATATCCCAAGCCAGAGAGGTGTGCGCCGTCTTCGGACTGCCACACTGGGCCTGTGTCAGCGGTGCTGCAGCCCCCATCAGACAGGAACCTCACTCACAAATTCGGAACATGCTTGTCCAGTTCCTCTTTTTTATACTTTCTGCAATAGGGACAACATTGCCGCAAAGAATACAGTATGAGGATACCGTAACGGGAGACATCGTTCGTACCTAACACATAGGCAGCTGTAGAACAAGTTGTCTCTGCCGTACGAGGAAGGATCCAACCATCTAACTCACGTTTTTTAAATTTCTTTCGACGAACCTACAGGTTGACTGGTACTGCGTCATTTTGACAGCTATGTTGATTTGCAATGCAGGAATTATGGCACATCATCACCAAACCATGGTAGATCCATGCATTCACCGAGTTTGACTGACTAAAAGGCAGGCTCCTAATATAAAATGATTGAACATCAAAGAAACATGAATGTGATCTTTAAAGTGCCTTGTAGCATAAGATAAGTCGATAGGTTACGGGTGTATGTGAAGGGTCAATATCCAAGCCCTTCCCTACGGGTCATTTATTCCAAGGACGCCATTCCGCATGTTAAAATTAGGTTCGCAGGCAAAAGGGACAAAGATGCCCAGATGTGAATACGCCCTTGTCTCTCCGGCGAATCTTTTTCGGACCGAATTAAGCTTCCAATTTGCTTGGAATGGATGCTAAATGAGGTTCCGTCTCCTGTACAATTAGCGTAATCAGAATCAATACATCAAAGGCCAAGGAAATGGAGCCTTCTCTTGCTTTGATTCATCGATGCTGTTGATCATTATGATGCTACTGGATTGTTACACAGCCTACAACTCTAGGCAGTAGTATGAGACAACGTCGCTGTCGTCGTCGTCGTAGTAGTAAATTAGTAATGCTCCGTTGGCGTGGATGGAAGGATTCAGCAGTGCAGCACTGCCACATATTTGATATCACACGTTTTGTTAGGGGATGATACGTGCCTGAAGACCCTACAGGGAGTGGAAGGCTCCCTAAGGGGCTACATCGTACATGACACACTCCGTAGAGTAGGTCTTTCTGATGTGGTACATATTTCTGAGCCAGCAACAGGATCTGGAGGATCTGAACTCATTTCCCTAGTGTTTCGACAAGATATTCCCCCACTACCTTGTGTCCCGGCCGGGGATTTATGCCAGGGCAGTACTCTGCCCCTGCGCCACCATGCCGGTGCTCACGGGTACTTGCAGAGTCGAGAGAAAGGGCATAAAAGCTGATAACCCCTTTGTATAATGGAAGGTCAATCAAGGCCCTTGAGTCATGTATATCTCAATGAGAACCACAAAGTCCCTCCTGGCCAGCCTTTTGCTGGGGCAGGCCATTGCGCACCCTGGCTGTCCCGGTCCTGATATATCGACATTCGACAACGCAACTACCATCGAACGCGATGTTGCTATAATCGGAGGCGGAGCTTCTGGCACCCACGCTGCCATCCAGCTCCGTAAGATGGGCCACAGCGTCGTGGTGGTCGAAAGGGAACCCCTCCTAGGCGGCCACACCAATACCTACCTCGATCCAGTCAGCGGCCAGCATATCGACTACGGCGTCCTGATCTGGCAGAACATCCCCGAGGCAAGAGACCTCCTCGCCCACTTCAACATCTCCACGACCACCGTGCAATTCGGACGCTCCAATAGTGCCCGCGTCGATCTGCGCACGGGACAAACTGTGCCCCCGCCGCAGGGCAATGTGACCGACGCCATGATGCGGTATGCGATGCAGCTGCTCCAGTATCCCTATCTCGAGGAGGGATGGAACCTTCCTGACCCTGTGCCGGAGGACCTACTGCTCCCATTCGGGGAGTTTGTGAAGAAATACGACCTCGCAGCGGCTGTGGAGACCCTTACGCTGTATGCGCAAGGTCTCAAGGACTGGCTGCAGTGCCCGACCATATATATGATGAAGCAGTTCAGTCTGGGGGTGGCGCTGGGCGCGCAGAATGGGTTCCTGGCCTCGGTGGACGGCAACAACGGGGCCTTGTATGAAGCTGCGCAAAAGGAACTGGCCGCTGATGCATTGCTCAGCAGTACTGTGGTTAGCATGGAGCGTCCAGCAGACCGTCCGCATCGGATTCTGGTCCGAACTCCAAAGGGCTACCAACTGATCAAAGCCAAAAAGACCATCATCACTGCTCCGCCGAAGCTGGAAAATCTGGTGAATTTCGATCTAGACGATACCGAGCGTGGCGTCTTTGGCCAGTTCGAAAATGCCTTCTACTACACCACTGTGGTCAGAGTCCCAGGTCTACCAGCCGGGCTTGACATCATCAACCGCGCTGCTGACACGCCGTACAATATCCCTCATCTGCCGGGAGTGTACGCCATGTTGCCGTCTCGCGTCCCAGACATCTACACGATCTTCTATGGTGGCGGGGAGGCCAAGACCGAGGACGAGGTGAAGAAGAGCATCAGAGACGGTGTGATGATGCTACGTGAAGCACAATTCAACACCTCCGAGCCTGAGATCCTGACCATCAGCAACCACAGTCCATTCGCCTTGTTCGTCTCGGCCGACAAAATCGCAAAGGGCTTCTATAGGGACCTCTATGCGTTGCAGGGACAGCGGAACACGTACTATACCGGCGCTGCGTTCCATACGCATGACTCTGCTGCCGTCTGGAGGTTTACGGACAACCTGTTGAAGACTATGTTTGTTTGATGTGCTGCAGATTGTTCAGTGGTCTGTAACTGTGTATCATAAGGGACGATAGTTGTTAGTTTGCGCACAGCTTAGCTTAATATCAGAGTGTTATTGAGAATCCTGCTTTTGAAGCCGGCTCCGCAGTAGCTGAGTACTACCATATTGTTAGTAGTATTAGAAAATAATGACGAGGAGTAGCAACTATACAAGAGAACTTAGGAAACCACATACGCCGAATATCCTGCTTAGTTCGTCGCAGTCGACTTCTTTCGCGACCTATGTTCGTCTCCTGGTGCAACGCAGATAAAGATCTCTAGGCGAGGAAGCAAGATATTGCCAAAACCACCCTTGGAATGACGAATGTTTGGCTGGTGTGACTCGGCAACACTTCGGAGCAGCGGTCATACAGCGCGCATGGATACGCTGGTCACGCAGTCTAGACCACCTTGACAGCTCAGCCAAGAATGAATCCTGCCAAACGAAAGCTAACTATTGCTATACTTTCTTCATGTTCCTTCAGGGCCAGTCGGTGGAGTTTGAATCACTGTGTATGAAGGAAGTCCGAAAATGGGCAGGTTGAAAGCTAGGAAGCGACCGAGTATTCTTGGAATAGCATGTGAAATATATTAGAATGACGAATTGTTTTGAGATAAGCTATCTGAATAGATTACGCTCCGGATTAAGTGCAAAACCCCCTGCTGAGATACAGACAGGGGATGATCATCAGGGGCATGGATATCACCAATCAGGCTGAATGATTCCCCTTCTCCTCTTCCTCTGGCCTGTCCAAGTCCCACAAGAACAGCCGAATGTAACCATGATCAGGGATGTTGATCCGCTGCCGTCGCACATTCGCTCGGACTCCGGTCTTGGCTGCCGATCGCCAATTTCTCTTGAGCAAAGCTTGGGTCGTCTTGACGATTCTTCCACCGGAAGAATGCCCGGACTGGGCAGGTGATCTGAGGGATTTGTGCATGCTCGATAACAGCGTCGTATTCCGACGGCACTAGACGGTCATAAGGCTCGTTCCTGACGAAGCATGATTGATATGAAGCGGATATTGGTTCAGACAATCGCCCCTCGTCTTGGCGTTGTTTCGAGTGTCTGGTGTTATAAAGAGGGATCGCCCCAACGGGGAGGATGTATCGCTCTCGTGTAGTAGAATTTGGTCTCCGAGGTTAACAATGTGGTATCAAAAGTGGTTGCTCCCTCTCTTGGTAGCAGGGGCCAGCGCTGCCCCGGCCAGCACGGCCAGCGCAGCCAAAGACAGTATCTCGTCTGTTGTTAAGAATGGCGTCAAGTATACTGTCTTTGAACATGCTGCGACCGGAGCCAAGATGGAGTTTGTCAAGAACTCAGGTATCTGCGAGACTACTCCCGGGGTGAATCAGTACTCTGGATATCTCTCCGTCGGGGATAACATGAACATGTGGTTCTGGTATGTACCGCACAACAACATCGCTACATGCAGAGCCTAACATGTGCAGGTTCTTCGAGGCCCGAAACAACCCCAAGCAGGCTCCTCTCGCTGCCTGGTTCAACGGCGGCCCTGGTTGCTCCTCCATGATCGGTCTGTTCCAGGAGAACGGCCCTTGCCACTTTGTCAACGGCGAAGATACCCCCTCGCTGAACAAGTACAGCTGGAACAACTACGCCAACATGCTGTATATTGACCAGCCCATCGGCGTTGGCTTCTCCTACGGCACAAACGAAGTGTCCAGCACGGAGACTGCTGCTCCCTATGTGTGGAAGTTGCTGCAGGCCTTCTACGCGCAGTTCCCGGAATACGAAAGCCGTGAGTTTGGCATCTTCACCGAGGTAAGTCCCGTCTCTGAGCTTGCGATAGCAGAAAAAGCTGATCTTCCAGTCCTACGGTGGACACTATGGTCCCGAATTCGCCTCGTACATTCAGGAGCAAAACGCCGCCATCAAAGCCGGAACGGTGTCTGGCGAAAACATCAACCTGGTCGCACTGGGAGTCAACAACGGCTGGACCGACTCGGCCATCCAGGAAAAGGCGTACATCGACTACAGCTACAACAACACCTACAAGCAGCTCATCGACTCTTCCGATCGCACGCGTCTGCTGAGCGTCTACAACAGCCAATGTCTGCCAGCGATCCAGAAATGCGCAAAGACAGGCACCAACGCCGACTGCAGAAACGCCGACAGCGTCTGCTACTCCAACATTGAGGGGCCGATCAGTAATTCTGGTGACTTTAATGTGTATGATATCCGCCAGCCACAAAACGACCCTTTTCCGCCTCAGACATACTCCACCTACCTCGCCAACCCCGACGTTGTCAAAGCCATTGGTGCGCGTACCAAATACCAGGAATGTCCGGACGGACCGTACAGCAAGTTTTCGCAAACGGGAGATAGTAAGTTCCCTCTTTCTTCCTAGGAGTGCACAGCTGACGACGTAGACCCTCGCTCGTTCCTGGCGACTCTCTCCGACGTGGTCAAGTCCGGCATCAACGTTATCGTGTGGGCGGGCGACGCCGACTGGATCTGCAACTGGCTGGGCAACTACGAGGTTGCCAATGCTGTTGATTTCCCCGGACAGACGAAGTTCAAGGCCAAGGATCTGGCGCCGTACACGGTCAATGGCGTGGAGAAGGGCACGTTCAAATATGTAGACAACTTCTCGTTCCTGAGGGTATACGAGGCCGGACACGAGGTTCCCTACTACCGTGAGTCTTTCCTGCTGCTGATATGGTCAATACTAATAGGTTTTGTCTAGAACCCGAAGCCTCGCTTCAGGTATTCCAGCAGATACTGCAGAAGAAGCCTATCTTCTCGACTTAGATATACCGTGCTCTCTGTGGGGACATATTACATCGATGTACACACCGATATATACCGTTTACACTCAAATTAGCATTGAAGTACTGGAACTTTGCCATTGTATGTCTGTAGATCGTGCGGGGTTGAAGCCGGCTTATACCCGGTATACTACTGTCAACAACGTCGATCCCCAGGATAAATGCATTCTGGCTAAACTCCTAATGAGGTCAAGGGTATGGACGACTCCGGGGGATGTCTGTCTTACGTGCTTATATTTACTGAACCCCGCACTTAGAACTATCAAATAAATAACCCAGGTGCACCACTCCAATGCATCAACGAACAACAGCAAAATGTGGCTCACCTCAGCGCTGGCACTTCTCACTGTCCTCTCCCCCTCTCTGGCCATGTCATTCAATCCCTCGACATACACATGGTACACCACCCCAGCTGCGGACTTTGCCTCCACCCTCCCAATCGGCAATGGCCGCCTCGCAGCCGCAATCTGGGGCGGCGCAGTTGACAACATCACCCTGAACGAGAACTCCATCTGGAGTGGCCCCTTCCAAGACCGCGTGAATCCAAACGCGTACGAGGGGTTTACGGACTCACGGGCTATGCTTGAGGCGGGCAATCTCAGTTCCGCCAATGATGTTGTGCTGCAAGATATGGTGAGTATCCCGAGCAGTCCGAGGGAGTATCACCCGCTTGGATCGTTGAGGTTGGATTTCGGGCACGATGCGACTAGTCTACAGAGTTATACGCGCTTTTTGGATCTGGGTACCGGGGTGGCAGGTGTGAGGTATCAGGTTGGGGATGTAGTTTACAGGTAAGTTGCTTCGCGGAGAGGAGACGAGTGCTGACTGGTTAGTCGGGAGTATGTTACTAGTCATCCTGATGGGGTGTTGGCTGTTCGGCTGCGAGCGAGCAAGAACGGTGCTTTGAATGTGGTTACCTCGTTGGAGAGAAGTAGATATGTGGAGAGCTTGACTGCCGTGAGCAGCAGGGGCATGGGTACTTTGACTCTGAAGGCGAATAGTGGGCAGAGTACGGATCCTATTAGGTTTACTGCGCAGGCGAGGGTGGTGAACCGTGGAGGTATGTCATGTTTATTCCCGTTTTATGCGTAAAGGCTAATAATCTAGGTCGAATCACTACCAACGGAACCGCGGTTGTGGTCGCTGGTGCCTCGACTGTGGATATATTCTTTGACACCCAGACATCCTATCGATATCCCGATGAGACCGAGCGGGATGCGGTGGTCAAGAAACAGCTAGATGCTGCAGTAAAAGCAAGCTACCCAGCAGTGAAGCAAGCTGCAACCTCAGACTACAAGTCTCTTTCTGGCCGCGTCAAACTGGACCTGGGTTCGTCCGGATCCGCGGGAAACCAGCCCACGGACATCAGACTCAAGAACTACAAAACCGATCCCGACAGAGACCCCGAATTGATGACCTTGATGTTCAACTTTGGCCGCCACTCGCTCATTGCATCTTCCCGCGCAGGATCATCATCCGGTCTTCCCGCCAACCTCCAGGGTATCTGGAACCAGGACTACTCGCCCGCCTGGGGAGGCAAATACACCGTCGACGTCAACCTGCAGATGAACTACTGGCATGCGCAGGTTACCAACCTTGCAGACACATTTGAGCCTGTCATTGACCTCATGGATAAGGTCGTCCCACACGGACAGGATGTCGCCAAGAAAATGTACCACTGCGACACTGGGTATATCCTGCACCACAACACCGATCTCTGGGGAGATGCTGCTCCCGTTGACAACGGAACCAAGTGGACCATGTGGCCGATGGGCAGTGCGTGGTTGTCGATGAATCTGATGGACCAGTTCCGCTTCACTCAAGACAAGACTCTCTTACAAGAGCGTATCTGGCCGCTCCTCAAGAGCGCAGCCGATTTCTACTACTGCTACCTCTTCGACTTTGAAGGCTACTACACCAGCGGTCCCTCGATCTCGCCCGAGAACGCATTCATAATCCCAGAGGATATGACTATCGCGGGTAAATCCACAGGAATCGACCTCTCCCCAACAATGGACAACCTCTTACTCCACGAGCTTTTCACCGCCGTCATCGAAACCTGCAAGGCCCTCGATATCACAGGCGAGGACCTAACCAACGCCCATAAATACATCTCCAGAATCCGACACCCCCAAATTGGCTCCTACGGGCAGATCCTCGAGTGGCGACGTGAGTACGAAGGGACGGAACCAGGACACAGACACATGAGTCCCATCCTCGGCCTCTACCCCGGCTCCCAGATGACACCGCTCGTCAACCAGACCTTGGCAAATGCAGCCAAAGTCCTACTAGACCACCGCATCACCTCCGGCAGCGGCAGCACAGGCTGGTCGCGCGCATGGACAACGAGTCTCTACGCGCGTCTCTTCGACGGCAACAGCGTCTGGCACCACGCGCTGTACTTCCTGCAAAACTACCCAACCGACAACCTGTGGAACACGGACCACGGGCCTGGCAGTGCGTTCCAGATCGATGGCAATTTTGGCTTCGCGGCGGGAATCGCGGAGATGCTGCTACAGAGTCATGCGGTGGTGCATCTCCTCCCGGCGCTGCCGGGTGCTGTTCCAGATGGTCGTGTGAGTGGTCTGGTGGCGCGGGGAAATTTCGTCGTTGATATGCAATGGAGCAATGGGGAGTTGAAATTCGCCAAGATTGAGTCCAGGAGCGGAGGGGTGCTTGCTTTGAGGGTGCAGGATGGGAAGCCGTTTACTGTGAACGGGGAGGAGTATACAGGGGCGGTCCGGACTGTTGCGGGAAAGCCCTATACAGTCAGGTTGAAATGAAGGACGTTCCTGGAGGAACGGGATGCAGTTTAGTTTGGATATCTGGGGTAAATCAAGGCCGTTATGAGGGTTTATACTACACCGGAATATAGTAAGCTGAAAGACAGTAAGGCCTCAACTATGCTATATCAGCCATTAAGTGACAACTGCCAAGAGTAGGTCAGTTAGAATATTAGGAAATAGGGTAATATATTAAAACAAATAACTTTTAGAGTGCTCAGGGGAGATTGTTTATGATTATGTGAAGTTATTAAGATTCCTCGGATCCTTGAGAAACTGAGACCTTTTGCATGCTCGGGAACTAGTCTCATATCCCCAATAGACGTCACCTATCTAGTCCGATTAGAAGCACAACAGCTCTGCAGAAGATTGACAGTCCAAGGGATTTAAACATATATAAACCCCGGAGCCCAGCTATTCATCCAATTTATCAACACTGCCTTCAATGACAAAGTCAGGATTGCCTTGAATCACAAAGCATCTGCAAAATGAAGATCACCGCTGCCATTGTCTCTTCCCTCCTCGCCGTCAGCGCCGCCGCGTTTGACAAGAATTAGCATGGGGAAAATGCGACTACCCCTGCATCAACGTCTTCCAAGGCCTCCCCGTTCGGCGACAAGATCGAGTGCCGCTGGGATCGCAACCCGAGGGGCAACTGCCCTGATCGTCTGTGCGAGTATCCCGGCAGCTACTACAAGATCGTGAATTATAACAAGCCCCGACCTGGCCCCAACGGGGTCAATGCTGGGCAGACAGTCATTCTCTATGGGGGGATTAAGGAGGAGGATGGAAAATTCAGGCCCAGATCCCGAAGTCACTACCAGATGTAAAGGATGACTCGCTGTGGTATTTGCGGATCGAGACTGTTTTGGAGACAGCGCCGCAGGTATGCAGCCCTTCTAACATGATGCTGACTAGAGCATAAGCTGATTGAGATATAGATGCCGACCTTGTTCAATGAAGCTGGCCCTTTACCGTCAAGAACTTGGGGTTGACATGACATTGTCCCCATGTGGTGTCTATATGGAGCATGGAACTTGTCTCTGGGCTTAGTACTGAATATTTGGAGAGTAATATATTCGTGGTCAGAATCATGGGGAAACATTAATATCTATATACATATGTATACAATAATAGGATCCCGGTTCAGGCCCAATATCGGCGATCGGCCAGATCATCCCTTAAAAATAAGCGAATGATACTAAATACCCCACATTCCGACCAGCCACACGGGCGCGTAGGCCTGGAATTGGATTATTCCAGTGAATGATATTCCACTACCGTTCTGCTGATCTTAAAATCATTCTCTAGCAAAAAAGTGAATATCCATATCAAAATGACCAAGGATACCAAGACATTCAAAGTGCTCCTGGTAGGAAACTCCGGTGTGGGCAAGGTATTGTGATTCCTCCTCTCCACTTCGGCCTTGGCTAACCAACACAGACGGCCTTCTTGCACCGATATCTCAATCAGAGATTCGAGCATTCGCTACCGGTAACGGCTAACGTTGAGAAACATGATATCCTTCTACACATGGTAAGTTCCCGGCCTCTGACCACAATATAATTACTCATGTTCTAGACCGTCGGCCCGGTGAGGTACGAGATCTGGGATGTCAGCGGCAATCAGAAACCCAATACTCTGGCTTCGAGGGAATTCGACGAGATCGATGCGGCGATCATCATGTTTGATCTGACTGATCGGATTTCGTACAATAATGTGCCTAATTGGTACCGTATGTACATCACCTACCGTGTTGGGGCAGCGCTGACGGAATCGTGCAGAAAGCCTCGTAAACAAGGACGGCATGCGCCTTGGGAGGTATATTCCCATTTGTATCTGCGGGAACAAGAATGATGCCTCGATGGACGCCAAATTACCACCGAAGGCAATCACCTTCCCCAAGAAGAAAGGAACGGGCTATGTGGAGATGTCTGTCATGGTTCTGGACAACATACATGAACCGTTCCTTGATCTTGCGAGGCAGCTGTTGAGGAATCCTACCGTGGTATGTACATTTGTCATTTGGCCGACTGACCTAGCTAATACTTCTCAGTGGTATAAACCACGGCCCGACATTGGACCGATAATATTGGAATTTCCAACGGTTCGGCACCAACGGTCGCCCCAGGACAATGTATCCCAATATCCTAAGCATGAATTTGGACCCCGTGTTCTGACCAAAGAGATATCACCACTTGCATCACCGCCAGCAATAGCAGCAGATATCCCGGCTGAAAAGCCCCCGACCGTCATCGAGTCGCCCAAGAGAGCGGATACATCCAACGGGCAACTGAAGTTCATCAGTACTACGAACAAAGCACCATATGGGCTCAAATCGCCTGTAAACGGGACTATCTCAGTTTTCGGTGAGACAAAACCAGCAGTCAATGGAACCGTCCCAGTTGCAGTAGCAGAACAGACAAAGCTGCATATTGTGCCCTCGGAGGAGCATGAGTATGCGAAGCATCATGAGCCAACAAAAGAGCATCGCGAACCCAACAAAACACCCGAATCTCCAGAAAAGCAACCAACTCCACTCAAAGACCAAAGCCTCTTCGTCCTGTGCATTCACTGCATCAGAATGGTGCTCATCAAGTGCATCCAGGGAACACCGCTAGCTCAACTATCCAACGACAAACCGTCCTTTGCCCTCATCACGACAGCATGCCGCTCCTGCTGTCACGACTCGAAAAAATCCCAATCAGACGAAGTGCGCATGTCTCCCGATCTGATTCGGTATACGGCCATGTACGAGTGTGCGCGCAAGGTGGCCGAGGACGAGGTGGAGGTGCTCACGAACAAAAAGAGCATTGCGCATATCTCTCTTGACAAATTGACCAACAGTATTGGCCGCGAGTGTCAGATCCAAGGGATTTCGACGAGTTCGGATACACTGCAGCGGTTAAGGCAAATGGCGAGGAAGGATGTGTTATTGGGATATGTGCCGGGGGCGTTTCTCTAGACTTGGCCTTGGATTATGGAGTTATATAGCCTAAGGTAGAATGTTGGAAGTCGTGATATCGTGTCTACCCGACTTTGCGTTCATTGAGTGGAGAACTTTCTACAGCCGACCGAGTACACCCTGCTTACTGGACATCACATCGCAGATCCACAGCTGGCGACTGTGTTGGTGGTAGATTGATAACAAAGATTTTTGGATGAATTAATCGATTGACAAGTCATATAAGGAGTGAACAGGGGTGCAGACCCCTGTTATGATTTCATAGCGGGTGGATTTCCGTTTTCAGACTTCCGATACCATGTGGAGCAGGAGGCGATGATCCTGAAAGGGGTGACGTTCCCCCTTTCAGGATCAAGTTTTATCAACAACTTCAATGACTTCAATTATCTTCAAACATAGAATTGAATTGCCCTGAATCCTGTATTTTCTAAAGTCTTTTGTTTGAAAAAATCACAATGTTCCAATGGTAAGCTACAAGGCCAGGGCAGCGAATGACGCGCTTACGCGATATAGGTACCAGCGAAGTTTGATCCAGCGTCCTTTGCTGACGCAAAGCTTGACGACTGCGGTTAGTTCTGCATTCAGGAGAAATTTGAATCAGTCATTCATTGCAGACAGTGTCTTTTCGCCGTCGGAGATAGCCTCGCCCAACAAGCCGTGGAAAAAAGGGGTATTGCTCAGCATGATGTGGTCCGTACTGGACGAATGGCTCTTTACGGTGGTGGTAGGTTAAACCCTTCCTTACAAGTTACCATTTCTAACGGTGGTAGCTGTTTTCGGTCCCCTGGCCACAAAATGGTTCCAGGTCCTGCAGAGGCGCATCAATCTGCCCTCTGCACAACGGACAGTCATTGGACGCGTAGCAGCCGACCAGTTGCTATTCGCTCCCACAATGATCGGAGTCTTCCTATCCAGCATGTCCGTCTTGGAAGGTGGAAGTCCCAGTGAAAAGTTGGAGAGATCGTACTGGCCAGCGCTGAAAGCGAACTGGACGGTGTGGCCGTTCCTGCAGCTGGTGAACTTTGCGCTTGTGCCGCTGCAGTTCCGTGTGCTTACAGTCAATGTGTTGAATATCGGTATGATCCCTGTTTCTGTTTTGGTTCTGATGCTAATTGAGATAGGATGGAACTGCTTCTTGAGCTTGTTGAATAATGTTGGCCCGCAGGATGTGCCTGTTGTTGCTTGAGTGGAATCACCCTGTCTCTAGATATAGAGTGTATCATATTTACATGTTTATAGACTATCATAGATCAAGGTGACTTTTGGCTTGCATGAGAAGAATTTTACAGGGGAGAGCTTCCTATTGGAGTATCCCGCTCGCTTATTCAACATGGCGGCTTTCCCGTTCAGGAATTGACCAGGCTGTCGCTGTTATTTTGTCACGGATAACCAGAGCTGGATTACGAAGATATATTGCAAATCAACAGAACGCAAGGGCTGGTCTATCTATTTGTATTTACGTTCGCGGTTCGCTGTCGCCGAGCAGAGCGCGAAATGGGGAATGCTCCATCGGAAGGCTGGCCAGCGTATTGACCTTTTTCATTGAGCAAGCATCTGGGTGAAAGCTGGCGCCGTCCATTGTAGACTTGAAAAGCTACTGAACGAAACCAAACAGTTGAATGCGATCCAGATGAACCCACTCATAAGTGTGAGAGCTTATCGGATGATTTTAGATATGGGGTTCCCGATCGGTGGAATGATGAAGAGGTGGTCCGATCTATAAGGGGTCTGCTTCTTGCCTAATGAGAGAGCCATTCTTCGTTAATTAATTAATTTTGTGTAGAAAAATATCTGAGGGCGATGGTTCAGTTTGCCTTTGAATTCTGCACAAGCCAGGGGTATTATGGCATTGTTAAAAATTGGGGTGGAATAGGCACTATTCACTCGACATTTACATATTGCGCCATGCATCGTGACACCCCTAGCAACTATTATCCCACACATGACGAAGAAACAAGCTTCCCATCAAGCCACCAGACACGATGATGACTCGAGAGACTTGGCTGCGGTCATCAGTGATTGTTGGTGAAGTTTATTGGCGGGCCATCGACCTGTCAAAAGTCGCCGTGGGCTGACCGGTTGCGGACGATGACGGCAACGACACGCTCTTCCCCGGACTGCCCAGAATCCGCCACCCACTACTGCGTCTAGAACTGAATTTCTCTCTTGAACAGGTCGCCTAAACTCTCCGTTGGTGGGTCGGTGGAATATCGCGATCTCATTCATCGGTTTCTTGCGATTGTGGAGGAACAGGAATTGCTACTCTGTACCACGGAAGTTGCGGGAATTCAACCCTCCACGTGAGCAGGGACCCAAGCGGGGATCACCGACGATGACAGAATGATTGGGACTGATGCTGTGAGGCTGCTAGGATGATGCTTCTTCACGATGCACAAGGCCTCCGACTGGGTGTGCTCGTGTATGACCTCATTGTGGCTTGGCGGAGAGTCTGTATTATATAGGACGCTATTATTCTCTAATGCTGCGCGATCCTTCGTCCACTGCAGTGCTGACTCCCACTCTATGCAAAAGAACTCTAATTGTACTAAAATTCTGGTGACTCGTAGTGAACATGCTGTTCAGGAAACCCAAGTTGCCTCAGGCCAATCCTGACGCCTACTACCAGGATGACCAAGTGGCATCCGACACACACTCCCAGACTGCCATCGCAGGTGATGACGGTCAGTTGGTCGATACTCATATTCCCCTCTTAACTTGGCGGTCGTTCATCATGGGCGTGTTTGTCTCCATGGGTGGTTTTCTGTTCGGCTACGACACCGGTCAGATCTCAGGTTTCCTGGAGATGAAGGATTTCCTGCAACGGTATGGTCAACAAAAGTCTGACGGGACGTTCTACTTCTCCAACGTCCGATCCGGATTGATTGTTGCACTGGTACGCTTACTTGATCCCCTCTGACATGTGCATCTGCTGACGAGTGATAGCTATCGATTGGAACATTGATGGGAGCTTTGGTCGCAGCACCTATTGCAGATCGCATAGGTCGGAAATGGTCGATCACCGGCTGGTCAATGATGATCTGTGTTGGAATCACTGTTCAAATCTCCTCTCCCACCGGCAAGTGGTACCAGGTAGCGCTTGGCCGTTGGGTTGCCGGATTGGGTGTCGGTGCTCTCTCCCTTTTGGTCCCTATGTACATGGCAGAGTCCGGTCCTCGACACATTCGTGGTTCTCTGGTCAGGTAAGTCTCAAGTTTCTGTGTTGTCAGAACAGCACTGACTGTCACAGTACGTACCAATTGTTCATCACACTCGGCATCTTCGTGGCGAACTGCATCAACTTTGGCACTGAATCACGACCCGATACTGGCTCCTGGCGTATCCCAATGGGCGTCACCTACATCTGGGCCCTCATTCTTGGCGCCGGCATGGCCCTGTTCCCTGAGAGCCCTCGATATGACTACCGACACGGTAAAATCGATAAGGCCATTACCACGCTGTCAAAGATGTACGGCATCCCAAAGAACCACCGCGCTCTGAAGCTCGAATTCGAGGAGATCAGGCAGAAATATGAGGAGGAAGTAGCTAGTGGGCAGGTCACTTGGGTTCAGCTCTTCCGGGCCCCGCGTATGGCGTACCGCGTCGCGGTGGGTGTCTCCCTGCAAGCTCTTCAACAGCTCACTGGCGCCAATTACTTCTTCTATTATGGAACGACCGTGTTTAAAGGTGCCGGTATCTCCAACAGCTACGTGACTCAGATGATTCTTGGTGGCGTGAATTTCGGGACCACCTTCCTAGGCCTTTATCTCATCGAGAACTACGGTCGTCGTCGGTCCCTTATTGCCGGTGCCCTATGGATGTTCGTGTGTTTCATGGTTTTCGCCTCCGTTGGCCACTTCTCCCTTGACCGTGAAGTCCCCGAACGGACTCACACCGCTGGCGTGGTCATGGTGGTATTCGCCTGTCTCTTCATTCTTGGGTTCGCGTCCACGTGGGGTCCAATGGTCTGGACTATCATCGCAGAATTGTATCCATCCCAGTACCGAGCTCGAGCCATGTCCCTGGCGACCGCGTCCAACTGGCTGTGGAACTTCCTCCTTGCCTTCTTCACCCCATTCATCACCGGTGCAATCGATTTCCGGTACGGCTACGTCTTTGCAGGGTGTTTGTTCCTCGCTGCCGCGATGGTGTACTTCACCGTTATGGAGGGACAGGGAAGAACGCTGGAGGAGATCGACACGATGTACGTGTGGAAGATCAAGCCGTGGCACAGCTCCAAGTATGTCTTTCCTGACCAGACGGATCGTCGCAATGAATCTGAGAAGCGCGCGGCGGGCACGAACGAGCACATGGAGACGTCTGGTGCTCAGCCGGAACCACAGAGTGTGTAGAAGCTGGATGTTATTCGATGGGTCTTAAAATTCACTTCATGCCATTATAGCAGAATTGTATCTATTCGCTTGCAGGACATTTACTCGGATTGGTATATTAATTTATTACGTATTTTCTCTTCGCTCAAGCTTCAATGTCTATAGCGGTACGATGTCCCTTGTCCGCTTGTCATCCCGAGTCACCTTGTTACTATTGCAAAGGTTGACAGCGCAAATAGGCGAAGAGGTCTCTTGCGCAGCTTTCGAGCCGCCTACATATCTTTGACTGACTTGTTTCAGGGCATATTGCCAGTATATACGTTTTAACCATCACAGCGTAGCTTTGCCAAGGTATACTTGACAGTTCAGTTCATCGTATTCGAAACGTTGACGAAAGTCATAGTACACCGTATCACAGTAGTCGTAGCTGCTACCTTACAAAAGTTACAAAGTGTGTAGGTCTGGCGCAGGAACTCTATGACAGGGGCCACAGCACAAAAGGGGCACAGCGCAAAAAGGGCACAGCAGCCCCTTCATTTTATTGGCGACAAAGGAGGTTGGTTCTCTTGGCAAGTTAAGTTATCAACGCTTAGCGCCACAACGTTCAGGGACAGCAGTCGCCACGGCATCGTCCGGATTTGGCAGGTGACATGTTCAGCATCCGTTGTCTTGGGAAAGGGGCTGGCCAATACATGCTCGGAGATAACCTTTCACCCTAGTTTATACTTTCTCCCCATGGAGGAGGGAATACTTAGGTTTGAGAGCTGCGGTAAACTGGATTAAGTTTATGGAGATCAAGCTGGTAAGATCAGGCAACAACAATTGCCGTGGTAACAGCATTAGCTGACGGAGGGACATGGACTTAAGACCAGGGGTTTTCAATCCTGGCCAGACCGGCCTATCTGCATTTGCAGCTTTTTAGTTATCCTGCACTGCATGTTGTTCTTTACGCTAGTATCAACTTTGAGCAATAGTATGTTGGCACGTAGTGCACTAGTATCTCAACTACACTAGATATGGTTGTCTAGCCACGTTTTAAGTCGCCTGGTTCGACATAGTATTCGATAGTTGCACATCATCTAAACTTCTGGGAACGCCGGTACCTTAGCCAAGTCCCTTGAAAGTAAGTTTGAACCACGAAATTACGGCCTTATGGCGGAGCTTAGATTAGACTGCAACATTTTGAGTGGGTCTTGTCCAAAGTAAACAATTGACCTCGGTAGTCTGCCACCTGGAGATGGCCCCCTACAAGGGACTCCCGAGAAATGTAGTGGTGTATGGAGATAATTGACAACAGAGGATCTGCGATGGAAAATAGCACGATTTCGATAGGTTCTAAACACAAGGAATCAGAAGGAGATCAGCCCCAGCGTGACTTCTAGATCCCTCTGTAAAGAACAAGGAGATAAGCTGTCTGCAGAGCAGAAATAACCATAAGTGTTAATGCCGTTTCCTCGGCATTTGCTCAATTCCCAATAAGGTGCGGGGAAGCCACGTTGGAGACGACCCACTTGTGCTGTTTCCCCCGCATTTCCCCGGAAAAGTCCCCAGTTGGAGTATTGAGATCGCCGGGATGAGGCAGAGCCATCTACTGCATGAATGGTTGATGATGTAGCCAAGGGGTATCCGTACACTACGAGGAAGACAAAATGTCTAACTATATAATGCCGTCCTTGGAACGCTTTGTCCGGAGGTGCTCCCCTGCCGTTCTTCACCACCATCTGAATTGCTTCTGACTATTTCCTACCAAACATCATGTCAAACGGTGTTATGAATGAAAAGTCAGACGAGCCTCTTCGTCGCATGCAAACGGCGGAGAGCGTTTTCCTGCCCATTTCTCGAGAGGCATTCGAGAAACTCTACTTGAACCCGAAGAGTCCCACGGTTTCAGGGGACTTGCGCAAGAAGGTGGGAAATCCTACACCAATCTCTCTGCTGGGCTTCTTGCTTGCTTCCACAACGAATGCATGTATTGTTATGGGATGGAGGGGAGCCGGTGGCAATGGAGCTGCCATTATGTACGAGGATCCCGTGTCCAGACTGGAGAAGATACTGACCGTGATTTAGTCCTGTCTTGATCTTCTTCGGAGGAATGGTTCAGATATTCGGTGGGATTGGGGAGTGGATTATTGGCAACACCTTCTCATGCGCGCTCTTCTTCACATACGGTATGCATGCCCACATTACTTGGAATGCGAAGCAGAACACTTATATGAACCGCGTCAGGAACCTTCTGGATTGTTCAAGGAACAACCCTTATGCCATTCTTCGCTACTGGAACCCATTTCTCGTCCACTGGCAACTTTCTCGAGGGACAGCAGACACCCATGTATAACGCCAGTATAGGTTCGTTAAATAAATTCCATTCAGCATTGGCTATGGTTGACCTGTTGGATAGCATTCTACTTTGTGGCTCTGACAGTCATAACCTTCATATACATGATATGCTCCCTTCGAACCAACGCCTGCCTCTTCTCCGCGCTCTTCTTGCTTGAGATCACTTTAGGGTTGTTCGCCGGTGCTTTCTTCTCCATCTCCGCGGGGAATCTTCATTTGGCTGAGAAATTGCAAGTGGTGAGTGCATCTTATCCTCGTGTGTTTCGCTTGATTGACACCTTCACTACAGGTCGGCGGCGCATTCAACTTTGCGCTATGCATACCAATCTGGTGGATTTTCATCACACAAATCCTGGAGGCCGTCGACTTCCCGGTCTCGCTTCCTGTTGGCGATCTCAGCACGCTTATACCAGGACGGAGCCAGAGGATGCGTTTGAAGCAAGCTGAGCCTTGAGAGAAGCAATTTAAGGCTTTCGGACTAGTACCCGACATATAAGAGGCGTTGTGAGCTTTATTCGCCCGTCTAGAATCAGATTTATCAAAAAGTCATGAAGCAACTGAAAGATGAAGCTGCATGGATTGATAGCTATCTAGAAGAGAGAGAGAATGTGCTTCTACAAAACTATCTAGCTAAGGCTGACAGCCTGGAACAATAGTCAGGCTGTCTATCAGTGGGCATGCTGCACTGGATTAGGATTGAGGCTTCTGTATAGTCACCCAAACAGCAGACAGATGCTTCCTATTCATGTGAAATAAGGACGCACATATTAATGCCAAGCACACTGCTTGAGTCACCAAAAAGTCACGTTGCTTATCATCTGTAGACTTACCTACTTTCCCTATGACTAGCTTAAACCACTGAAAAGTAAGTGATTGTAGATGACTTAAGAGAATCAAGTAGTTGTGCTGGATATTATTTAAAAGGGCTAACTAAAGCAATCTTAAAGTCAGATAGATGAAGCTCCATAAGGCATACAGTCCCTCCTAATTATCCTTGATCCGCCCCATGGCCTTGTCTACCTGGCCTAATAGGTTCTCCCAAAGTACTCTTCTCAAGTGCCTCATGGCCCTTTCTCAAAGTGAGGGTTTCATTTCAGGGCCTAGCTTGGTAAATTGTCTGGTGCCAGCAACTTCTTCATGGCTCATTCTCTCTAGTGTTTGTATGATTGTGTCAAGCAAATCTGGGTTGCTGAAAGTGCTAAGACTCATTGTCAAAGAAGGCCCTGGGAATGTATATTAGAGTTGGCCCAGTGTGTTAATCACTGGCTCATTGCGTGGAGAGAGCTCAAATGCCTTGATGTTGACCTTGTTGTTGTGGTTTGTCATTAGAAGAGTGACATTCTGGGCACGCACATGGATTAGGACATGCCCTCCTGGATGTCATTAGCATACTAAATCCACGGGGTGGTTTGAGGTGCTATGGGCTGACCTTCAGACTGCAGCTGAGCCAAAGCTTCTTCAAGGCTATCCTCGCTCACACATCCGGACGTGGTATGTGAGTCTTTCAAAGGACGAACCATAGTTGCTACGGAGCAAATGACCTTGAGTTCATCGCCTGGAAAGTGAGTTTTGATAATGTCCAGCACGTCAAGAAGCTTCTCAAGCAGAAAGCTCTCTGTTATCGGGGTCCGTATCATCCTCTCTTGGAAGTTTGGGGGGCAGGAAAACATGATAGATGATGTACGTCATGGTATCGGTGGTTGGGAGTGCCACCTTGTAGGGGTGAGTAAGAGAGAAGTGATAGGAGAAGAGGAATGTCAGGGAGTAGAAGATAGTTGGTCGTGGATGAAGGATGAGATATTGGCGAAGTGATGTAAACAAAAGATGGTGGGTGGTCGTGAGAGAAGTGTCAAATCTATCAAATTCGCTCACAGTCAAGAAATCACCCAGAGACTGTCCAAAAATGACGTGTCTGCCATCACTTCACCCATATCAACATGCCTCATTGTTCCATTTGCCTATCTTGCTGTAGTTCTATTTCTTGGTATGGCTTAAGGCTAGTCACAGTCATCTCTCTCATATATAATGAGAAGATGACTACCTTGGCCCAAGTAGTTTTCCACTGTGTGGGCTCAGGTCAGAAGGATGATAGCAACTGAATAGGGTAATAAGCTGCCTGGGAGGCTAGAAGCACATAGTAAAACGCGGGACTGGCGCCCGATGGAGGAGGGAGAGGAGCAATTCCCACGCCATTTCTGTCACTCGCCGCTGCCGGCGATGCGTACTTGAGCCTCCTCTAAGACATATGTTGGCTAGCCAGCGCTGTACGAGCGGGCTATTAGTATATAAGTCAGTTGAGAAATGCTTTTACAGATCGCCTATATTTAGATTCTCGAGGGTATAGAACAACATACCTTCATAGTATATCGACATTCCAGCTGCAGAGGCAGAGAGGTGGACTAATTGATGGTTTCACACGGCCATTTGAGCTGGAAAGGTCAATCATGTACAATGGTAGTAACTCTCTACAACAGTACGAAGTTGGAAAACAATATCCCGAATAACCGTATCCGCTAATATTGAAACTGTTGACGTCACGCTATCAAATCGTATCCTCTTAACAGAAACATGTTGTGCCCTGTCTGAATCACCCAGATACTCAGGCCGGAGTAAGTCCCATTAACCGCGTCAGCCGCTCTCGAGCAAAATCGCGCAAGTCCTCTATCTCTAACGGGAACATATCGGTGGGGTTCCTTCCCGGAAGCATGTGTTGACCAAAGAGATCCTGTCTACTGAACTCGATACTATCAGTGCCGGGGGTGGGCGCAGGATTAGGTGCAGGGAATATAATCTGATCAAGTAGTGTTAGTTTTTTAGAGGTGTGGAAGTTTTAAACAGAATATCGAAATGCCCACCTTTGTATCCACAGTAAGACCACCGCCGGCACCTCTGCGCCAAACTTCAGCGGTACCCTTCACTCTGTTGTTGGAGGTCTTAGACCACTTGAGCAAGACGACGGCGTTCACCTGACTAGATCCGTTCAACCATAAGTCTTTGTCGGAGCGTAAACGTGGCCATGATTCGGACCATCCGCTTTCCATGACAATTAGAGGAAACTCGTTTGAATCAGGCCGTAAAAACAGATCTGGTTCTTTCGAAGACAACGTATATTGGCCGGTAAAACCGTCAAACCCTGGAATCACTTAGTAACATTCTCTGAATAGGCATTCAGTAAATAAACATACTAGTCCCAACCCCAATGTCCAGAAGCTCATTTTCCGGATGGCTGAGGAGACCGCTGGCGCGCCAGTCGGAAGAACTGAAGCGCACCCATCTCTGATGTACATCGTGTAGCTCCGTCGGCATTACTCTCACCCACAATGTTTTGGTTACAGAGTTGAAATTGATCCTGGGGCATTAGATACACATGTCAGCTAAGCACATTAACATTTGTACGATGAATCTTACCTTGCGTTATGCTGCTCGACGACGGCCGACTCGGCAAGCGAGCGAGTAATAAAATCCCCGTCCACGGGGGCGACGTCTTCGTAGACAATCTCGGTAAAAGCTGTGATTGTGGGAATTTGTCGGACGATTGTATTAAAAACAGTCTGCGCAGACGGTGAGGCTCTCTTCGGGATTGTACTGCGAAGCTCTTTAGAAGACGGAGGGTTTGGAGAAGACATCCCGGAAGTATTTGAGAGGGTGGAAGAGAGATGCCTTTTGGGAGACATGATGGAATTAACAGAAGGAGCATTGTTGGGACAGTTCAAGACTTGTGTTATTATTGCTTGAGATATGTAGTTCTCTCCCACCGTGTCACGTGCTCATCCACATCACACCACAACATCTCGAAGTTGCCGGTAGCGGCAATAGCATAGTGGTAACTGGTAAGCGCTCCTGAGGCAACCTTCCAGGTTCAAGGTTTGGTCAGCCTTTTCGTCAGTGTTTGTTGCTCTGCGTTTTCGCTGTAGATTAACCATATTATTAGCCGACTTAATCCAGGTAAAATCCCTTTCTCCTTCTCTTGATTTTCACTTACCGACGGATTCTGTTGCGTCCCGTATTCAGGATCATCAGACGGCTCTATTGCTCCGTGGGTGTTGCTTCAGTGGCATGGTGAATGCCGTATAATCAATTTCGAGATATAGCCAGAGACGGGTTGAACAGCGGTTCCTGAGGGTTGAGCGTAATGGAAAGAAAAAGACTTATAAGTATAAGGTGTCTAAAAAGAAAAATGACAAAAGGAAACTAATAATTAATGTTTCTCAAGGCCAGTTACTCTTGGGTCCTCCATGGCTGATCATCCACTCTCTTCAATCAGTACCATGAAAGGTCGTAACAGCGTTTTCAGAGCGACAGCCAACACTTTTCCCCCGGGTATCTCACGCATGAGGCCTGTAGCCACGCCGGACGGGTACGCATGCACAAAAGAGATCAGCGGATGCTTCCGCGCCATGCCCTTCAGGAAAAAGTTACTTATCAGGCTCGCATGCGCCGCGCATTTGGCAAGTGTAAAGGTGTTTTTCAGACTTATGTCCGAGTAGTCCAGCGTCCCAGCCCCGCCGGCATGGACAGACGCGTGCGGGTCGAGGACAGACGCCACGCGCGAGAGTCTGGCGCTGACCTCGACGGAGGTGTCCTCTGCGGCGGCTTTTAAGAGGGGGAGTAATTGCGTTATGATTCGCATACGCGCGTAGTAGTGGAGGGAAAATTTGCGGTCCAGACCTTTGGCGGTTTCGTCGCGGCCTTTTAGCGTCATGTAGCCCGGTATCATGAAGAGCAGGTTGAGCTTTCTTCTCTTTGGAGGCGATCTCGGCGCACACGCCGTCAACGTTCTTGAGTAGATATATATCTGCTTGGAGAAACGTGAGTTGAGCTGAAGGGTTAGTGGTCTTGATAGATTCGATGGCGCTGTCGGCAGCGGACTGGCTGCGCCCAACCAGGTATATTTCAGGAGATCTGAGGTGACGAGCCAGAGCAGTCGCCGTGGAGAGAGCGATGCCGGAAGTTCCACCGACGAGAATGCATCAGGAAATAGGTAGGTTGATCGAGGTAATATGGCTTGGGGCTGGACCTGCCAAACACTGCCACCAGACCTGGCGTTAGATGTTTGAGAGCCACATTGTGGGCCTGGACAGTCTGCAGATTCACCATGCCGATCGGCAGGAATTACAAGTAGCATTTGAGATTATGTATTTCCAAAGGAACAAAATATGAGGAGGAGTTCGGACATTTAAATATCTGAAGGGGGAGATGTGGCTATAGACATTCCTGTGGCTCTCGTCATCCACCACAAAAGCCAGGACGAATTCGCCTAACAAACATTAAGACTGGCATCACCAGAAATGTTCCAGGTGATGTTTTCACCGCAGGGATTCTCCGTCACACTGTTTCCATTGACTTCCAGCGTGATCGAAACATCGCGATTGTTCTCAAATTCGTCGCGAGCCGCAAGTCGAACCTCACCACCACCCTCAACAGTCCCCCCAAGAATCGACACTCCATAGCAGTTCTCAATGAGGATAGCATTGTTCCCATTGTCAGCCAGATCCACGTTTCCAATCTCAACACCGCCCGACTCCGAGACACAAAAGACACCACGACCGCCACCGCGAGAGACGACATTGTCCACAAACACATTCGTAGTGTAGCTCCCATCAGCGAGTCGACCATTGGCATTAGCCATGCGGAAAGTGGCGTACCCATTCCCAGCAGCGACGTTGTCGCCGTCCACGAGGCCAACCTTCGCGTTTGTCGTTGTCTGCAGCAACAGGCCGCACTCACCCACGTCGCGCGCAATGACCTTGTTGATGGTGAGGCCGTCAATGTTCCAGGTCTCGACGGCATGACTTCCGGCTCCGGTAACCGTGATACTGTCCATGCTGACGTCGGCGTTGGCGGCTTCGTCACGTTCGAAACGGATTCCCAGTCCTCCGCTCAGGTTCATGGTGATGGTGCCGAGCGAGAGGCCTGTGACACCGTAGAACCGCATGCCGAAGTAGGGGTTGCCGGTCATGGTGAGGTAGGGGATTGATACCCCGTCCGTGTCGAGCGACTCGATCGCGCCGCGTCCGCCCTCGTTGTAGCCCACGTCGATGGTTCCGCATCCTTCAAACGTCTTGCCGCTACTGATGCTTATGACGTTGGTGCCGATGGATCCCGATGCAATGACCGATAGACGCTGTCCCGAACTGATGGCGTCCAGAGCAGTCTGGATAGCGGTGTAATAGTCGGCGCCCGAGTACACTTCCTCAGACCCAACAGCGGCAGTGTACGAACCGTCTGCGCCGTTAACTGTGGCATCTGGGGTACCAGAGCCACACTGGGCGGAGACAGCCGTGGCCAGGGCGATTACTCCTGCGAGTATAGCGGATTTACCCATGACGAATTGGGTTGTATAGTGTATTATACAAGGACAAGAAAGAGCCTATGGCTATCTTTTTGTCCGCTTTCATGGAGGATGTCCACAGCATATATACCTTCTTCAGCTCCCTGGGCAAAATTAAAGGACACTTAAGTATCCAGGTTTGTCTGCCAAGCATGTTTCGGCGGGGGTCGGTTCTCCAGGCAAGCGACTCAGCGGTATATCATCACCCCGAAGAGGACTTCACGGAGACATATGAGCGGAGGAGACTTCCCACCACTTGTTTCAAAACACCTCTTGGCAATAAGCTCATACAGATGGGATTGTTGAGTGGAAATGTGGAGAGATGACCGATATGCGCCTAGTTCGGGCGGTGCTGGATGCATTCCGTGCCGATCTGTCGGGGAGAGCCAGCATGATTCAACCCCTGTTGGTTCTTGGCTCTATATCCACCAAACCTCTAGTGTTGCAAATGCCGTGCGCCCTTGAAATCCCACCTGTCAGGTCAAAATGCGGCGACTTCAGGAGCAGACCTCCCCATTCGGAGCGGGATATGGCCTTATGGAGGCTTGGCCAGAGTAGAATGACATCAAAACGCCGAGCTCAGAAAAGTGCACGATGAAAACTTTCGCAAAACGCTCGTCGAGCTAAGTAGATCTCCACCGGAGATGATCGGCAGACTCTCTCATGATAATCCGCGAATCAACAGCGTTACTCCTCATGAATACAAACAGCAGACATATTTTGAGATGAGACTGAGATGAAACCCAGGACTGTTTCTTCTGCACTTATTCTCTATAGAAATATTGCCCTGAATTTTATCCCCACCTTTCATATCGACATCCTCCGCCATTTCAAGCGGTGCGGACACACAGCCGCAAGTAGCTCTCTACGCCGAGCGACATCTCCAAGCTCGGCAACAACCACGACATACCCATCCGGTCGTATCACTGCAAGTGCCGCCTTGCTTGTCCTCCGGGTGATACCTGTTGTAGAAGCGCATCTAGCATGCTGTTTCACAACACCAGGGACATCATCCCACTCAAAAAATTTCTCAACGCGCGGGTGAATAGTGATCAGCTCAATGAGTGATTTTGGGAAACGCTCTATCATCGTGGTCACGCCATCTAGGGCATTTGCTGATACGCCGAATGGATCAAGAATGTCGGACGAGGTAAGGCAAAGAACGCGGGATCTTCCGGTCGACTCCAGATCTCCACGCCCTGTTAGTTGGTTCGCCAAGTGAAGGGGTTGAAACAGCACGCACCGTCTTGGATATCGCGGTGCCATCCGTCAGCGTGTCGCATCAGCTTGACGTTCAAAGGTCTGCGACCTGGCCAAAGGACTCCGGCCAAGTAGTCAGTCCCCTGGATGGGGTTCGATGATCCGGGTGGGAGCTCATAAAACAATCTAGCTGAGGCTGACAGCCCAGAAAAATAGTTGGGCCGTCTGTCAGTGGGCATAGCCTCCAAGAAGAAGCCATGATGCAGGTGGGAGTTGCTAGTGTCCTGATTCAAGCGATATACTTGGTGTGTTATCATGATATTCACCTGATAGAAAGCGGAACTGATATTTACCGAACATGGAATATATATATAGTGCACTGCTGGATATTGATAGTCTTTGTGAACAGGCCACAGACTATAATCTCCATGATCAGGTTGAGCACTGAAATCGTAGGACTGCTGTGTTGTGACCTCAATCCATCGTTAGTACGGAGTATATGACGTTGAACTAGGTGAATCTATATCCGAATGTACAGTTTACAACAACACAATCGGTATCTTGAGTATCCGACCCCCGATCCCTTCAGGCTGCCACCTGAAAAGGATCGAGGGCAGGGGTTTGATACAGGGGCTATGGAATACAATAGCTGTAATAGGATGCAATTGAGCGCGCTCATACGGCCTGGTAAGAAGGAAAGACTACCAGAACCAGAATGATGATAAATGTGATTTCGGAGGTTGATATAGGACGTCCAGCTCTCATGAAAGAGATTCCATTGATGGAGGCTGTTGATGAAAATTTCGAGAACTTTAAGGAGAAAGTGCATAAGTTGATTGGGGCGCCATCATTAAAGGGTTACGAATTGTCATCGTTGAGATTAGAGCATAATCATTTAGCTTGGACTTCTCTCGTCACCAAGCCAAACATAATACAGCAGCTTCCCAGCATCTACTTGTCCGACCGCCGAGTGCCTCCCCCGAGACTCATAGCTCAAACTATTCTCCCACGCAACGCCAAGTCTGTCGATGCTCGCTCGCGTGTTCCAGCCCGTCTGTTGCTGGATCTCTCGCAGAACGCGGACGCATGCATTCCGTTCCGCGTCTACCACGAGACACTGACCCGCAATAGTAAGGAGTTGGACGGCATTCGCCCACGCGATGGTGCATCGATTCGCCAGCGAATTGGCAACAATCTGACGCGCGTACATCTGTGCTCGGCCAGTCACGTCGGGGCGGGAGAGCACGGAGAGGCGGCTACTCGCCTGCGAGCAAGGCGTGCAAATTGTGAGGATGAGAAAAGCAGTGTGCAGCATTTGCCAAGCGGCGGACACGGGACCGTTCAAGTACCGCACAGACTGGAAGGGATTGTCCTCTCCATCTGGAGGTAGAATGCTGATCGGTGAGCACACGGCTGGCGCTTGGCTCTGGAGGCTCACCAGCTCCGCTTCGAGCTCCTTCCATCGGGCATCGTGAGGTTGCTTAGCGTGTCGATCCATGTCGTCGGGGGGCGTGCGACTCCAGAAATCGTGAACCATCCCGAGGAGAAAAACGACCTTTTTCTGCCATGATTTGAGCGTCCACGTGGCCGGATCAGGGAATACACCCCCAGGAATCCATTCTCTCGGTTCTAATGCTGCTGGCTTGCCGGCACAAAGAGAGGCAAGGATAATCATTCTGCAGTAAATCCAGAATGACTGTATATTGACGATTCCAGGTTAGCCACATCATCATAGCATAGAGAAATAGGACATACAGCCTGTGCCAAGCCACCGCTCATCCCATGCCAACCATGCATCTTAAGAAGATCGCCGGTCCCCTTGAGGTGCAAGTCCCAGGCTGTGGCCTTGCTCTCGACCATCTCACAATGAGCTATAAGCAGACAGCTCGCAAATACCGAGGGGTCTGGCCCGCTATCCTGTAGCCGCTTGGACAGCAGGTGAATCGCCGCGTTGTAGTATGTCAAAGCCTGCTCATGACTGTGCTGCTGCTGGTCATTGACGAGGGAGTACTGGCGGGCTGCCACGGCGACGCAGGCTAGCAGAACAAGCGTGTCGTTTAGAGCCAGCTGCGGCACGACTGTCGAGAAATACCGCGGTGCATCGTCGAACATGTCGAAGCGCGGCCCGATGAAGTCGATGTATCGCCAGAGGAAAAAGGCGTCAGTGGCATCCGTGACGGGGGTACCGTGGCTGGATAGCCCAGGCCGCGGCGACGGATGCTGGTCTGATGTAACGCTCGAGGCCTCGACGCTCGCATTTGTGACCTGGTATAGGTCGGCGACCTCTTCCGTTTCGTCCACAAAGGTCGCTGTTACTTGAAGGCGTTAGCGTGTTTCTGCTACCGTCCTATGAGTGCTGCTAACCTGGACCTTCTACAGTCTTTGAGACAAAGTCCTTTAAAAGGCCAGCGGCGGGTGCCTTGAACTCGAGCGCGGTAAAAGTGACGTCTTGACAAAGGGAACACTCGATCCCTCGTCGCTTGCATAAAGCGCAAGGCCGCGACTGATCACACTTGACGTGGCTCTTGCGACACTGCTCGCATGCTTGACATCCAATGTCAGCGTTCCTTTTATAACACAATGGCATCTCTCATACTCCACCTACCTAACTTGGATCTCGAGCTAGGCCCTCGCACTTGTTTCGAGATGGATTCCCGAAAGGGCGGCATTGCCGAGTGCCGAACTGCCGATGACGCGGTTTCGCGAATGTGACTGTATTACCTATATTACGTAGACAATTAATGCATATGTCCTTAAAGAATATTAAATTAAAAGCGCGGACCAGCCTTGGACCTGTGGGGAGAGAAAAAGATTGAGTTAGTCCAAAGCCATGAGAAAACAGGAACAGTGGCTTACAAATCACTGCATCTGCAACATTCCCATCTTCGCACTCAACACGAAATGCAAATAAATATCTGGTCCTTTGCAAGTAGAAGAGTGGGCATCTCCTTGGTCCAGACTGGCATATGTGTGTGTATTCAGAGAATGAATGAATATAATTCATAGATGATAGATCATCGTGCCTGTGCTCCATATGTGCGTTGCTGCACCCCGGATTACGGCCATAGCGGGGTTATTCCGGGATCAGGATGGGCCAGTGACATGCAGGGAGCCAAGAGTAGGTATAAATTACTCCGTACTTCTATGGAAGTACCTTGGCCTTTAAAGATGTAAGTTTAGTACTGAGGACGTCCTTAGTAATTATATCTGAGTAACTTAACTAGGTAATAATTGGAATATGACTATATTCATCTAAAATGCCAGACTCTTCGCACTCTTTACTAGATTGCTATTTCTTTCTATTCCGTTGCCAGCAGCTATTGTTGTAGTATGCTATGAGCTGCACAGAGAAGGGAGAAGAATCATTTCTGTTGTGCATTTCACATCCTCCTCAGGAAAGTCTCCCCAAAACTGTCGTCGATGTCAGTATCATGTTACTGGATAGCTGGATAGCTCTATAATGTCAACTTACCTGAGCAACATGCTGTCGGATTCGGTGCATATTCTTGCCCGGCTGGATCTGGCCCACCACCCCTGGATAGTCCGATTCAGTCCTCTTGGGCACAATCATGGGTCGTCCGACGAAGCACTCATGCGTCAATAACGCAAAGCCGAGAGCTTCTTTTGCACCGATCGGAATCCCAATCTCGGAGATGGGGACAATACGTGTGTTGGGCATGCGCTCCTTCAGGTAGTTGATGATGTTAGGGTTATACGACCCACCGCCGCCCATGTAGATCTCGTCGACGCCCCCCGGCGGCCCCCAGCGTTCGTAGGCATCGGCCAGGGACTGCGCTGTGATGCGAGTTATGGTGGCGACACAGTCCTCGGGTGTAGCGCCGCCTGTATTGACACACTCTGTCAGATATATATAGTCCTAATTGGGGTAGTCGACTTACGCGCCAGCATCTCATCGCAGATGTCTTCCGCCATCCGATCCCCAAACGTCTCTCGGCCAGTAGTCTTGGGTATATCATGCACAAAGTACGGCCCCTGTAGTACTCGATCTACCACAGACTGGTCAACCTTGCCCTTCTGGCCCATGGCACCATTCTTGTCATATTCCTGTTGACCGTTGGTGAAGTACCGCACCGCAGCGTCGATAAACACGTTTCCAGGTCCCGTATCGAAGTCGTAGCACTCTTCAACAGCGCCTCGGGGTAAGATGGAAAAGTTTGCAATGCCGCCAATGTTCTGCACCGCACGATTGAGCGTCGGGTGGCTCAGCAGGAGGGAGTCGAGAGCTGCAAATAGCGGGCAGCCTTGTCGGCCGAGAGCCATATCGGACACGCGAAAGTTGCCAAGCGAGGTGACGCCTGTGCCAGCGGCAATGATGGCTATCTCACCCATGTCGAGATGTGCTCGACTCTGATTTCCCTCAAAGAGCTCCGGCAGGGGTAGGTGCCAGATCGTCTGGCCCTGGCCACCAATCAGATCGACGTCCGATGCCAGGCTGAAATTGTTCTCCTGCGCGAACCACTTGACGGCGTCTGTAATGACCTCCCCCAGCTGGATGTTGACGATGGCCATTTCCTCGGGCGTCGTCTTGTTCTCCTTGATGAGCTTCATGACTCTTGCCTTGAGCTTTTTCGGCATTGCGTATTCTCCGTAGTGCAGGAGCTGCATCTTTAACGGCGTTTTCGGGCTGTCCTGGGTGAAGTGGACATGGACAAGGTCGACCCCGTCCATGGACGTTCCCGCATTGTGTCCAATGACTTTCAGCGAACTGTTGGAGTCCAACCACATGTCAGCAATGTTAAGGGCAAAAGACCGAGTGCATTCAAGAGGTATTAACACTTACAGTGGGCTGCCGCCGGACTGGTTCAAAGCGGAAGGCATCGTGCGGTCTAGCGTTAAGGGAATGCGCGATTGAAGATACAGATCATGGAGTGAAAGGTCATAATGATGCTGCGCATACTTTATATATCTTGCTGGGAGAAAGCTCGACAAAATCACGCCCCCACAACACACCTCACATTCACACCGGGCACATCGGACTCAATTCCCTTCCGGAGACAGAGTCAGTCATTCCTCCTGCCATTCTCCGCACTTCATCTTTTCAAGTGGATGCAGTCAAGCAGAGGTCTGTGGGGGTTTTCCGTTTGGAGAGTCTCGAGACTTACCAAAGTCAGTATGGAGCTGTGGAGACAATTGGGGAAATCTCCTCTCGGGGATGATTGCCTTCCGCAGTATCCAACCTTCTCGGAGCTGCATGCCTTCCGGGGATTTTATCGTTTATACTCCCCGGACCCTGTTTGGCCTGGGGTTTGGCACTAACGCCATGATCAAACCCCAGATTCTGAAAATCTATAAATTCTCCAACCTGACAGGAATCGGAACGTCCAGTTGCGACTCTATGACATGCCCTGGGTCAAAATCCCGTCATCTATCTCAATCATGGCCATCTTCCCACTGACCAGATACACCACCCACATGGGTGCGTCGGGTCTGACGCTCAATTTTCTTGTGGCAGGCATTGCGACATGTGCTTTTTGGCTTTTTGGCTACGACATGAGCGTTATGGTATACTGCCTTTCTCGAGCCCTTCCAAAGTGACACTCCCCGTTCTAAGAAATAAATAGGGTGGTCTCATTACCGAAGAGTCCTTCACATCTGTTTTCCCCGAGATGAAAAACGCCAACATCCAGGGCATCGTGATCGCCTCTTTCGAACTTGGTGCTCTTGTCGGTGCCCTCGCCTGCTTGGACCTGGGTGATCGCCTCGGTCGTCGTCTGACCGTTTGGTTCGGCATGCTCTTTATGTTGATCGGCGGCACGCTACAGACCAGTGCCTGGGCTCTATCTCAACTGACACTGGGCCGCGTCCTCAGCGGCATTGGGCTCGGGTTACAGGTAGCCACGATCCCGTCATGGCAGTCTGAGTGTGCGAAAGCGCATAGTCGCGGGCGTTGGGTCATGATTGAGGGTGGTCTACAGACATTTGGCGTTGCTTGTGGCCAACTTGTTGGCTATGGCTTCTTCTTTGTAAAGGGTCAAGCGCAATGGCGTGCCCCCGTCGGCATCCAGCTCTTTCCGGCCTTGATCGTCTTTGTATTCATCAATTTTCTGCCCGAGTCCCCTCGCTGGTTGATCAAACACGGTCTGGTTGAAGAGGTGTGTATTCTTCCCACGATGAAGGCTTCTCGCTGACCGTACAAATTTGCAGGGCACGTACAACCTGTCAAAGCTCCGAAACCTGCCCGTCGACCACCCCGAGCTGGTCTTTGAACGCGATGCCATCATCGCCTCTTTCGAAGCGCAGAGCGAACTCGCTCCGTTCTCCTATAGAGAAATGCTGAGCAACGGGAAGACCAAGATGTTCCACCGCGTCGCCATTGGATTCTTCATGCAATCTGCACAACAATTATCCGGAATCAACTTGGTCTCGACATACGCCAACAAGATTCTACAGGAGTCATTCGGCCTCGCTGCCAGCACATCCCACCTTATCGCTGCCATGGGAGGGTTGGAGTATGCTGTATGCTCGCTTCTGTCCGTTTTCCTCATAGAAGGTCTTGGACGCCGTCGCGCCTTTCTGTGGACTACAGTCGGCATGTCCTGCTGCTTTGCTGTGATCGCTGGGCTTCAAAGCACGGATTCGCGCACCTGCCAACTCACTGCTGCTGGATTCCTGTTTCTCTTCAATACCTTTTTTGGCCTGGCCTGGGTGGGAGGACCATTTCTGTACAGCGCCGAGATTGCACCGCTGCGATGCCGTGCCCAGGCCAACGCCTTTGCCAGCGCTGGCAACTGGTTGTTTTGCTTTGTGGTGGTCATGATTATCCCGCCTGCTTTCCAGAATATCGGCTGGAAGACGGTAAGACTACTTCGCTCTCCTTGTGGGCCGTCATCTAACGTGCGTCTAGTATATCATTTTTGCCATTTTCAATTCCTGCTTCGTACCCATCATCTACTTTTTCCTAGTCGAAACAAGGAAGAGAAGTCTCGAGGAGCTTGTGAGTATCACTCCTTGCCATGAAACAAACCCAGTAGGCTAATATTTGGGTTTCCAGGATGTCATCTTCGCTGCGGGTGGTGACCCGGTCAAAAAGGAGAAGACGATGCCGTACAATATACCTATTGAGGAGGCCCGGAGGATCCTTGGTCTTGCTGAGAGTACTAGTATTGCTGAAGTATTATATCACGACGCGAAGCCGTCAGTTTGAAAGAATAACACTCAATCTGTTGAAGGCAATACAATGATCACTCCCATGGACCAGCTGCATTGCATTACAGGCAGTAGTGCAATATAAGGAGGCAGATGAGATATTCACACCGGTTGGAGTGGTAATGCCTGAGGCATGAAAAGGTGCCCTAGGGCCTAAGGTGTCTGGATGCTTGCAATCTGCCTTAGGCACCAATGAAGTGTCCCAGCCGGATACCAGCTGTCATGTGACCCTATTCTAATTAATGTACTACATATTACTAGTACTAGTACTAGCCTCTATTACTATTCTATGACCTTACCCCTTAAAGCTAAAGAGCCTGATGGATTCCTTTTCGCGGGGCAAAAATCAAGACTTTTGTGCAATTGATTTCTCCCCATTCTCCACACAACTCTAGACAACTAATTCATTTAATGCAAGTTAATCGGCACTGTATGTATGATTTATGATTTCTGACAGCGACCTAAGCTGCATTAATTCAGTCCAGCTCAATATCCAGCGACGACTCCAGTCATGCCTCCCGCGTTGGCCGTCCGCTTAACCTGCCAGGCCTGCACGCGCCGCAAAGTAAAATGCGACAAGAAGAGCCCCTGCACAAACTGTGTAAAGCATGGGATTTCATGTGTTGCTGTTGAGAGGCCACGTTGGCCACGCGGCCGGTCGGGAAAGCAGGCAATAAGCCGAGAGCAAGATCTGAGCAATCGTGTAGCGAAGCTAGAGCAGATAATAGAGGACTTTACCCACTCAAAAAGAGGAACGGAAGATGTGTCCAGCAGCCGTGGCGATACTACCATACCTAGGAGTGGACGAGCGCCAAAACCACCGTCAGAAAGGGTGCAGACAACTGAAGAGTTGTTTCCTCCTCAGCCGGTGAGCGGTATGCCCTTAATAGTAGTGACAATTCTCTAACCGCAATAATAGTCGGTGATTCTACAATCCACCGACACCCGAGACGACGCCCTTGGCAGCGGGTTTGCCAACAACACGACCAGACGAGAACGGCACACAGAGAATCACCCGGAGCTACCTTCGGAACCAGTGCGTCGGAGGATACTCGTCGACATCTTTCTTCGCCAAGTCGACCCGGTCTTGAAGATCTTGCACCGGCCATCTCTCTGCGCCTATCTCCTGGAGGGAAAGCCCTACTTGGACTATGCTCCGGGGCATCCGGTACCTGCGGCTCTGGCCTCTGCTGTGTTTTATATGGCCAGCTCAAGCCTGGCTGAAGACCAATGTCTCGCTCTGCTTGCCGAGAGGAAAGAGACGGTACTGGCAAGATACAATGATGAAACCATGACAGCCCTCGCTAGGGTCGACTTTCTGGTTACAAATCATCTGACTGTATTGCAGGCATTTGTCCTGTCTTTGGTCAGTGCCTTGCCATGGCGAGGAGACTGCAAGGTTAGCTAACTGTTGGTGCAGGTGGCTGCAAGAACACACGATCACAGCCGAAAGGTCTGGACAATGCTCAGCGTAGCTCTTCGCATAGCACAAGCACTCTCGCTGCACATGACCGATCCCCCATTTCCAGTAACGCCGTTTGAACGCGAGATGCGTCGCCGCTTGTGGCACTTGATCGGCTGGTTGGACCTTGAGGCATCGCTGAACCGCGGATCGGAAAGCATGATGCGGTCTGCCTGGATTCAGACACATTCCCTCACGAACATCAACGACGATGACTTTGGATTCGACTCGGAGGATCCCTTACCGGCTGCGCAAAGCGGGCCAACGGAGGCTACCCTTCTCATTCTGTTTGCGCATGGCCAATGCGCTCTACGTGCCTTGGATTTATCCCACTTTGCTGAACCAGGCATCACGGACATCCATATGCGACAGCAAACGGTGGACCACTTCCGTCGTACTACGAAGGAGCTGCTGGCCGGCTGCGACCCCGAAAATGTTCCGTTCCACTGGTTCACTAGCCAGATCCAGGAGCAGATATCTGCTGTCCTGCAACTTATCGCTCTCCGGCCCCTCCAGAGGAGTCCGACCTTTGTCCCTGCGGAGCTACCAGCGCCCCAAATGCTCGCCCTTGCAGCCGACATTTTAGAACGACGTCAGAGAATGTTCAGCGATCCTCGGGCACAGCCCTGGTGCTGGTTCGAGCTGTTATACTTTCCCTGGCATGCGCTGGTTGTCGCCATGACCGAGGTCTGCGTCTGTACTGACCGATGGGTGATAGACAGATACTGGCATACGCTTGAGCGTAGCTATGACCTCTTTCAGAAGCAGGCTGTTGGTACACACTATGACTGGCTTTCGGCGTCAATGGACAGTTTGATGAGCAACGCGCGAGCTGCGCGACAAAAGGTGGTCGACTCCGACTCGACAGGGCTTCAAGCGCCCAGTTCCCACATCTATATGGACATGGCGTCTCTCGAGGGCCCAGCCCTGTCGGAGTCTCTGCCATCTGTACCTGACGCGACTTTGGCGGCGGAGGAGCTTACGCAACTACAAGACCAGGAGGTCAGCGCGTGGGCGCAGTATGGGGATTTTACCGACCGCTTCTATGAGCTGCATGCGATCTTTGACGGTGGGCTATCCTAACGTGATACCTCATGACACTAGCTGCCGAAATCAAAGGATCTAGCTCGGTCATGGATCTGGGACTCTTGTACTACTGTAATTACTCATCCATACAGAGATGATATCATGAACACCATGCTCTTCGTAGCTATCTCTTCTACTATCAGTCGTCATCCAAGCAACCATCACTCGGGTCTATATCCATCTCGGCTTGGAATGAAACCCGCAACACCCTCGCCGTATCCCTCCCATCCATCGAATTCAGTCACATACTTGATGGCCGCCTTGAGGTAAAAGTCATCCTTACGACCAAACGTCTCCTGGAAGACCTTCGGAGCCCGCACCACTTTGAAGAAATGGGCATCCAGAGCCCACTTGTGCGCCAATGCGGTATCAACCACCCAATTCCAGTCCCGGCCATCTACCTCGACGGCTTCGATCCAGTCGAGGGAGAAGCGGGGCCGCAACTGGCAGATGTAGGTCATGATTCCGAAGAGCGCATACTGTTTCAAGATGGATGCGCGGCGGTCAGTGGGGAAGTAATGCCACAACACTCGCAGCGCGTGGGCAACAGTCATGAAGTGGACATTGAAAAAGTCGAACGAGTCCCGTGGGTTGCCATTGCTCAGGGCCACCAGGACGGCCAGGTCGCAGCATTCCTCAAACTGGGGTAGGAGGTCAGTGACTTCCCAAGCGTTCCAGTGTTCCAGCACGACAGCAATGTTTTGCTCCTGGTATAGGACGTCGAGGTTGGCGATGCCAGGCTCGGAGAACAGACCGTCCAGTCGTGGATCCTGCCGCACTTTCTCAAAGACCTCAGCCAGGGAGGTCGTTTTATACTTCGATGTGTCAGGTGGCGCCTGGTCAAGGACGGTATGCATAGGATTGTACTCCGTGCACCCCTGACTGAGGGCTTGCGCCGCTACCTCTTTGCTGCGGAACTCGTACGCGTAGGCGAGATGGATAACCGGGTGGCCCACTGTTTCGCTAGACGGTCAGCCACACTTGTGCTCCCTGGGTGAGAGTGGATCACATACAGCCTCCAGTACAGCCGTTCACCAGTGGCTCCGTGCCGGAGTAGAGATACTCTTCAAGCACCTTTCCCCAGTCTCCCTGTTTTTCCTTCACTTCATTATCGAAGAAGTCCTGGTATGCCACAGTGTACCTAGCTGGATAGTGAGTAACTTGTTCCTCCCTGTAGGGACATAACAACGCACTCTTTACGAGTCAGAAAATCCCTCCAGTTTTCCTTGGAAATGGCCTCGCCTCGGATGAACCCCCGAGCAATAGGGACCAACTGGGTAATTTCATGTTCATATGTCCTGGTCAATTGGTCGCCGTTGGCACCCAGCGCATACGCAGAGCCAAGGAGCTTTGGAACAAAGTCAACGGACGACTCTCGTAACCATATGTCTAGGCAAAAACATACATGCGGCAAGTGACTGTGCAGGATCAGCTCTGGGTCACGCAGCGGCGCAACCGTGATATGGCCTTGTTCAAGGAGGTTTCGCAGCTTCTGGGTTCGCGGATCGGGGAACTTGGTCACGTCGTAAACAGGAACCGGAGGGAGGTCCCTCAAGCGGGACGCGGGAGGCAGTCGGATAGACTTTTGGCTAGTGCTGGGAGTCATTGCTGGAAGTCTGGAAGCTTGGATTACGCTTGTGTATGGTAAATCGGACTGTCAAGTTTCTAAAGAGATTGCTTAATATGCCTGTCGAAAGAGTACGGTCTTCTACCAGTTGACGGCGGCGTTTATATACCTTCGTTCTCCCTGATCAAGTCTCCCTCTTGTTACTCAACCCACCCATATGCTGCAGCGACGATCTCAAGCAAGCATTTGGTCAAGTGCGGCAGTCTCTGATGATCATCTTCGTTGGAGGTCCGTCGGATGAAATCATCTCGGGCTTAGGAACTCTCAAAGTCCGAGCCGGTGAGGAGGCAAGATATCTCATGATATTCCTATTCCACAGACGTGACTTTTTGCTCCAATGGGAAAATATCTCTAGTGGTCTGACTCTCCTCAGAACGGACCATACGTGCTTGGCAAATGATTTCGGTAGTTACGATGCTTACTCTACAATCGGGAAAAGGAAAGGTACTATAAGAATAGAGGGTATGGGTTAAACACCCTTCAATAACGGATATACCTCAGATAGATAGACATATTCCCTCACACTGCTAGTCTATGTATTCTATTCTACTCTGATCTGCAGCGCTTAGGATCATTTAGTACCATCTCTACATGCCAGGACCCACCACTTCAGACGACACCACCACCGTTGGCTCTCAGAACCTGGCCCGAAATCCAAGCGCTATCCTTCCCCCACAGCAAACTAACCGCTGCGGCAATTTCATCCGGCTCCGCGATTCGGTTGAACGGGTTATGACTCGCAATCATTTGTACCCGAGTCTCATCCATGGCCTTGTGGAAGGACACTGTGCTCGTTGCACCTGGCGAAACGGCATTGACGCGGATTCCCGCGCTCGCTAGGTCCCGCGCCAGGACCTTGACCATCTGGTTCATCGCTCCCTTGGTCGATACGTAAAGAAGGAAATGTGGTGGCACCGAAGACGTATCGGTAAGGTCCGTCGAGATGAAGATGATCGTACTCCCCGGCTGCATGTGAGGCAAGGCTTTCTGCGAGGAGGGGGGTGTTAGCATCGGTCCCTGAATCTAGACTTATACGGGTGCACCAACCTTCGCGAGGAAACAAGGCCCTTTGACGTTGACAGCAAAGGCGCGGTCAAAGTCCTCCTCAGTGACACTCCGCAGGTCGCTCTCAGGCACATAGGCCGCGTTGGGGACCAGGACATCGATCCGCCCGAACCGAGCTACTGTGGCTTCGATAAGTTCGTCAACCTCCGCGGTCTTGGAGATGTCCGCCCGCACGGCAATGGCACGATCACTTCCAATCTGAGCGACCAGGGCGTTGGCACCCTTGACGTCGGACATGTAGTTGATGACCACGCTGGCTCCCTCGGCGGCCGCACGCAGGACGATGGCTCTGCCGATGCCCTTGGATGCACCGGCAACGACGACTACACGGCCGGATAAGGTCATGATGAGAGTAGGATGTCAAAGGGGTTGCACGTAAGAAAAGGGACGAACGACGGTATGTCAACTCTGCAGGAAGGGAAGATAATTTCCGTCCGCCCAGCAGCAAGGCAAATATTTAGGTAGCTCGGCAGCCTCGGACTCGGTCATATTTTTCCTTCTTCGGGGGACTAATCACCGTGACACCGTGCTATCACATCTGGCTTGGTGGATTCTGAGAGAGTCTCCCACACCTGTCGGGCAGCACCCGCTGCATCAGGGCTACATGTGGGGGGGATTTTCTCTATTTTTAATGCGAAAATAGGAGGCTACTGCAGAAAGCTTGCTTTAGTGTCTCTAGTAGTGCGGTAGAAAGTCTTAAAAAACGTCAAGTATACTGGCTACAGAGATGATTGGACTTTGTAGTAGTTCTTTGCTGCTGGTATCCTTTTCGTTCCCTGTCCACTGTCTGGTAGGTGACGTCTATCTGCATCATATCCCGGAGCAGGAACCTATTGCTCTTGTTGAAAGGTTGTTTAAGACAGAGCAGTACAGTTTGAGAGTGGTGGACCTTGTTTACTACGTTCCACTGTGGCTATTCGGCAATCGGGTTTTGCGGCTTTTGAGTTGGAATGACGCTATCTCGCCAATCCAGAGACTATATGATGATTTGAATCATTTGATATCCCTACTTTGAATCCCTAGTATATAGTGATTCAAATCATTCGATATCCCTACTATATGGTGACTCAAATCTCTAGTATACAGCGATTCGAGATTCGAATCCTACTATACAATGATTTAAATCATTTAATATCCCTACTATATGACAATTCAAATCCCTACCATTTAACAATTCACGAGCATAGTCCAAAATCTTCATGTGAAGAGAGTAACGAGGAATTTGAATAAGCTTGTCATATCCGATCGCCTAGGCGTCGGCATGATGATTGTTGTAGATGGCTCTCTGGACGTCCACTACCACTGACTTGAGATGAAATGGCGTTATGGCATTCTCATGGTGAAACATTGACTTAGCACGGCGGGAATGATCCCACTGTTCAGGTCGTTGATTGTGCAGCAGGCTAGGTTATATTATACTGGTAAAGTACGTTCTCCTAACCTTATATCTGCAATCTTCTGCTTCTCGAGGCGTGTCTTCCTAAGTTAAGATGGTTCCTGAGACCGTCCATAGACCCTGTTAATGGATATTCCGTGCTTCCAGTCCTTTAAACGATGGTATCCATGAGAGTGCTCTAGATATTGTAGCATTCAAATGTCAAGTCCTCGTTCTATTCACCATTAATCATATATTAGCATAGCTTCAAGCAATGTATGGGATCAAACGAGGGATATGCTTACCAGCGCAACATCCGGCTGGCGTGAGTCACAGCACTGAAGTTTGTGATCCACAGACTCACAGATATCAGCATCGAACTGATCCTCGACCGCAGTGCCTACGAGTATCAACCATCAGATAATGCTCAATTTAGACGGGATTAAGTCGTAATTACCATTGCCACAAATATTGGCGTTAGGATTAGGGCGCACTCCATATTCGGCGAGAATGTCCTCGGGCAATGCGGAGTATGGCGTTACTCCCGCGCAGCATTTCACGTTCCCAATGCATGAGTCAATATTTTGGGCCACGGCAAGCGTGAAAATAGGAAGAAGGACAAGAATGGGCTTCATGGTGGAAGTTGGGACAAACAGGTTGATCGATAGACCTTCGTTGATACAGTAGCCTTGCTAGGGAGAGTTGGTTATTAGCAAGGCACTCGGACTATTTAAATAGTATTCCTCTCTTCCAACCACGGGGGACATACATACGGCGCGTGTTTATCACACTGCTGCGTGAGGGTAAAGGGAAGCAAGGAGGTATACTACACGTTACACAGCAGAGGCGCTATTGCAGCCACCCCCTTCCTAGGGCAAAGCAAGCATTCAAGCTGCTCACGTTCTGCTGCGTAAGTGGTCGATGTTGAATGGCAAACACTGATATCACTGGCTGATTAATCTTAACTAACACAATTCTAAGGCCACCCGTGCCAAATGGTCCTACAACCTGATTCTAATACTCGAAAAGTTAGCCTTACTCCAAATAAGACCACTATCCACAGGCCTGCATGGAGAAGTGGGATTCCCCTTCTTGTGGAATTGCAGTATTCAGTATAGTTTTCTCGCATGAGAAAAGGGAAAGAAGATGCACGCAGATAGGGCCTGGAGTACAGCATCATATTCGCTACGCCATCCTTCCTCGATTGGTTGGGCTAAAACTCACGGTACTGTGTTAAACCACTGGTGTAAAATCTCCTTGCCAGAACCGAATACTGATTGCGACAGAAAGATATCAAACAGTGGCGTTGCTGACACTTTTGAGGCTGTCTTTTCGCCGCCACCTTTTTTTATCGATACTAAGTCATCGGCCTAGAGGGCTCCATGGAACTTCGATCAACTTTCTTCAGCATCCACGTGGACTTTGCCTGTAACTAGGTCGGGGACGCTGAGCCAAAGGGTAATCAACGACAGGCCAACTTGTCTGGCTCATAGCCCTCTTGCAATACCTGCAAGAAACCATAACACCAATATTGGCATACAAAAGCCCCCAAGACGGCCATAAGTTTCAAAATAAGCTTTGCTAAGCGCTACCTCCTCGTCACCTCTAAGATATAGACTCAGCAATGAGACTCGAAATGGCACCGTAAAGCGAATGTGTTGAACAGACGGAGCACATCAAGCATCAGGCCTCGAGGAGTCAAGAGGTTACAAGCAGTTCGGCAGTCGCTTGCCTCCAGCCTAACAACACCCCGATTGATTGCAACAAGTTCCTTCAGAAGCGAGTGGAGTCCTTGCTAGCGGTATTTCCATCAGCCTTGGTGGTCGATCATCTGATCTGACTCATCCTGTGATACCAGGATGCGCTATATTGTCAGACCGACCAACACCAACAAAGCTTTCCAGGTCAATTATGGAATAATGGCTGATGTATATAAAGCTGACAAATGCAAAGTATCCAGTCCGTCACCGAGCTACGAATCTTGACACCGAGAGAGTGCTGACTCACAGTCACATCCCGAATACGAGCATGCCACAAGACTAAAGGGACTCTGCACATCGTGGTTCACCAAGCAATTAGCTCATGGCCTCCAATGACGTCGATAAAACTATCGGCACTGTATATCCGGGGTATCGCCCCTAACGACAAACAAGGGAAGTTGACTACGTTCATGAAGTGGCAAGAGGGCTCAAAGAAGAACTCGGTATGCTGATAGCAATCACTTTCATTGGATATTCGTCAGGTGAGGAAGTCCCCCCTGCTTCAATATCATGAATATGCCTTTTATAGTTGAATGATTGGTGAAACATTTCAGCTCTATCCAGGATGTTGACGTTGCGGGCTCACCGAACTACCCCATTTGTTAGGAGCTGATGCTCTACAAAGTTCTGTCACCTTTACTCCGTAGAACATAGTCATAATAATAGTAATGCATTATAGAGTACGCCACCTGATAGCTGAACCATGATATAAAATGATCGCAGCTACACCGGTATATGGACCCCCAAGCGTTGAGCAAGTTCATTGTCCCTGTTTATCCAACAACTCAGACAAGTAAGGATGACTGTGAAAGTTGGCATCAACGGATTCGGCCGGATCGGTCGCATTGTCTTTCGCAACTCCTTCTCCCATGATGATGTCGAGGTTGTTGCTGTCAACGACCCGTTTATTGATCCCAAGTATGCGGTATGTCGCACTCATCCTGACCAATCCTTCTAAGACGAGATCTATTAACAAGAAGTGCTAAAACGAAAGCAATACATGCTCAAATATGATTCCACCCACGGCCGCTTCGAGCACGAAATCTCCCAAGACGAAGGCTCTCTCACCATCCAAGGGCGCAAGGTGAAGTTCTACGCCGAGAAAGATCCCGCCAACATCCCCTGGCGCGAAACAGGAGCCGAGTACATCATCGAGTCCACCGGCGTCTTCACGACGGTCGACAAAGCCAAAGCACATCTTCGCGGAGGAGCCAAGAAAGTCATCATCTCCGCCCCGTCCGCTGATGCCCCGATGTACGTGATGGGGGTCAACGAGGAGAAATACGACGGCACAGCGGATGTGGTGTCTAACGCATCGTGCACCACGAACGCCATCGCTCCCTTGGTCAAGGTTATCAATGAGAAGTTCGGGTTCGTGGAGGGCCTGATGACTGCTATCCATGCGTACACTGCGACGCAAAAGCTGGTTGATGGGCCTTCGTCCAAGGACTGGCGGGGTGGGCGTGCAGCCGCGGAGAATATCATACCCAGCAGTACTGGTGCCGCGAAGGCGGTTGGTAAGGTGATCCCTGAGCTGCAGGGTAAGGTCACTGGCATGTCTATGCGGGTGCCAACCTCGGATGTCTCGGTCATTGATTTAACGTGCCGGATTGAGAAGAGTGCGACTTATGAGGAGATTGTGGCGGCGATCAAGGAGGCTGCTCATGGGTCTCTTAAGGGTAGGGCCCGTCTTTCATTCGTTTCTCACGTTCGAAACATATCTAATTGCTATAGGTATTCTGACCTATACTGAGGATGATATTGTATCCAAGGACATAATCGGGAACCCACACTCGTCCATCTTCGATATCAAGGCCGGTATCTCGCTGAATACCAATTTCGTGAAGCTGGTAAGCTGGTACGACAATGAGTGGGGATACAGTCGTCGAGTGCTGGATCTGGTGGCCCATGTCGCCAGTGTGGATGCTCGGAAGTGACCTCCACCTGGAGATGAGTATTGCAATCGGCTTGCTTCGTCTTTAGTGATTGTTTTCCTTGGTTGGTGGTTTCAGATTACAGATGAATGGCGATCAAGTGTAGCTTGCTTGTTGTTTGTTCACTCATGCCTCTAGCTGAGTTGCGTTTATTTTATCCAAAGCATTCTGACACATCACCCTGATCTGTTCCCACCTCCTTCGAAGTGAGGCTAGCTTGTCCTGGTGCCTAACTTGCCCTTTGCTTTGAGTTCCTAATGATTCAAGAGCCTCTATTGTTGTAGTGCTCTCTTGGAAGTAGATCTCAATCCACTCGCGGATAATGTTCCAGGTTTTCCGCGTGTCGAATGCTTTAGTTGCTCGACCTTGTACGTAACTTCGAAAGTCATTGGATGGCATGTACTTGACACACGCCGCGTTAATCGTGCGAGGGCAAACGCCAGAAGGCGTGAGTTGGTAGTCTCTGCCTTGTGGATTAGAAGGCTGCGCGCAGGGGATATGGCAACCACTCACTCTAGTCCTTGCTGGGAGGCAAGCTCTTCCCTTTCCGCTTCAGAAAGGTTATTTGAGATGATATCATCCAGGAATATAACATCCGACTCATTGTGATCGAGAAAAAATCCATCTGCTTTAGGTCAGCCGTGCCGGCCCCGTAGTGACAAACGGTACTTGCACTCGACGAAAAGAAAGTCATTGGAATGAGCTCCGTAACTCATGAAGATCTCCTCTCCTTTTTCTAATCTACCGCGTCAGATGTCTATTTTGACAGTATCGGCATAGTCCTACCGTATCGACGAGAAGCAGTAAAGGTGTACTTGGCTCCATCAAAGACAACTTCGCAATCCTGCTCACGGCATTAGCTCCACCGATTGCACACCGCAGTGGAGATGCACTTACAGCGTCATCCGAATGATTGAAATAATCTGCAAATGGCACAAGACCTATGGCGTCGTTCCAGTCCTCAGGAGGTTCTTGCCCGGGCTTAACGTAGTAGAAGCTTCTTGTGTTCAGAATTAACCAGTGAAAGGAGAATCTATCCCGATCCATGTTAGGAAACACGGTGAGCACGTTCCGCCATGCGTCCTGGAGTCTTTTCTCCTGCTGGGCAAGCAGGTTCTGGCTCTTGGACTCGAATTTTCTATTTTTCTGGTTGGTTTCAAATGCATTCCAAATGCCAGAAGCTGAAGGAGGCAGTAGAAAGGGCCTCTCGCAGGGAATCTGCTGAAACTCGGAGTTCGACCTCCGCAAATTCTCCGGCCACAGGATGGGCATACTGTCTTCAAAGTCCTTGCGTGATGGCCAGACTTTGCGCCATAAATCCCACCTCTTCAGGAATTCATGATCTCCCTCTGTTAGAAACGCAGCAAGGATTCCATGAATTGATGTCCCAGGAGGGAACTGCTTGATGAGAGACGCCGGGATAGAATCAATTGTGATCATCAGGTCCAATGGGACTGCGATCATGACCTCACCCTCCTGACACATGGATTATCGGTGGTCAGTCATTAGTACTATAGATGTAGTAGATCCGTCTACGCACCTCTATGTTTCTGGTCGCGATCATCCCTGACCCACGGCCGGGTATGTGCGCGGGTGTGACGCCATTGATCTTGACTCCTTGGGATTTGGCCCATCGCATGAAGTCAGTATGCTGTTTACCTAGCTTTGTATGTGCCATTGTTCGAGTATTATGTCCTACGGGATGGTGTCGGTTTACATGTTTGCTTCTGGCTGTTGCTTTGAACAGCAGAACTTGTTGCGCGACGCGTAAGTCACGTGATTCTTGCCTTACAATTATGGCGTGTAATACTCCGTAGTCTACTGATGCGTTACCTACTCCTGAACCCGATCCGTTGTCCATTGATATCAGCAAGGCTTCTAAATTGTTCCTCACTCAAAAATGGATCAATGAGTATTGATATAGCCTTAATTCGTAAGTGGTTTCCGGCGCCTTTCTCACACGATGCGAGCTTCCGCAGTTGGCCATGCGGAACTTGGATGATTCCGGCTGAACATGAGTGGATGGTACTCTGTATATCACAATCGTGACGGAAGATTGGTCTTTGAGTACCGTCAACAATATGTTGATCAACCTCATTGCAGACAGTCCGGGTATGGTAGGTGCCTACTGGCCGGATTGACCAGGAGCAACCTCGGAAGTCGTACAACCCGGGTCGTAGTCTCATTTTCCACCGCATGCAAGACTGAACCATGTTACCTGAACTTGCGTTCGAAGCGATCGTCCAGACGGTCCAAGTTACGAACAAGTGGAAAAGGCGAGCTTCGACGGTGGCATGATTGAAGTTGAGAGATCATTTCACTGAAGGCTCAGCTATTGGGCCGTAACGCGTAAGATCTGACCGGTAAGAGCCTAAAGTTCTTCGGGAATCCCGTCTGAATCTCCGAGAGGAAGACGGTCATTCCAGCTTCCTTGAAGATCTTCTTGAACTTCTCATCGGTCCTGGTGACGCTGCTGTCCACCTCATCGAACATGTCCTCCCCGTTGATATCCGTAGATTGGTTCTCCTTGACCACCATAATGCCAGTCTCTGTCAAGGCGGCCCGGCATCGTTTCACATATTCAAGCAATTGCGCATCCGTCAGATGTCCCACGCACCACTGCGTCCAGATCAAATCGTACTTCTTCTCCGGATACCAGTTCTCAAGCCCCACAGTGTAGATATCCCCGACAATACCATCCTTCTTCAGGGAGCCGTTGTGCACGACCTCGGTGAACTTCGCGACCGGTTCCACCACATCCACAACCTCGCAGACCTGACTGAGGAACCCTTCCGTTATCCGTCCGACTCCTGCACCACAGTCCACCCCCAGCTTGAGCTTGCCTTCTGTGTTGCAGGATGGTAAAAGCCGACGCACTTTGGCCAAGAAGGCCCGCGATCCTCGTAGGTCGATGCGGGAATACCACGGATAATCGCCGAGCATGGCCAGCATGCCGTTGGAGGTAGCAGGGACATCGTTCCAATACTTCAACGAGGCCGCGTGATCGATCTTGGAATCCGGAGCCGACTCAGGCTGTTCCTTCGAGCATTCAGGCTTTGCTGATACTGTAGGGGACGACATGATTGGTCAATTGGTGAAGTTGTTCGAATGTCTCTCCTCGGCCGTTCTCAAGAAGCAAAAATGCTGGTGGGATTATCAGTCACGTGATTATCATCACTTCCACGTAATTTGGATTGGCAGCAACCAACCTGTGCGTTCGACCTGGATCGAAATACGTGCTGGCATTCTAGGTAGATACTTGCTTGTATTATCCTTGTCCGAGTTACGTGAGAGGTGTTCTCTCTGTGTTTTAACACTACTGCTATGTATGGGTCCAGTCGCAGACAATCTGCTAAGACATATATTCCTCCGACTGCTTGGTAGATCCCGAACGGAAAGCTTGTGCAGGATATTTGTGGTCCTACTTTACCTACACCTCTGAAACGACGATGGACTATAGAGGCTGTTCATATATACTCTAGCAGTACGGTATATCACTTCAAAAAATGCGATGGAACCTTCTCAAAAACAGAAATGGCCTCCTCTAATCGCTTCTCATACGCCTCCAGCTCCTCACTATCCTGATCTTCCACGTCCTGGCCCGATTCGTCACCAGCTTGGTTCTCATTCTTCAATTCCAATTCCGCTTCGTCTGTTTCCGCACCTCTAACTGTGCTCATTGATAAGACATCACGGTACAAACCCATTGAAAATGGCAGCTTCACGCTATCCGCACCCTTGTCCACCTTGACAAATCGAGCATCTAGTAGACGGTACTGAGCAGCCCAAACATGCTGCTCGGTCAGTTCCATAGTCATCTCCCAGGAGTTGCCTTCGCCGAGAGTCAAAAACCCGCCCACGGGTACGCTTGAGAGCGCACCGACGAGGGCACCCGACACCCCTGCGGATATCTTACTGGAGTTATGGCGAGAGACCATTGTACGCGCGTCTTCGAGGAGATACAGTCCAGTCAGCATCCAGATCTTCGGACGACGTGCAAACTTGAAGTTCAGGACGTAGGCACTCCGAGCGGCTGACAGCCATAGTTTGAGCTTCTCCTGCGCCTTGGGGTTACTCAGGACAGACGTTGCCAGGAATTCTTCAGGACTAGGCCATGTGAGGACGCATAATGGATGCCGCGGAGGGATCAGGAAACGTACTCCTTCAGGATTATTCGCGCTCCCTTTTTCGCTACCACGATGCGCTCGGAGTCCTTATTCCAAGCGAGAGTGAGATCGATGATGTCCCCACCGCTAAGGCTGACGCCCGGTGTCAGGCGAGAGCGTCCGTGGAAGATCACGTTGGACACCTTGCTGACATAGGCATGCTCCTGGAGTGCTTCCTGGCTATCGAGGAAGTTAGACGATGACTGTACCGGAGAGTAGGGGCACATACCTCAGTAATTCGTGGGTATAATGTCTTGCAACCAGTGGTTCCCAGTATTGTTCCAGGACCAGCGACCCGAGGGTAAGCGCCTCGGGCCTTTCACCCATACCATACAGATAGAACGAGGAGTCATCACCAGCATTCATCCTGACATACGATGTCGTTGTTGAACTGTTTGAAATCACAAACGGTTTTTAAATAAATAGTCGCCCAGTAGCACTGCCAACCGATCTCACATACGTTAAGCGCCGAGGGGTCACGGAGTCGACACACGGGACGGACCGACACTTCAAATGGAGACGTCTAAGCCAGACGAATTTTTATCGAATCTTGTCGCCTGATGGGTGCTGGGGTCGATTATCATCTACTGGCTGGGATTTGCTGCGGTGGCTGAGACGGCGTCTCGCCTTGATCCCGATGTAGTAGCGCTTGACGAAATGGGCACCTATAAGCACTGGAGCCGTCCGGCGCCTGTGCCCTGACAATGCCATTGTGATATATGTGTTTCTATGATGGATTTCGATTAATTTTTGAATATATGTGGAGGATCGTTCTTCCCGGAAGAGTACCGGGGCGACCTGGATATTGCCTGGCAGGAACTGCAGCGATGTCGCCCACGTATTTCGCGACCAAACCCCAGGTTAAGGCAGAGTACCTGCGTCGTTCTGCGGTTTATTCCGTCGTCGAAGACATCACGGTACAATCCCGTTGAAAGTAGCAGCTTGACACCATCCACCCCATCCCTGCCTGCTTTGATGAAATGAGCATCTAGCAAGTGGTAACTGAGCAGCCCAAACATGTTGCTCCACTACCTCCATGGATACCTCCCATAACCTACCTTTTCCAAGGCTTAGAGACATACTAAGCGGTACGCTGGATAGCGCACCTATTATAGACAAGGAGATGCTAGTTGATACTTCTGCGCCCTGGCCACAGGATGCGATAGCGTGTGTATCTTCCAACAAGTAGAGTCCTGTAAGAAGCCAAACTTTTGGGTGACGCGCAAACTTGGCTTTCATCATGTAGTCACTGTGAGCTATGGATAGCCTAGTCTTAAGCTTTTCTTGCACCTTTTAGGTTGTTGAGGACCAAGGTGATGAGAAATTCCTCAGGCCTGGCCGATGCATCGGCTGTGTTTCATCATATAGTTGAGGAATAACATATTTCTTCAGGACTACTCAAGTTCCCTTCTTAGCAAATACCAATCTTTGGAAATCCTTGCTCCAGGCTAGACCAAGCTCAACAATATCTACTGTATTGATGCCCACAGACGGCGCAAGGCGAGAAGTTCTATGAAGCTTCATATCTGTCAAGTTATTTATATGAGCATACTCTTGTAATATTTTTAGACTATTATACCATCCAGAAGACCCAGAAATGGGAATTCATGGATCTACCTCAGCATAGGGTGAGTGTAATGGCGCGCAACCAACGGTTGCTAGTACCTTTCGAGTACCAAGGAACCTAGAGTAAGAGCTTCGGGCTTCTCTCCGACGTCATAAAGATAGAACGAAGTGTCGTCACTGTAGGTCAACACTGTCTATGCTGGCAAAATCTTGTTTGTCATATGGTGAACCAACAGAATGACTAGAGTCGGATATATCAGTCAAGAGCTCTGCTTTGAGGGAAAGCAACCACGGTATTAGCTGGCTAGAATGCTGCGAGTTGATGCCTATTATATCTTGCTTCCTTCGTCTAATTGGCAGTAATGCTTCTATTTTGAGTTATCTCGGTAGCGCTGAGCAGGACAGGGATATATGCGTGTGAAGCGCTCACCATGATTTTGTTTTTTACCCACTATCATGATATGAGCTCGCCCATTAACTCCATGACTGGCTATTTTTCTACACAGCCATGGTACGAATCCCGATAAGTAATCGCCGCAACTCAAAGTGGAAATTGCCCAGTATATCCGTCATGATCGGCGGTTAACCAGCGTCTATACTATAACTATATGATTTGGCTGTCTAAATCCTATGATTAGCGCCTGCTGTATCACTGCGTTATTGGTAGCCAATTACATACATTCAATCACGCTATCGTCCATAAATCGCAAGGACAGTAGATATCGTACTACTTAGGGTCATTCTGGCCAAGAGTTGATCTATTTCTATGGAAGGGTGTTCAAGGCCGGCACTTTGCGGCATATCATTACACAGTCTGTCAATTATCTCATTCCTTTCGCTGCATGATGCGCATATTAGGGCTCCTTTTCACAACCACACGAACAGGACATGCTTGCTGAATGTGATGCTTTATATACCCACATAGATAATCCCACAAGTGAGCCGAAAAGTATTTATGAGGTTCAGGAGGATTATAGTTTTACTAAGAGAAATGGCCGGCTCGGCGCCATTGACGAAACTCTATTTCTATGATTAGAATGAACTGCTAGTTCTCACCAAGCTATTCAATTCCCCTATTTCTATTACTGTGTGTTCGGAACCAGAGATACAATTCTCCGTTAAGGCGAAGGCTTGGCGATGGTAGATCGCCGGCAGCTCGACACGTGACAGTAGCCTAGCCTATTCAATGATTTCTTATTTATTAGACATCTGAATAAGGAGCATACTTTTAATGACTTCTTTAAATTCCTTATGTATTTTCCCACATCGCAACAGCGGGAGTTTTAAGGTTGAAAGGTCCTTTTTATGATTAATAGCTACTTTCTGCAGCTCTTTGATGACCTGATTTAGAGTATTAAATTTATGGCGAAGTTCATGAATAGTTCTTTTAGTGGATTTAAAGCTTTTAAGGACTTAGTAAAGAGATCTGCTAGCTTGAAAAGCAAATCCAGCCAGGGCAGCCAAACTAGAAGTCAATCCAATAGCCTCAGCCATACATGCACCTAGGTTGGATCATTTGGTCCACTCACATGGCAGAATATGTGCCATTCCACGCGTGAACTTTTGGTTGGATTAATAGCCACACCTATTAGTATCTACTAGGTGCTGAGCAAGGACCTCCTCTTCAACAGCTGTGAGTTATAGCTATTAGCGCGTGTCTCTGCGCGTGGTTTGATTCTACATAGCTAATGACAAAGTGTCTCTCTAGACACCCTAAAAACCCTAGCAGCTGCTGCTTTTGATCTAAATTATCCCTTTTTATATGCTGATATGGCCATCTGTATTCGATTCTCTTTGGATAACGGCATTTTTAATAATAGTAGCAAAGAAATAACGTGTAGACCAGAAGGCTTCAAAATTCAATGATTGAGGCGGTGAAACGGCGGTTCGGTGCTTGATTACGTTAATCAGCAAGGAACAATCGATTTTATCAGCCTCGATCTGGATTATAAAGATTCTGACGAAGTTAGCAAAGGATTCTCGATAGCTGCAGGCCAGATTGTGTGGTATTTGCTGTCGGCGAAGTCCTCAGCATCGTTGGTCCATAAGCATCCAGCTGCTCAGAGAGAAATAGCGCTATATCCCGTTCGAAGGCGCCTTGGATGTAACTATAGAAGACGTAAGTTAGAATAAATCAAACGGATCTTTGCTACGGGGAAACTTGCACTTTCCCTGAGACTTTATCCCAAAGGATTGCGCTCAGAGCTTTAAAAGCAATAGTGACTTTTGCTTCTGATATACTCACTGTTTGATAGCACAAACAGATGTTAGTATGTAAGCACAGCGAGAGTAATCAGGATAAGCACATACAGATATGCGTCCTGGAATGCGTTGCGAATTTGCTCTCTTTCCTACCGCGGGAGCTCCCAGAAGAGACCTCCGTGGGAAATTTTACATCTTCAGTGTAGCGGACGAGGGACACCAGGGAGCTCACCGATAACAAACTAGTGTATCTTACCATCTGGCATAAAGGCGTGGCGATTCCCGGAGGGCTGTGTATCCTCCATGTATTCGATGAGCCCTGGGGAGTACTTACAATCGTGGAGAGTCGGGAGCTTGTGGGCCATAACACCGACTCTCACGCAGGTAGTGGCCCCATAAGTCCCCTCGGCAGCTCATTCAGTGTCCTCACAAGGGATCTCCGTGTAGACTTTGAAAATAGCTTTATTGCCGGAGTACTCGAGGGTTCCACACTTGAATCTTGCACAGGCGAGAGGGAATTCCTCCACTGTCTGCGCTTCTTCCTGGGTGTACGAATCGGAGCCTTCGTTGAGCTTCCAAATCACTTTCCACGAAGAAGACAGGGAATGGAGGTCGTTCTCTAGGAAACTTAGGGTTAGGTTGCGCCAGTGCATATAGGAGAAAAACGTGAATTGAGACATGAAGTCAGTGGGTGTACTTCGATAATAGGCGGAGTCTTTAAGAAAGATTCAAGTAAAACTCAAGAAGAGTCAAGAGGGACAGAAACAAAGACGGGGTTAAATGTCCCACAGGTAGACGCAGCTCCTACAACAAACAGTAATCATTATGATTTTCCCCGGTGCTTTGACGGGCTTATCAACGGGTTTACAAGTTCATCAGACATGAATTGACCCAACCTAGCGAGCGCTTTATCGTACCGAAAAACCTCTCTATTTACTTCATTAGGTGATGGGGGTGCAGCTTCGACACCATTAGTGCGATGCAATACCCAAAAAAGCAAAATTCTCACCTCAGGGCTGCTTAATACAACCGAATCGGTAGCCGTGTGGCTCTATACAAAGCCAGTATATCAAGGATTCTGCTGTCATGGCTGCGACTGAGCATGCTGGATATAGCCGGGCGCTCATTTCGGACACGGTCAGTAAGCCACCACCACTGGACATCTCCTCGGCCGAGAAGGTCCAGCCACAGCATGAAAAGCAAAAGTGCTCGCTCGTCTTTTGCGTACAGAAGTGACCGATAGGCGACGGTCGCCGTTGGTCCAAATCCTAGCAGTTTATTCATGTCGTCGACGTTTAGGGTCTCCTTCTGGAGCATTGGAATGATGAGTTGTAAGGGAAAGTAATACGGGTTGTCCAGTGAGGAAGAACCCGGAGCAACATCGTATAGGTCATAGAGCAGCGATGGTAATGTGAAAGATTCATCTTTCAGATGGGCCAGATTGCTTCTTTGACAATGGGTGCTGACTGAGGCTCCTAGTGTGTTGTCCTTTAGGCGCCAAAAGCTGTGTTCAACGTTTTGATGTAGGATTTTCTTGAGGTGCCCAAGGCCTATCTGTACAGTGAACCAGTTGAGTGAATTCCCTGTCTCTATGGCTGATGATTCAAGCACCCATGGCCTGTACGCCGTCGTCTTGTCAAAGGCAAAAGACACTATGTTAAGCAGGAGCGAACAAGCATAAATCCAGTCAACGTTCTGGGCTCCGATCTGATAGTTCCCCAGCTGCTCCCCGAGAAGTTGGGCTGCGGCCTGAGTATGCAACCAGGAGGCCCTTCGATGCGCGATAGTTGATGTTTGACAATGTTGAAGATGTCGAGCAGACAGTGCAAGAAGTGCATGCATCAGATACGGAGTGGAGGCGCACTGGGGCAGAACGAATCGGTCGAATAGGTCTCTGCCGACTGGGGATCCCAGTGACGCATCCAGGCAACTCGGAAGATGTTGCATGAGATATGTACTCTCTGTTATAGAGTGGTGGCGACTGTCGCTATGCTCTAGCCCTGGATAACCGTTGGCCATCAACCCATCACCCATCGCGAGAGGCGGAGCCACTGTCAGTATATGGGGCTCGAAGTCGTTGACATATATGCAAGAGAAACGGCGCGCTGCGCATCTGCCACAAACAGGGCGCTGCTCGTCGCATTTCACGCGACTTCTTTTGCATATTTGACAGCCATTTCGAGATTTTATGTGGGATCTTCGGGGCAACTTGGATTGCGTTGGCTTCTTAGGAGCAGCTGTGAGCCGGAACCGAGCCGTTCCTGGAGTTGCGGGCATTGCACCATGCTGAGGTTGAGGAGAGAATGTGTTCAAGCAGGTTGGAGGATCTTGATAAGCTCCAGACTAATTCCAGACTAATCTAGTTTGGTGTAAGTGGCGTCCGAAAGAGGAAATTATCGTATCCAGTGGGGCGGTTGGCGCGACAGCGTATCGATAGAGAATATATATAATCTTCCGACTGCTTCAGGTCTCCCTTGGTATCCTTCTCATATTAATCACTGCGTCCATATTCTCACTCGATCCTTCACGCACAATGGTCAATGTTGCTGTGGCTGGAGGTACTGGCGGTGTCGGTCGGACGATTTTGGATATCCTCAGTACTACCGACAAGCACCAGGCATTTGTACTCTCACGGAAGGTAAGCTATACAGGTCTCTGGGGCACGGGAAGTATATAGTAATGTTTTTAGTATATTGAGAACGACAACAATGTCCTCCAGGTTGACTACAACGACATTGACCAGCTTGTTGCCGTTCTGGAGACGAAGAACATCCACACTGTCATCTGCTGTTTTGCCGTTGAAGGTAGTTCCCTTGCTGACTCCCAACTGAATCTTATCCAAGCGGCTGCCCGGTCCAAGGCCACTCGACGCTTTGTGCCCACGGCATATGCTATCCCGTACCCACAGGAGTACGTTTCACTTCTCCTCAAGTTTTAACTGCCGTCACACTGAGAATTCCAGGGCTCTTCAAGTCTTGCCTCAACTCAAGGACTACTTCAACGCAATTGAGCTGCTGAAGGAATCCGGCTTGCAATGGACGGTCTTCCTAAACGGTATCTTCCTTGATTACTTCGGACCTCCGGAGCTCAAGTCCCACTTGAAGCCAAATGTGTTCGTGCTTGACATGAAAAACCGTGTTGCTGCGATCCCTGGAAATGGCAACGTCCCCGTTTCCTTCACATACAGTTACGACCTTGCAAGATTTGTGGTCGCCGCACTAGATTTAGAAGAGTGGCAGGAAGAGAGCCGAGTAGTGGGAGATACGCTGACTTGGCATGAGTTTGTCGCGCTAGCAGAAGAGATCCGCGGTCAGTGTCTCTATCCCTGAGGTCTTTCATGGCTTGCTGATTGTAAAAGGACGCCCCTTTGAGACTCACTATGATAGCGTCGAAAAGCTGAAGACATTTGAAATCACCGAGCTGCCAGGCCACCGAGCTCTATACAGCCATTTCCCAAAGAAGGCATTTCAGTGGTTCATGTCAATTTTTGAGCTGTTCACCACTGATAGAACGTCCTGTATTGAGTGGAGTGGTTCTTTGAATGAACGTTTTCCAGAAATTCAGCCTCTCACTGTGCGCCAGATGCTGATGCAATATTGGGGTAATAACTGAGTGGAGCGATGCGATCTGCTCATTTAGTCCAATGAGGTGGGAAATAATTTGCCTAACATTCTCCCGACATGTTCTTTTAACAGGCCCATATCTGACTAACTAGGTGATAGGGCTACCCTCTTTTCAAAAGCCTTTATAAAGAGATATTTAGTAGAAGGATTGGGGGCTTGGAAGAAGAAGGGTGTTTAAAGAAAATCCTTAACATGCCTAAGCAAGCAATCCTAGTAGTAAAATTTATGATACTTATAGGCTCCTTAGGTAATTTAGAGCTATTAATAGTAGGGAAATAGATTAGGTGAGTACTGAGATCTTTAGGCATACAGAGGTTGAGAGAGGGCTTAGGAACCCCTAGACACAGACCTGGGTGGAGCCAAGCCCCCCAGCTGAAGTGCATATTAAAGGCAAAAAATGTATGTAATATAAAGCTGCTAAGCAGGCAGTGTGAGTACTATGTAGTCCTACATAGCTATAGGTTCCATGAGTGGCTGAGACAATGTATGAGTAAATCTAAAATCTGAAATCTAAAATCTAAGATGCTAAATCAGAGAACATACGGAGTAGAAGCCCCAACTGTGTTATACTTAATTGATTGCTGCCTGAAGTGATCATTGTGGCTGTGTTAACAGACTGAGACATAGCTAATGAGAGGTGTTAATGTGGGCCTAAGACAGCTTCATTAGGTGAGTCTGGGTGATTATGGGTGATTGTGCGAGACTTCTCACCACGTTTATTCTGCACTCACCTAAGCTCATCCAGGTTATGCAACTAAAAGCAGCATCATGCGACCGTGGCAGCCACCAACCTTTTGACTGCGTTGAAGCCACACGCCGGCCGGTTAGTAGTTGGGTGGGTGACCACCAGCGAATCCCGGCTGTTGTATGTTTTGCTTTTTTCCATCTGTATTTTGCTTTTCATACCTTGATAAGTCTTCCACCACCTTTACATTAATTGTTAATGAGACTGAAATGAAGTGTTCTCTGTACCATAGTCTACAGATTATGACTAATCAGCTTTAAGCCACGATGCAAAGGAAATTGTGCACCACTAACAGTGTTCCCTCGCCTGTAGCGCGTGATGACTTCTGCATGAGATGCAGTATGTCACAATGTGGCTGTCTGGCTTTGCTGGCGAGGCTGAGTTGATTATGTCAAGGCTAGCCACCGTGGAGTACAGGCCCACATATTAAGAATAAGATAACACTCCCATCCCTACTCTGGCCTAGGACACTTATCAAGAAAAGTCATTAACGCCCCCGCGAGATGTCCTTTACAGTGTCTGCACCGGTCTTTTGAAGACCAATCACCGCATCGAGAAGAGACTTGCAACATTCTATCAGCTTTATTCTTCCGACCATCGATCCTGGCGGAATCAACAAGGCCACTGGGGTATTTGGTTGCAATACCTTTGTCTCCTGCATCGTCGCCGCTTCCAATAGCGTGTTACTCATGTCTTGCACCATGTCCTCCATCTGAAGGAGCAATACTCCAAAATCCTGTTCCGGTACAATGTCCCGCGCCGTGTCCTCCATCTCTAGGAGTATTGCTTGAGAATCCTCTTCTGGCGCCATGTCTTGCACCATGTCCCCCATCTCAAGGAGTGTTGCTTCCGGATCATGTTCTGGAATTGACGTCTCCGTCGCCGATGGGCTCAACGGCCTGACGATGGTGGTAGTCTCGTTGGACGACATTTGGAGAGAATATGTCGCTGTATACGAGTGAGTACGTTGAAGGTATGAGTAAAGAATAGCGTGTTCTGAAAGTTGAGCGCAATTGCTTGGAGGAGAAATGTAAACCTGCAATATATGCCCGGGTGAGGGCATGCGGCTCAGCAAGCTCTCAACTTTGCCCTGAATATCCTAAGATCTCGCTGAGCGTTTGTGAGAACACCTTGCTGAACTGCAACCTGGGATAGTCTTATTGGCTGAATGGAAAACATATCCGAATGAGGATGCAACTAGCCGCGAGCGAAACGGCCGTTTCCAATAAGAATATCTCACAACTTTATAAGAGCGAGATAGTAGTGCAATAAGGACGTAATGTCGTGGCCCTCAGGACTCGCACTCCTAATCTCAGTTTATTCTTATCTACTTGAAACAGTATAGGCGCAGAATCAAAGCCATTCATGAATGAATACCATTGTGTACCCTGCGGCGCCTATGATTTTTGCTGCACTGACCAGCAATGGTCAAGAATCGGCGGCCCATCAAGGCGAAGTTTGTGTATGGATCTATAACCAAGGCAACAAGGAGTGAGGCAAGGAGATGCTTTAGTGGATTGATCATGGCCTCTGATTGCCGATGAGATCAATGTCTGACTCTTCTCTCCAATGATTCGTCAAGTAGATGCGTTGATGAAACACTGAACATGTTTGGGCGGCTATTTCAATGCGTCATTTTGACTGCGCCACAAGACCACCAAGCGAGTGAAATCTGGAGCAAAAGTAAGCAATATGTTTATGACAGAAATATTCTCTATATAATATGTCAGCTGCTGAGTTTATTTCTGTCTGATAATAGGAATGGATGGAGGAATTAAAAGAGCAGTGCTTGAGCCTGTCGTTGCAATAATGTTATGCCAGGGGCAATTGCTCTATATTGGCATTCATCGTGATAGGAAATGACAAATCCGACATGGCCGGACACGTATCCATCACTGCGCCTGTCAGCCTTATATGCTGGGTGGCTGTGGCTATGTATAGACGCATCCTTGTCACAGCGGCTAGGCAGCATTTACAATGGAGATATAATCGGCGGGTTTGAGTGCCGAACAAAGAACGGGTAGGTGAGTGAAATTTCACCAGAATGAAGAGTAGCGCTGAATTGTCGCCCATTGACCAGTCTCTTGATGTTTGCCTCCTCGAATCGCCCGTTCTTCTCGAGCGCCAGGAGAACAATGTCACTCGTCTTTGGGAAAGTGGTATTCAGTACAATGAACGGTGCTTTCGGCTCTACTTCGACTACTATCTAGAGCAATGCAGGATTGCGTTTCAGTCTGGTCGAGGCCATCTGCCAATCAGGACGCATCAACATATAATTAACATTGCCAACCGCATGCAGTCCGGATGCACACGCTCCACAGTTAAAGACTTTATCGAAGAAAATCAATGGACCGGCGAACAGACGTCGGACGAGGCCATAGATGCTTCAATGAATCTGGCAGCCCGGCTGCTTCTTATGCTTGACGTGAGTGAATTCCCGAATGCATATTCTGGTCAGAAGAAGCTGCTATGGTCGGAAGGATTGCTGCAGGAGTTTGTCAAGGAGACACTCACGGAATCAATACCCCCTGCACCATGATAGGATCAGGTTCAGCAGAGCCTTCAAAATGTGTAATCTGGACCGCATCGCTGGATTCAGGGTGGAGCTCACATCCAACCTATCTAATCATCTGCGAGTGAGGGATGTTGATAAATCGGTCTCCGTATTCCACTATGCGTCGTTTTTGATGGCAGACAAACAGTATATCTATCCTTATTCTACGTCCCTTTGCTCACTACATTCTAACAGCATGAAATCCTAATAGAACATCAATCTTTTCAGCAGGCCCCGTGGACGAGACGCTGGCCACATTAGCCCTTCTTTTCCCAATTCGCGACAAGAAAGCGAAAGATGGGACAAAAAGCAAGACGAACCTCATGAATTGGACAGTAATGTTGGACGGTGTGGGATAGGACAGACGAATTGGGGAATTTATATGTTGGCATGAGCGGCTTGTTATATTCAAAACCGAGTTCGACGACTCCAAGCCATCGACCATCACACAGTGGTGGAATGATAGCTGGGAAGGGGGCCAGTAGTATGCTATATGGTCTGCTATTGCATTCACTGCTCTGTTTGGTCTGGCACAGAGCATTGAGGGTGCATTGCAAGTGTATAAGGCATATAACACCTGATCCAACAGTTGCACATAGAAGGAAGAACGGTTGCAGTGATTGTAGCAGTCAAGGTGATAGAAATTCTATTGGCAATTGCACTTTGGCAAGATAAATAACATAGCGTTGAGCCAGCGCGACGTATCTGTATGATCAAGCCACTGCCTGTGCCTTGACCCGCTCGGCAACCGAATAGATGCCCACGCGCCCATACACATCCTTGTACTTCTGCCGGACGTAGTCATCCACCGAGATGGGCGCATACTTTTCGTCCTCCGGCCTCGCGCGACACGACTCAACGCACCGGATCACAAAGTCCGGATTCCCATTGTAGTTGAACGGGATGGAGTACCGGTCTACGTCCGACCGGTTGATCACCCGGTGCACGTTGGACAGGTACTCATCATTCGTCCACTGCTGGAACAGATTCCCCAGGTTCACCACATACGCCCCCTCGATCGGTGGCGCAGGGTAATACGACTGCGTCTCCTCGTCCCACACCTCCAGCCCGGGGACATCCCCCTGTAGCAGCAGCGTAATGACGCCAAAGTCGCGGTGGGCGCCGATACCGCGCTGCAGCGGGTCAGCGTCGGCCGGCTGGGGAGGGTAATGGAGCAGCTTGTAGAAGGCCATGGGTTCCGTGCAGAACTCGTCGAAGTAGGACTCGTCGTAGCCTAGGGACACGCCGATGGCTTGCAGGGCTTTCTCGGTGAGGGCGGTTACTTGGTTGAGGTAGTCCATGCAGGTGTCGCGGAAGTGTGGGCCCAGCGACTCGGGCCAGAGGTTCGGTCCATGGGCGAACTTCTTGGAGACGACTTGCGGGTGGTCTGGGGGCAGGTCCTGGGCGACGTAGTAGCCTTCTTTCAAGTCGGGCTTGGTGTCCTTTTCGATCATCTGACCGTACATGACTTCGTAGCCGCGGTTGTGGTCGTTTTGGGCTGGGAATATTAGGTAAGTCTAGAAGTTCGAGGGGCAAGGGGAGGGAATACATTTGTCGAGTTTCATCTTTTCCTCCAGGGGAAGGGCGAAAAACTCCTTGGACAGCTTGAACATTTCCTTCTGCAGGCTCAGTGGGATTGGATGGTTGATGATCTGAAAGAATCCCAGTGTGCGGCAGGCATCTCCAATGGCCTCGGTGCAATTCTTCTTGCGCTCCGGATCACCAGAGAGGAAATCACTAAAGTCAACGATTGGAGGAGAGGGCATGATGTCTGTGAAAACTCCTGATCTCTTGAAACTACACAGCGATGGATTGATATCGAGTGATTGAGGCGAACGTCCTGCCGCTTATATAGCTATCTACTCATCATACTCCCTCGTCTTCAGATGATACTTGCTCCGCGAGCGGATTCGTGGCCCGAATCGATAAAACACCCACGGCAATGGCGCCATCGCCAGAGCCACGAATCCCAGCAGACTCGTTGCCCACGATGTCCCCAGGGAATGATACAAAGACGTCGAGAAGAGGGGAAAGACGGCCCCAAACAGGGAACGCAGCACGGCATTGGCCGCCAAAGCACTCGCCCCAAACGAGCCGTAGCAGTCTGTCAGATATGACGTGATCCCCAGGAAGAGCAGGATGAGGCCAAACCCAAAGGGCACACCGGCGACGATGCCGGAGATCCAATGGGTAGGCGGCGATGCCGTCCAGGCAAACCAGAACAAGCTGACGGGGATTAGCCAGGAGATGACGATCAAATGTGGGAGGCGAGCCTCCGGCTGAGGACCTCCCAGGCGTCGCACGTAGATGCCATGGATTCGATTGACATATGGCGAGATCAGGGTGGCGATGGCCATGCCGACGCATATCCCCAAAAAGGAAAGCCCTGCAATACTGGGGGACCAGCCTCGGGTTTCCCGGTAGACAACAGGATAGGCCGTGAAATCCAGATAGAGTATACCGTAGACAAGAGCCATATACAGGGAAAGCAAGAACAGGATGGGCTCCGTGAAGAGCATCAGCCAGGGCCGCGTGAGCGTCGTGTACAGCATCTCCTTGACGGAGGGTTGATTGGCTGGGGAATAGCCCGGCATGCATCGTCTTTTGTCCATCAGCAGCTTGGGGGGATATGTCTCGGGAAGAAACACCGTCATGGCAACGTAGCAGACACCACTGAGGATCAGCACCACCCAGAAATTCCACCTCCATGACGTGTACTGACAGATGAAACCCCCCACTGTGGGTGCAATGACGGGGCCCAGGAAGCTGGCCGCGGAGAAGAGGGCCAGCGGCACAGACCGATTATCCTGCGGCCAGATATCGGTGATGGACCCGCCAGAGTTAGTCACCGTGGGAGATCCAAAGAACCCTGAAAAAAAGCGAAAAACGATCATCGACGCGACGTTGGGAGCTAGAGCACATCCAATCTGGAACAGGACGAATAGCACCAGAACGAGCCGGAAGATCGTATTGCGACCCCTGACCTTACGTCAGCTTATTCCTCTTGTAGAAAACGAAGGAATGCCATGCCTGTACGTACCAGACCTCAGACAGAGGTGCAAACAGCAGGGGCCCGGACGCGAACCCCAATAGGAACGTGGTAACGCCCAGCGTTGCGACTGTTGACGAGCAGCCGTACGCATGTGAAATGGACGGAATGGCGGCTGTGTAGATGCTAGAGCAGAAGGCGATCGTCGCAGTCATCAACACCAGAATCCCAGTACAAATCCCTGTCTCGACGTCAGTATAGGTCCCAAGGACGTTAGATTCTTACTTGCATTTCTTCCCCGCAGACCAGCATCTAGGGTTTTCTTGTTCGTCCAGCTGGACAGGTTGGTCTGTGGAAATGGGTTCTTTTGCTTCAATGTCCGCTCGTGGCGGGAGAAAATTTGCCATGTTCATGGCTGCGATGAATGAACGAGCAAACTGCCGGTCAAGCACTGCGGGTTGAGGCGTGTTTAATGTCCGTTCTGCTGATACCAACGCAGGGATTGATGACGCGATCTGCCCTCCGCGTGGGGTCCATGAGATCCTTTCCTTGATTAATCAAAACATGGATCAGGGACGGTGATGCTTCAATGGTACAACTTCATTATCACTTGGCCTGTGTGAGGCAGGGATTTATGTGCTTTACCTTCCATGTAATTAATACATGCCCAGCACAAGGCCAAGGCGGCTATATAAGACATGGAGCAATTCTTTGTCTTCAAAAGCTTACCCATTATGTGATTATTAATGGTGCTACTTCACCGTAGATTCACCTCACCGTAACCATGTTTGGATAGCTTAGAAAGAGAACCCTGTCATGAGCAAATAATAGTGTCCCATAAATCCATCTGCGATTAACCTGGATTGGCTAGGTTTCTTTCATGGACAAGGTAAAAGCAAGCTTTCGGCAGAGTCTTGGATGTGTTTCTGTACTTTTGATAAGCCATAATAACCAAACTAATGCATATCTAGGCCATTCATATTAAAGAACAGTCTTACGACTTTTACCCATGCAGCATGGGACGGAGTGGCCGAGTAATATCGAAAAGAGGCAATAGTCATACTTGCTCCAGGGAATATCTCCTTACAATGGAAGTGAAGTGATTACTGCTTCACCTCAAGGGATTGATGTACTCTCTCTTCTCTACCTCCTAGCAATCCCTCCCTCATTCCAGCATGGAAATAGGCATCGTTGGCGCCGGTATATCCGGTCTATATACGGCCCTGCTTCTCCAGCGAGAAGGCCACCGAGTCACTCTTTACGAAGCCAGTTCCCGCATTGGCGGACGCATCTACACTCATCGCTTCCAACCCCTTAACCCAAATGAAGATATCTACTTCGAAGTCGGGGCGATGCGTATCCCCCGGTCGACCCTGCATTCGCGTGTGTACCAGTTCATCCGCTACCTCAACACCCACGGTCGCCACGAAGACAAAGTCGAACTCATCCCGTACGTCCTTGAACACCGCAACAACATCGCCTTCATTTGCAACCGCAAGGTGAATGTCGACGACCCGACCCTCGCAGCCGAGTGTGGCCTGCCGGCGGAGTATCAGGGGAAATCCGCAAGACAACTGCTGGGCGAGGCTGTCACCCCGTGGCTGAGCCTGCTTCACAAGGACTTCCAGACTGGGTTTGGACAGCTAATGAAGCTCGACGAGATGTCGTTTCGGACGTACCTGCGCTTCGTAGTTGGGTGGCCGCACGAGGTGATCGACTTCGTCGAACTTATAAACAGTCAGACAAATCAGTACGATCTGAGCTGCACGGAGATCATGATGCAAAATCTTGACTTCCATACCCGAGACTGGAGCACAGTCCGCGGGGGCATGTCGCGTCTCACTGAGAGTGCAGCGAACCTCATCGGCCGGGAGCACATCCACCTCAACGCGCGGGTCGAGTCGATCAAGGAAAACCCAGGCGGACCTATCACACTCTCTACCAGTGCACACTCTGCCGCGTTTGACAAAGTCGTTCTGGCGATCCCTCCGGCAGCCCTGCACAGCATCCTCGAACGCCCTACCTGGTCCTTCATGAAAGAGCAGGCCCTGCGCGGGACGCACTACGAACCTCTCTACAAGATCGGCCTACATTTCCGCACCCGCTTCTGGGAGAAGCTTCCCACCCCTTGTCTCGGCGGACAGAGCGTGACAGACCTCCGCTTCCGCTGGATCGTGTATCCTTCGAATGATATCGGAAGCGCGGGGTCCGGTGTGCTGCTGCTGTACTGCTGGATGAACGATGCGTACCGAATGGCCTCGCTCCCTCGGGACCAGCGCGTGTCTTTAGTGTTACACGATCTGCAGAGGTTCTACGCGGACACAGGCGTCACCATCTCTGACGAATTCATCGATGCGTTTGACGTCTGCTGGAGCCAGGAGTCTGCCACGGGGGATGCAATGTTTCTCCCGGGGCAATTCAGCCGGTTCTATGAGGCTTCCCGCCGCGCAGAGGGCAGTGTCTACTTTGTCGGGGAGCATTTGAGTCGACATCATACCTGGATCGCGGGGGCGGTGGACTCGGCCATCCAGACGGTGGGGGACATGTTGGAGATGAGCGAGATCAGGTCGTTGGGCGAGGAGTACTCCCGGTTGAAGAAAGGGGGCGTCAATGTGCAACGGCCCTGTGGTCAGAAAAGGTGCAGTTATTCGATTCCGCTGCATAATAACGTGCAGTACGTGGAGGATTTGGAGAGTGCATGGATGGCCAAGAGTGCGAGAGCGACGGCAATTTGTTCGAGGACATAGACTGATCTAAGAATGACAAGTAGAAACAGCATGTTTAATTAGGAACATGATATATGATTGCTCAAAAGTCGGTCAACTAAATACTTTGGCCTTAGATGCACTAAGTCTGCTTGATTAAGTTGTCTTCGACTGCTGAAGGTTTATTACTACCTTCATTGACTCAACACTATTACGGAGGTAGTCACTACTATACAGTAGAAATATCAACAGATATCCCTCTTGTTAAGCTAATATACATCCACAATTACAACAGAAGAAAATTATGAAAACGAAAACTGATAAAGGAAAACAGCAGGCGTCATGCCACAGTGCCAGGAACCAGGCTGAAATAAGTGAAATAAGCAGAACAAGCAGAACATCCATCAGCCAACTAAATATATCCATATGGTTAAAGATACTCCATTTGCGCCGTACTCTGATACCCAGGCAATACTTTCTTGGAAGCATGAACATGGAGACTCGCCAGATGCCTGTTCCATGCTCCAAAGCAGAAACCGAGCTAGGCGTTTTTCTCTCGTGTTCCCCTGAGGCTCTCACTGCAGGAACTCACACAATCTAACCTTAGATAAAGCTAGGTGATTATGGTAGATTACTAGCTTGCATATACACGAGCTTTGTCCCCGGTATACGAGAGATATATGGAGACGCGGCGCTTTTGCGGCTTTGCCCTCGTATTCCCAGCGTAGCGCAGTCCTTAACAGACCTCCAATCTGCGAATACGATAGTGTTACGAGGCCTCGCAGGGCAGACTCGTCTGAAGCATAGGCCAGGGACTATGGTATATATACCTCCTGTGAGCCATTGTATCATTCCTTATACCTTCAACTGCACCAGGAAACTATCAACAAACACAACATGTCCACCGATACCCTCGTCCCCATTCTCATCTACCTCACCGGCGAGACCCGCACCAACGACGTGGTCCTCGTCGACGAAAACGTCTCCTCCTTTGAGGAATTCGCCGCATCGCTCTACACCAGTCTTCGTCCCAAGATTCCCGATTACTATCTCGAAAGCGGAGAGCGGAGCATCACCCAGGCCTTTGTGACATGGCAGCCTTCGGATATTTTCCCCCAAGAGACTGAAATTGTGGAAGGGAATATTCGGGCTGTTCTGAGGCTTCTCGCGGCGCGTAGGGGGGTTGATACCGTTCGGGTGTGGCTTAACGAGATTGATTAAATCATCGGGTATGTGTGCTCGAAATGTGATTGAGAGGATATGGCTGATGGTTCGGACTAGAGCACTCTCAGTCTTGTCCTGATTAGATCTGTTGTTATGGAGGAGAGAAGGGTATTGTTCGCGGCTAGCGGGGGTCTGCTCATGGACATTTGCCTGGGGACTATATGTCAATTGATGTACAGAATTCTCAATCAGAAATGCCTATATACATATCGCTATATCAGCTTTAAAGCTACATGCAATGATAGCGTCTATGTACAAGATGGACGCCTATCATCTGCTCTGACGTAATAACGATACCTGAGCTTTCGGCCACATCATAACCCGATCACTGAGAAAGTCGCTACCAAAGAATGTTAAACTTCGCGAGCCCCTTTCTAGGCTGTGGTTCCGGTTCGTCTTCATCATGGCACAGATAGAACTGGATTAGACCGACCAGCGGTATATTCTCCAAAGCGATGATGTGCGTTTTCTTCCAGAATTTGTACCCGTAATAGAGACCAAGGACGATGGGGATGTTGATGTACGATGAGACAAAGGTTTCGGTATCCCAGTGGCCGTTGATGAATGTGCTAAAGCCACCAGTAATAAGCAAGAGGGTGAAAAGGATCAGCGATGCCCAGGTAAAGTAGGGCTGGAAGGGCGCAGCCCATGGAAGCTCTTTGTGTCGGTCGACGCCTTGCTTCTTGCAACCGTAGTAGAATCGGAGGTAGACTATGCAGACGATTATCCAGTCTACTAATGTGGCAACTGACACGATATCACGCAGCCATCGAAAGACTATGGTTGACGAGTGGGAGAGAGACATATATCCCAAGCACATGAAGAGCCCGATACAGCTAATAGCCACATAAGGGACAGAGAACTGGTTCAGCCTTTCGAATACGGCAGGAGCATGGCCATGGACCGCCATGCCATAGAGAATCCGGGATCCAAAAAGGATGTATGAATTGCCAGCAGACCAGGCGGAAGTCAGGATAACAGCGTTGATGATTGAGGGTACCGTCTTGATCCCTGCCCGGCGAGCAGCGATAACAAACGGGGACTGAGAAGCCGTGCCAGTCAGTTGCAGAAGAGTGGGATCATTAGAAGGCACAACCAAACCCATCATAAAGATTGACAGGACATAGAAGAGGAAGATGCGGTACAAGACGCGCTTGGTTGCCTCTGGTATTGATTGTCGTGGAGACTTGGTTTCAGCCGCGGGGATCGTGATATTCTGGATTCCCGAGTATGCAAAGATGGCATTATTTAGACTTGTCCAGAAACCAAGGAACTCGCCAAGGGAACCTTTGATCCCCAGATACTGAACAAAAGGCCCTGGGTCTCTCCAGTATCTGAAACCAATGGATTCTCCATCTGGTCCTCCGCCGCAAGTAATCACCAGTGCCATGATGTTCACTCCAATGATTAGCAGGATTTTCAAGATGGCGAATGAGAACTCCAGCTCCCCATAGATTCTGACGAACACCAGCGCAGTAATGAGCACCAGCACGCTGAAGACGGTAATCCAGATTGCGTTGTTGACGGTGATCCAGAATTCAACCAGCACTGAGGCTGCCACTATTTCAGCAGGGAGAGTGACCGAGTATAAGTATACTTGGTTCCATCCGTTGGCAAAGGCCATGGCCGGGTCGAAGAAGTATTCAGCATATCGGACGAGACCGCCGCTAAGGGGTACTAACGCACCCATCTCTCCGACAGTCAGGACGACGCTCGAAACAGCAAGGCCAACAATCGAATAGGCAAGAAATGCACCCAGTGGGCCTGCCGTTACGAGTGCTTGGCCAGAGCTGAGGAATAGACCGGTGCCAATTGTACCAGCAAGAGCGATCATCTGGATGTGCCGCTGGTACAGGCCTTGCCGGACAGCTTGTACTTCTCCGAAGCCACGCCTGATGAACGCTATGTCCCCATCAGATGCACTCGACCCCTCTCCTTCTGTAAGTCGAATCCCTAATTCTGATTCAGTAGGCATGGTAGTGATAGATGCCGACTAAGAGCGGCGTATACGGGTCAGAAATCCCCAGCCAGGAGCAGAACGGAAGAAAAGTTGAGTTTTCCCCGCTCCAAGGAGTTCCGAGATTGCCCAGACTAACGGAGGTTGCATTTGTGGGTATATCTGGGGCTACCAGGAACTACCATGGAATCCTGAAGCTTAATAATGGACATCTCCGCGTGATGACTCTATGACCACAACGCCCTACAAATCACAATTTCATCCTTACATAACATTTCTATTTATATTCTTTGCATCTCCTGCGCCTTAAACGCAGCATATTTGCAGTAAATGTCGTGGCGGAATGTCTGCCTCAGCGCCATCACCGCGTCCGTATTGAACGGCAGCGAGGCTTGAATGGCGCAAACGCTGCACAATCCGTTCTTGCGGTCGATAAACCAGACCAGAGTCAGCCCACCTCCCCAGGTCAGCGTACGTTCTCCGTACCCGCCATCCAGATCCTGCAGGGTCAGCAGGCCGCCCAGGCTTTGGCCCAGCTCTGTTCCGGCGTCGAGGCCTACGCGGAAAAAGGGGCCCATAGGAGATGCCAATGCAGCCTGGTGCGCCGCCGTCGCTTCAGGAGTCAGGTGTGGCTCGAACAGATCATCGACGGTCTTGGGTCGGAGCAGCTTTCCGTCGTTGACCAGCAGCGAGTGGAGGATTTTGATGTAGCTTTCCCCGGACATGAAGAGGCCGTGGCCGCCAAAGTCGCCGCGTCCGCGCTTGTTCATGTCTACACTGCCGCCCAGCACCGCGCGCCCTTGGGCTTCGGGATCATCCGGGTTAAGGTCCACGAGCCGGGGGCGCAGGTCTTCGCGCGTGACGGGGCAGAATTGGGCGTCGTTGATGCCGAGAGGGTCGAAGATGCGCTCCTGCATGCGTTCACCGAGTGTGCGGCCCGTCACTCGCTCCACCACCTTGCCGGCCCAGTCGAGCCCTGGACCGTACATGAAGCCGGTGCCGGGCTGGAAGCCGAGCGGGTACCGGAACAGCTCCTCGACCGATAGGCGCTCGCCCTCCTGGGGCGGTGCAAACTTGTCGCGCCACTGGCCGATGTGCGGCATCAAAAAGTGGTAGCAGAGCCCCGAGCTATGGGTGAGCAACATCTCGAGCGTCACGGGGCGGACCGGGGGTTCGAGAATAGGGGTTTCGCCGTCGTCGGAAAAGCCAGTTAACACCTGCTTGGCGGCCAGGTCGGGTGCGACGGACGATAGATCGCCGGTTAAACTAAGTAATCCATCCTCGACGCACTGCAGGGCAGCGATGGCGGTGACCAGCTTGGTTGCCGAGGCCAGGTACAGGACATCGTCGAGCTGCTGCGGGCGCTTTTCGCTGGACAGCAAGGTACGCTGGCCCAGAGCCTTATTGTAAACAAAGTGACCGTCGGTGTCCGTGGTACAAATAACGGCGCCATTGATTTTGCCAGCGTCGATGGTGGCCTGGAAGCTAGTTTCGATATCGTCGGCCATTTGCACAGATCGTGGTCAATGGGAAGTGGCTGAGGGGCAGAGACTATTTTATCCTGTACCCCTCTATTTATACCAGACATACGCGTCCTCAAACCCTGTCGCTGGGGATAAGCACTATTTACGTGACTCATGTCTTACTCCCCCGCTATTGATTGTATTAACAATAATGCCTCATTAATCTTCTGTTTCTAGTGACTTCAGAAATCAGCTCTTTCTTCATGTTCTAGCAGGTTTGATGATGAATATAATAAATAGTAAGAGTATCAATCCGGAAAGCTTTTCAAGAGGCACTTGGTAAAAGGCTACTCAGCTTGGCACATATTGTTAGAAATATATAACCTTAAAGTTAACCCCTGTCCAATTGCTTCTCATTAGGCCTCCTAATACTGATTTATTTTATTAACAATGTTTCAAGGATTTCTGACTCATGCATGGTCCGCCTTAGGATATCAGTATAGTTATATCCAGAGTTCTAGACACTCTAGATCTAATTTATGATGACATCGCTGGCTATCCAATAGATTGAATTTAGATTAGCTCGTACTATAACAAGAACTAGCACGTGCTCTCCATGTATTATTCTAATAATGGTGCTTCCCATTTCCATGTGTTGATTGGGATAGGCCTCCTCGCTTTGACAGTGTATACGTTATCGAAGCCAGAGTGATTGGCTTATTGATGTTTAGCAGAACATGTCTTCTTACTCATCTACACCCCAGTTTCCCCAGAAAGAAGCCATACTGAAGAACTGTAATATTTCTCCATATTGTTTTACTCCCTTGTTCCCCAGACGTCTCTGGAAAGGGCAAAACGGGGACACTAGAGTAGCTCAAGGGACAGATATCGCTGATTTGATATGTTTCCTCGATATAATTGTGTGGTGTCTAATATTTGTACTGTACAGTTTATTAGTAGTTAGAACCTCAGATGCTATATCTACAATGAGCTCGTTTCAACATTCTTGTTTCTCACAGGTAGACTTCACAAGCAAACAACTATTGACGAATGGATAAACAAGCACTCAGCAGCAATGCCTTAGCCTCGCTAATTACTATGTATACCAAGATACTAAAAATGGCTGGATACGAGAATGCAACATCGGATAATTCGCGCTATCTACCTATGAATAGCAGCATCCGGCGAGGAACACGAGGAAGCGGGCTGCGCAATACGAGGCCATGATGATCCCATGTATAAGTACACAGCTTTTCAGCAGTCTTCTCATACGAAAGAGCAAGTCTCAGTTAAGACAGCAACACAAACAAAATGAAGTTCCTCAGTCTCGCAGTTGCCTTCCTCCCCCTCCTGGCCGCCGCTGCCCCTGTCGCGGATCCTGAAGCCGAAGCGGACGGAGAGCTGGACCTTGAAAAGCGCGCATCCGCGCAGACCTGCAAGATCGTCAATGTCGATAACTATGTCAACTGCCGGTACGACGCAAAGTTAGACGCGGGCGCGATCTTTGGGTTTCGCAAGGGAGATAAACTCACCTTTGCGTGCTGGAAGCACGGCGATTGCTACAACGGGGTTTGGTGAGTATGACAACTGGTTCTGATGAGCTGAGGCTAATGAGACTAGCTCCTGGGATCAAATTACTTATCTCAAGACGACATGCTACGTTAATGGGTACTTTACCGATAGTAATTGCTCAAGCAGTATGTTATCCCTTGCTAGTATTTGGACATGGCTGATTATGTTAGAAAAACTCCCCAAATGCAAGTAGACCATGACGATGATGTCGCTGTGTGATGCTGCTAGAAACCTGATATAGTTATGATGATGATGGATTAGATGTCATCATGGTCGTTGTATTACTGTGAAAGTCGCTTTGAGGTCCATGTTCTTATACCCCGTGAATACATGGCATTTGCCCTAGCTTCTAAAATCACCAGTAATAAAACACCACTAACGCCGAACGCCAAAGAGTCGTCATGGGTATCTTTTCCCTATCTTTTATGCATGAGAATTCGATCAATCCGACGATCGAGGAAGATGCTTCACCAACCCTTCCTTGAACCTCTTTCGCCAGCCTCGAGCTTTCCTATCCTCTTGAGACCTCCGGTCTGAAAGACCCCTCGTCCGCGAGTTGGTCGTCCCACTAACAGCAAAGTCCTGTATATCCGACCGGTCCGACGCAGAAGACATCACCGCACTACTCGCATACTCGCCGTCGTCTTCTACCGAACTCGACGCCGGCTCGCCATAGAACCCATACCGACGCGCCGAGTCCCCCCGATGGCAAGGATAATCCTCCCGCGGGCATCTATTCACCCGTATATCATCCGCGACGCTTGGCCCGGACATAGCTTCCTCTGGCAAACAATCGTTCAAACACGGCATGGAGAGCGGCTGGACGCGCGCGGTCGCGGATGATCTTCGCAGGAAGGGTATGAGGATAGACCCGCGCAGGAGCTCCTTGACGTGATTCACGACCCGATCGAGTATTTCTGGCGGGGGAGGGTCATCTGCGTGCTTGTGGAACCGCTGCATCAGCTGCTGTCGAATGTCGCAGGGGATGTTAATCTCGCGCTCCCCGTGAGGCCGGATATACTGGTTGACCAGTCGGTTCCAGAGACCGGAGAGATGGGCCTTGCGGACGGCCTCGCATGTCTCGGTTTTGTGCTCGAGCCAGTGGTAGATGCGTCGGTAGCGTTCGGTTTCCAGTATGAACTCGACGGTTTCTAGACATTGGTGCTCGGAGAGGAAGGCAATGAATGCGCCCAGGGTGTAGGGGAAGGGGGCCACATCGTTTAGAATGTCATCGAGCCGGGGTTGGAGGTGGTATAAGCTGCCTGATCGTGCCCTCATGGATGGTGAATAGGATGTGTTTGCACATAGTTAATGCTAGTAGAACAGCCATTTCAGTCCTCGTGTATTGGAGTCTTATAAAGCAATATGATATGAGCTCTGCAGCCAATGATGAAAGTGGAGGTGCGTGCCATGGTTCGGGCTGGGGGATCTGGGGTTCTGAGGCGATGGGGCTGTCTTCCATCAATGACACTCGGCTTTTGACTTTTTGCCCAGGTTTATGCTGTTCGCTTGAACTACGCTGCTTCTCTACTGGATGCTTGAAACTGGGTTCATTCGACTGGTCTGTCTACTTTAGTCTATGTGTAACCATCCGATCGCCCGCAAAAAGGGCCGCACGGTCATTAAACTCCCTGCGGTGATCCCCAGCCCAGTCTCTATATTCGACCATATCGAAACCTGCGTTGTTTCGTCTGCGAAGTCAGTCAGTCATCACTGCCAGTGACGGTCTCAGAGCCTCTTACATAGAAATTCCCGACTCTTTGACAGACGGAGAAACGGGATACGAACAATAACCGCGGTGCTAGCACTGGCGATAGTCAGCTTCCGTCCGGTTCAATCAGGAGAAGCAACATACACGCATCCAATAGACAAAATTCCAATGACGGCCATCTTCGTATGTCGGTCCATCTTTAGCCTCCCAATCATGAAGGCGGGCAGCAGTCCAATCGTAAAGTCGCACACCGCAGCGGCCGCACTGTACATGTAGACGATCCCCAGGAGACCATCCATGTCCATGCAATGGCCCTCTTCTGTCATTCGGTTCCAGTAATAATTGACCGGGGTGCATTGGAAGATGGTGAAGAAGAAGAAAATGGTTCCTGCGACAATGGACAGTATGGTGGCGGCACCAAGGATGCTCCGATGGAGGTTGTCGACGGTGAGGCGCACGAGGGTGACGGTGATGGACAATCGCACGAGGACAGAAGTAACGACGTAGAAGAGTTGTCCGAGCCAGAAACACTGCGGCCCGTCAGTAGTGAGCTTGCGTCGCAGATTCGCATCACCCACCAGCATGGCCTTGCGAAAGTTCTGCGGCGATTCTTCAAAGTAAACCAGCTGCTTGCCCATGCCAAACGTCGCGCCGAGTATAGTACACACGCCGAAACCGATATTGAAGAACTGCGTTCCAGTCTGCTCAGAATTGCCCGGTTACATGATTGGGGATAGTCTCACCATTGCAGTTACCATGATATGGTCATCGCAGCCCGCGGCATGGGTCAAGCGAAAGCGAACGAAACATCTCAAACTGCCCGTGGTCAAGGAAAAAGCCAGGAATATGGCCGTGACCACCACGATTGCCTCGCTCCGGCCACTCACCATGGTGTAAGGCCTGGAGGAGAGATAGAATATCCCGCATGTCTTCTGCGGTCGCGAAGTGTAGGAGAAGATTGAATTTCGCGGAGTCAGAATCTGGACAAGCAATTCCAGCTCCACAGGACTTATCTATGACACGAGGTGGGGTTATTAGACAGTTCCGGCCGGATGGAAACTCTATAGATGAACCTCTTTGCTCCCAAGTCTGGGTGGTGGTGCCGTGTGGTTGGATGGTTGTCTCTACCGTTGCAACGTTGCGTTCATGACGTCAAGACTGGAGGTTCGCGGATAGGCCAAGACACAGATACAGACAATATTAGACTAGGTAGATCAGATCATGTATGTAAAGACATTAGTGTATCGCAATTTGTAGTGCGAGTTAACTATGGTTCGGGTAAACAGCACATATATCACATTGCTTCCCTCCCCGCATTCCTCGACAATGGAGAAATGACCAAAAACTGACCGCGAGCCAAAGATGAAATACTTATTCAGCATCATTTTTCTTGAAGATATCGCCGTGATTCACCTGTCAAGATTAGTAGCCGCATAGTTATAACTAGATCCACTAGCGATTAATGCTCGACCTACCACCTCCACATTGTTGCCCAGTGGATCCAACACAAAAGCCCCATAGTACTCCGGATGATACTCTGCTCGAATTCCAGGAGCGCCATTGCACTTTCCTCCAGCTGCTACAGCAGCCTGGTGAAAAGCGTCAACCGTAGCATGGTCTGATCATCAGCCACTGGCCCTCCAGGGACAGAGGAAACCTACCACGCGCTATAAAAGCAAAGTGGAAGCCACTGCACTGCTCGTTGGTCTCTGAGATCCAGAAATCTGGATGTTCAGAGCCGAGTCCGACAGCTCCTGGGAAGCGCATCAATTCCCTGTAGTTCAGCGGGGCCAAAGCCTTCTTGTACCAGTCGATGATGCTCTCAAACTGATCCTTGGGGGCGTGGATGCCCACATGGTCGATTGTGCTAGACATGATGAGTTAATGTCGATGGCGGTTGTGTTTCTGAGCTATGTCTGAGTGCTTGAGAGAATCGCAGAACCAGGCTGCGGGGTTTATATGATTGATAAATTCCATATAGGTATTGACGGCCAAGAAGTACAAGACCGCCACAGATGGCTATACGAGGTCTAGGTTAGGCAGCAGCGTCATATCAGGCAATATACCTCGTAGAGAATCCAGACTTCCATGGTGCACGGCTCTTGTATACGAACACGAGGGCTCATGACAAACCACTGAGACAGAACAACTGTTAAAGTTTCCATGTTGACAGACTGTCGCTGAAGTTGAGACTGCCTGCGGAGGGACAGCTTTGCCTCGGCTTTGATAGAATGGCGTACAGCAGAATAGGTTTCAGTCTAAGGCGACCAGACGATGATATTGACCAGTCAACCGGTGGATGCCATCGCGAAGCAAAAGGTTAAGAGACCATGAACCCGTAATGAATCAGGAAACTTGACATGTTGTATACTTTCCTGCCCTATCAAATGATAAAGCGAGCTGCAACTGCCAACTATCGCCAAGATCGATGATCCGAACACGAAAGAGTCATTCTTATGGAGATTTTGCTCTCCTTTCAAAGACTTCGAGGACAGATAACGTCTACTATTCGCAAACTTCAGGCTCAATCTGATATTCAGAAAAGTCATAAAAGCCCAGACCGAGGTACATGACTGTTGTCGATAGCGACAAGCAGATAACCGTTATGGTAGCCTTGCGCCCAGCCTCATGCGCGGGGCAAGAGACTTGAGCCAATAAACTGAAGACGGATGACTTGCTGCATGCCACTAGTCAAGCGCAACATGTCCACTATCAGAATGTGCTGACTCCGAGAGCCATCTACGAGTAATCGGATATGCTGTGTATGAAACCATGACGCCACAACACCTGTTCACGCTGCCGGTGGAGCTTGTCCTTGAGATGGCTCAATATCTCTCATCGCCGAGTCTGTCGGCTTTGGTTCGCACATGTCACCGTGCGTACGACCTCCTCAACCCAGTCCTCTATTCCGTGCCTGTCAAACGGCTCTCCAGCGTCCTTGCATGGGCGAATTGCGTGGAGAAGGAACGGACTATGCATCATCTTTTAGACCACAACGTAATCAACGTCTTGGAGGTTAAACACCTCGCCCTTCGGCCCGCTTGCTCGGCTGGCTCCGTTGAGATCGTCACACGGCTTTTGAACAGTGCTCCAGATTCGCCATGTGATTGTGGCCCAATCCTTTCGTGCGTCGCGGGAGTCAATCGGAAGCAGATCATTATGATGCTTCTCTCTGCCGGCGCGGACTTGGCTAGATACGACTTTGGCGAGGTGGGCGAGCTCCTCGGTGGTTGGGCCCCGGAGGACCTGGAGGCCCCTCGAGCTCTCATCAGACTTGGCCTCGATATCCATCTGGTTGACTCCAACGGTGATAACCTGCTGCACCGAGCCGTCAAGCAAAACCTACCGATCGCGGACATTGCTTTCCTCCTGGACGAGGGACTGGACATCAACCACCGCAATGGCCAAGGCCGTACTCCGCTTGCCGCCGCGATCGCGTTCGAGGACAGCGTTCTGACCGAGAAGCCGGATATAGTGGAGTTGCTGCTACAGCGAGGAGCAAAGACCGACCTTCCAGACAACCGGTCCTGGTATCCTCTGCATCAAGCGGCTTTCGACGCGAAAACATGGGCTGTACGACTGTTGGCGCGATATGGCGCCGACCTTGAGGCTCGGACTTCTCACGGCGAAACACCACTTTATATGGCCTGTAGCGTCTACTCGCAATGTGAGAAGGTCATCAAAGCACTGCTGGACGCTGGGGCATCTCCGGCCGCTCATGTAACAGGACGCCGGGGAGAAAAACGGACGCCGATGCACCTAGCCTTAGCGAAGCGAGATCCAATCCGCCGCGGCATCCGCGTACGGTACCTGTTTGATGCCTGGATGGCCATGTCTCCGGCATTGCCGTCCGCGGATGCTTTCCTTGTCGCCGCGGCGGCATTGGGAGAGGTGGCCGTTTTGCAGAAACTGATAGACTCCAAGACGGTAAACATCGAGGGAGCGGACGGGGTAACAACGGTTCTAATGGCTGCTGCGGGCGCCGGTCAAGATGAGGTTATTGAGCTTCTCCTCCCGCTTGGAGCAAACGTAGATGCGGTCGACGAACTGGATTGCACGGCTTTACAATACGCCGTATGCTCCGGGACCGAGACCACTGTGCAACTTCTCCTCCCACGATCGTTGAGGGCGTGGGCTTCTTGCAGGTCTCCTGCAATGCTCATCACCTGCGCAATAGTGTACCAGCAATCGCCCGAAGTCCTTCGCAGCCTGCTCGAATGGAGACGGCATCGGCATCCACAACATGAGATCGATTGGACACAAGTGCTCAGTTACCTCGCCCACGATGCCAACATCGTGGACAAGGCCCGCATTATGTTCGAATACATGAAGCCTGCTGATTTACAACCCTCAGCACACATTGTGCCGCTCATGTTCTTCATTTACAAGGGGTGCATTGACATTGCGCTGGAAATCATCCAGCAAGGGATTGGGCTGGAGGGTCGGGTCGGGGACTGGACACCGTTAAGGATGGCCGCTTCGAAAGGTGAATTGGCCGTCGTCCAAGCGCTTGTTAACGCGGGAGTCGATTTGGAGGTTCGATCAGACAAGGACGCGGGGACAGCGCTATCTCTGGCCGTTGTCAACAACCACAGTGAAGTCGTCCAGTTTCTGCTGGCAGCTGGGGCAAACATGGATGTACCTGCAGGTGACCCGGCCGGGAGGTCGGTTTTCCAACACGCCGTGTTTCATGGATACCTGGACATCGTGCGCTCGCTGCTTGCTGCTCACGTGGATGTCAATATCTGCGGCGGAGATAATAACTATACGGCGTTAACCTGGGCCGTTCTAGGTGGCAAGCTTGAGGCGGTACGTCTGCTTCTAGGCTATCGCGCCAAGGAACAGCTGGAGCTCAGTGGCAAGGATGCTTTATACTGGGCCATGCATGACGGATGTGAACGTATCGCTGCCCTCCTGGTAGATGCAGGAGCTCCGGTTGACGAGATCGATCGCTATGGCCGTACCATTCTTTCACAGGCCGCCAGTCGGGGACAAACGGCCATCGTGAGAATGCTCCTCGACGAAGGGGTCAGGGTCAGTTTGCCGGATCGCCATGGACGTACTCCATTCCTCATGGCAGCCTGTCGCGGACACTGTCAGATTGCTCGACTGCTGGTAGAAAAAGGAGCGGACATCCATCAGAAGGATTACTTTGGTCGCTCGGCGCTGTCACTCGCTGCAGATCAAGGACACATTGAGATGGTGAGATGGCTCATAGAGCAAGGGGCAGATATAAATGAGAGCGATCGGATCGGTCGAACGCCGTTGTCCTGGGCAATGCAAATGGACTCAAGCGAGGCGGCTGAAGTACTGGTGTTGGCTGGTTGCGATGTGCTCAAACCGGACCATTATGGACGAACGCCATTGCAATGGGCTTCCAGTGACCGATGCATCGCGAAGCTCTACTGTTCTTTTCCAGTATATAGACCAGGGCTGCGATATCGTCTCCAGTCATGAGCTGAGACAGTCATAGACTGTATGCCGGATTATTCCGCTGCCACCGGATAACATAGAAAAGAGTCAAAGAGCCGGAAATTACACAGCTCGTCGACTATCTCACTCCATGCCTCGTTGTAGATTTCCCCTCGTTGTGTAGGACTCGGCATGACCTTAAGTGTGAGAGTGAGACGTCGGTACGTGTCCGCCGAGCTATGAACAACCGGCAGTGTCGTTTCAAGCCGCTGTCCTCGGCTAGAGATAGTGTCGAGTTGTCAATTCAGAAAGTACGAGACATGCATTTTCCAGAGTATATCGGCATGTAGTCAGGGAATATATGCCGAATATTTAATAGGATTGTTGATGCCTCAAAAATCAGTGAGTTTCACAAGTGAAACTGGCGCATCGAGCACAAGCCATTACATCCGAGGGCCATTCTTAATGCAGGTACTAACTAACTAGTTATTAGTTATTCTTGATGGGATGAGTCAGTGATACCAAGAAACCCAGACTGAAGATACCAAGAAGCTACGGTATATAACTCCTTTTGGTGCATCTTGGCGGAAGTATAATCACGGGAGGAGTTACTCCATTCAGCCGACGTGACGTACAGAAAGAGAATCCAGACTGTGACAAATCATGGCACCAGTGGAGATCATTTCCTGTCTTGTCCTTTCATGCCGTTAGTGGTGGAAGATAGTGGATCTTCTGAACGGCCAAGAAGCATTCGGCCAGTGTAGCATCGTCTGCCAGGCTGTTATAACCGAGGGGTAACAAGTCTGAAGATTTGGCAGTTAGGGTAGTTCGACATGAAACCGAACCCTGCGAACCGTTTGTCTCACTAATCCCATGGATCTGTGCAATGATTTCCTTAACTCGCCAGATTTCTGTATCCTCATCGTTCACAGCATGTGAAATAAGCAGAGTTTGACGAATTCCCCGAGGAGATCAAGCCTCTTTGAGCAGTGGAGACCATGGCGAGAAAGGGATATTATCCCCACTTAGTCTCCGACACCAAGAGAATCTTGTTGATCCCATTGATGGATACGAGGCAATAGTTACGTGGTGCTCACGATGATTTGTCCTGCTTGTTTGAAAGACCCCCCTTACCCCTAGTCCAACAATCCGTTTTAGCGCAAGGACAAGATTCCCAGAGAAGAATACGGTTGTGCCTCGACTGCTAAACATAGCCAATGAAGAGGATCGTCGACTGTCAGACATGGAGATCCCTCCTTTTCGATCCGCGTTTCTGTCAGGACTCTGCAGATCGCTAATTTGCCCAGCATGATTCTATGCGCACGCTGGACCGGTCGACAGGAATTTTTTAGCTGGTGTGCTGCCCTCGTTCTCCATATTTGACGACTGTCTCAGGCCCTGAAAGCTTCTATCATAACTTCAGAAGAATCGTATGATTTTTTCTCTTCTCTGTCCACAGTTAATATGCTTGTTCGTCGGATATTGATTGCGGCGGTTGTCGGCGCAGGGTTCACTGCTGTGGCTTCGGCTGCGCAATCTAGCCTGCCTCAGTGTGCGGTATGTCCCCGCAAATTGCTGGATTATTGAGAGTGGAGGACTAAGAGGAGTAGGTCTTGTGTCAGGAGCAGCTCCTCTCATCCAATGCGACAGCATGCAGCTCTTCGGATGGGCTGTGTCTTTGCGGCGACACAACATACCAGAATGCGCTCACAGCTTGCGCCTCCACAAAATGCACCGTCAGAGAATCATTACGTACGTTTAACGGCCATGATCTAGGGTCCAAGCTGACTTTAGAAGTTGCAAAACGCCTGAGCGACCGAGCATGCAATGTCCCCGTCCACCAGGGCCGGCCCGAGGTGGAAGCTGCCACACTCGTCCCTTTAATTCTTGCTTCAATCTTCTTCTTTAACCGAATGGCCGCCAAATCCATGGGCCTGGCTGGTGGTTGGGGTTCCGATGACTACACCATCATCGGCGCTTATGTACGATATCCTCTTCGAATAAGCTGGCAAGACCAGACTGACCATCTGCAGGTGCTAGCGGTAGCCATCTTTGCCGTCAACATTGCCAGTAAGCTATCCCAAAGATTGAGCGACCTCACAAGCTAATCTGGATTCAGTGATTCAAGTTGGCTTCGGCAAGAACATGTGGGATGTTATCCCCTCGGACAACATCACAGACGTGAACAAGGTAAGTGGCCGTTTCTCCCTTAGTCCGACTGCCGGCACACTCACATATCATCACAGCGCTTCTTCGCCTTCGTCGTCTTATACAAGACGCAGATCTCCCTAGCCAAAATTTCCGTCTGCCTCTTCCTTCTGCGAATCTTCCAGACCCCCACGTTCCGATACACAACGTACACAATCATCGGACTCAATGTTGCCATTGGAGTTACATGGGTACTTGTCGACTCGCTGCGATGCAACCCAGTCCATCTTGCATGGGACGGCTGGACAGGAGAGACGCCGGGAACATGCATCGATTTCACCAGCGCGACATTCGCCAATGCTTTTGTCAACATCGCCGTGGATACAGTCATGGTCCTGATGCCTGTTTATGAAATTTCGAAGCTCAACCTGTCTGGAAGAAAGAAGCTTGGTGTGGGTGTCATATTCGCCATGGGTCTAGTGTAAGTGTTCCTTGACATTATTGCGGATATCAACTAATCGACATACAGCTTGACGGTCGTCGCCATCCTCCGTGTCGTCGTCTTCTATCTCAATCGCTGGGGGAAGAATCCTACCGGTTAGTGCCTCATCCTACCATTCTCTCCAAATCATATTAACCCATATACTACAGTGGAACTGCAACCAATCGTCCACTGGTCCGTCATCGAAGTCAGCATCGCCGTTCTCTGCGCCTGTCTGCCCACCGGCCGCGCCATGCTCGCCCACTTTTTCCCCGGTCTGCTGGGTGGTTCCTCCGATAAATCGTACCCGCAGCCCACCACGCCCTCTGCAAGGGCTCTGGGCGCCAGTCGCCAAGGACAGAGGAGTCAGATTGCCAAGACGATGTCGTACTCGGTCGACTATCAGACCAAGCCTCAAAAGAGGGACTCGAACAGCTTTGTGCGGCTGGTGGAATTGGACCCTCTGAAGGATGGGGGTGTACATTAGCTCGTCAAAACCATTCAGGCTTGATTCATATGGTTCCTGGGTTTATTTCAATGTTTTGATTGACACAATTTATGTAACACAAAGTTTTCCGTTAATGCATACGAACAAGATACCTCGTCATCCAAGAGCAGGGCCTATACATAATGAAGCGACTGTAACACGTAAACAAAACTACTGAATTCCCAATTTTGAATGCAAGCTCTTGTCCTCCGCATGACAATTGATGATTTCAGATCGAGACGTTTGCCCATTACGGAAAGGCTGGACGAGAGCAATTGGTACTGGTCGTAGTCCTGTCGTCGATGGGAAATAAACTACAAAGCTTGGGCTGGCCCAGCCCATAGGACGAACCACATCTTCAGCTCCATCCCTTCAGCCTTGCCAGCGCAAACTAGGCGATCACAACCGAGCAATGCCTGCACCTATTCGACAGTACTAGCTCTGTCAAAGTATGGACTTTGCATCAGAAGATACAAATGGCGCGTTTCATTTCATTGACCTGTCAGCCTCTAGGATGTGGAGGCTGATATTCAAGACCCTGATTGCCGGTAACTACCACCAGAGGCGCCATGCAGCTCTCAGCGGCCGCTCACTTGCCATGTTCGGCCACAACATGTTATTTCTCGTATATGCGGCAGACTATTTGATAGTCGATACCAGCTGAGAGCCTGAGCAGGAGTTAAATGATGTTCCTTTCTCTGTGTTCGAGCTGGCTGGAAACAGCTCCCCTGGGTTCTGGTCATAGCCTTGTTGGCTGCGGGCCGATATTTGATCTAAACTCTTTAAATGAACATTATATCTCAGAATGGCAGTGACAAAGGGTCCATCAGATTATGTTCCAGTCCATTCACAATCACGAAGCAGTGCATGGAGTTTCATACCAGCCAACAACCATACACCACTACCAACCACCAAATGACCAAGAGAAGATACAATGGTCACTTTGGGACTGGTCCTAGGAGCTTGCAGCATGCGTTGTTGCCATACTCACGCTGATCGGCATCATCGCGGTCCTGTGCATCTATGACGGAAAGACGCAGCCAAACTGGCCAGCGGGGATCAACCTCAACGCCATCATCGCCCTGCTGACGACACTCATGAAAGCTGCCATGGCCACATATATCGCAGAAGCTCTGTCGCAACTCAAATAGTCTTAGTTCAAGGATACAAGCAAATTGAGTGATCTTTCTGCTCTTGATTCGGTCAGTCGTGGTCTGTGGAGTTCAGCACAGCTCCTTGTTCAGTACGTGCCTCAGTGCGCAAACTCTCTCTCATGATTATGTCTCCTGGCTAATAAACTGCAGTCACCTTGTTTCTCTCGGGACCTTTGTTTTAGTCTTTGCTGCGGTAATTGGTCCCTTCACCCAGCAGGTCATCGATGCCAGATCCCGTTCCATTACGCGCGAAGGAGGCACCGCCATCCGGGTATGCAACACAAGCATGTATGAAGACTGGGGGGCAGGTCAAGGGCCTGGGATGAATTTAGTGCCGTTGGAGACAACAGAGCGATATACAATGGCATCATGCAGACGTCGCTCCATGATTAATCCTCCGTGACCTGTCCAACAGGCAATTGCACTTTTGCGCCCTATCAATCGCTCGGCTTCTGCAGTAAATGCGGCGATTTGACCAGTGCACTCACACTGGCTAGCTCAGACGACGACACGTACTCGTACAACTACACGCTTCCCAGCGGGTCTTTTCTCCAATACCACGGAAGGGTCGCCGTATACCATCAGGGCAACGACGAACGTCAACCTCGTCCGCCTGGATACATCAGGCTTGCCGCTCATTCTCAATTTCTCGGCTATCACCACTCCGGGAAAGACCATGCCACCTCAAATGACGGCCATGAAATGTGCTTTCTACTTCTGCGTCTCGACACACCAAGCAATTGTCAGGCGAGGCGATCTGACGGAGGAAAGCTTTCCTACCACGACCATATCCAACCATTCCATCACTAATTTGGCCATGAATACCGTAGCATCGGCACAGCCTTGCCTCAACGACGGCCAGTGCAACTACGCCATCAGTTGGCTGGGAATCCTTGCAATGAGGAATACCCTCAGTTCCCTGGTTTCAGGGTTCGGAACACTGCCTGTATCGAATAGGCCATACTTCACCTCTGATATTCTGCGCGCACTCTACGGCGGGCCCGGCAACTTGACCCAGATCAATGGGACATTCGCCTCCATCGCCGCGGCGCTCACCGCAAATGCCAGGAATCGCGTTTGCCAGGGAACAGTGCCCGGCGACGCGTGGACGAATGTACCATACATCCGCATCCGCTGGCTGTGGATGTTGCTCCCCGTCGCATTGGTCGTCTTGAGCAAATTGTTCTCGTCGTCACGGTCATTCATACTCGCAACCAGTACATTTGGAAGTCCTCCCCGCTGGCGCTGCTGTGTGCGGACCTGCAAATTGATGGCTCGGTGCAGCCATTGAAGTCGGGCAAGGTAGATCCAGACCAGAAGAGATTGGATGAGAGGGCGAAATTGGCAAAGGTTCGACTGGAGGCAGGGCCTTGGGGGTCACTGGTGCATGGCCATGTAGTTCATGGGGCCTGAGTGCAAAAGGTTTCTGGCATAACACACTCTCTCTCCACCATGCAAGCGCAAGCTCTTCTCCAAATACCCCAATAATATTGTAAAGTCTGGTACAAAGGGATGCACTAATAAGCCTGGTTACTTGATTAACGATACCCCTGGACAATAGGCAACTTCAGCCAATCGCGGACTTGTACCCTAAACGAACACCCGAATACGCGTATAGCTGATGGCAGTCTGCCAGGATATTCCGCGGTCTAGTTGCTGCGCTAACAAGCGCTACCGACATTAGAGTGCCCAACTGCACTCTTTATTGGTTGCTATGTGTGGATGCATCGTGGTCCTCATTCCAGAAGAACTAGGTCCATCTCGTACATTCGTTCCTGGCTTGATTGCTATGATAGTGCATAAAGTGATCATAATGGCGCAAAGCTGAAACTGCTGATGCGATAATAATAGCCACCGGATTGCAGTGGATTGATTTAGGGATTGGTGGTGCCTGAATCGACGATCTGGCAAGGGCTTGTCGTAGTCATATAGTCGTACATATCGACGTCTGACCGTCGCTGTCTACCACAACTTCTACTTCTCATAATCAGATCTCAAAATGGAGCCGCGCAACGGAACCGCAGATGCGGCATCTGATGCCAGAATTGATTTTGCCTTTTACCGATATGATCCTAGCATGGCCGGAGCCGTGATCTTCACCATTCTATTCTCGACAACCACACTATGGCATGCCTTTCAGCTTATTCGGACACGAACCTGGTTTTTTATTCCATTCCTCATAGGAGGGATTTGTTAGTATCCCCTGGAAATATACCCAAACAATATTCAAAACTGATCATCCAGTCGAAACAATCGGATATGCTGGACGAGCCATGTCAAGCAGCCAGTCGCCCAATTGGACTCTCGGTCCCTACCTCATTCAGACGATGTTTCTACTCCTCGCTCCAGCCCTTCTGGCGGCGTCGGTCTACATGTTGCTCGGACGGATAATTCTGGTCCTGCGCGCGGAATCGCATGCGATGCTGAAGAAGAAGTGGTTGACCAAGGTCTTTGTGACTGGGGACGTCCTCTCGTTCTTGCTGCAGGGCACAGGTGACTAGTCTCTCCCTACATATCCTGGTCAGAAAGTTCAGTCTGACGCAAATGCTAGGTGGTGGCATTCAGAGTAGCGGCAGTCTCGACAGTATGAAGTTCGGGGAGCACATTATCGTCGCCGGTCTTTTCGTTCAGATACTCTTCTTCGGGTTTTTTATTATAACCGCCGGTAGTTTCGACATGAAGCTCAGAAAATATCCAATCCCGCGATGCTTCGAGGGTCACATACCATGGAGGAAACATCTCAATATACTATATGCGACGAGTGTTTTGATCCTCATCCGGTCCGTCTTCCGACTGATAGAGTATCTTCAGGGTAATGATGGGTTCTTGTTGCATCACGAGATCTTTCTGTACATTTTCGATGCGGTGTTGATCTTCATCGCCATGGCCATCTTCAATATCTGTCATCCCAGCGAGATTGCCAAGTATATGGATTCGAAAGAGGACGTCGAACTATCAGAGGATTATAGCAGTTTTGCCAGGTAATACGAGATGAGTCGCCAGCTCATCGTCGGGTTTGAACAGAAGCGTGATATCATTGAGAAGCCGTATCAGCAGTTGAAATGTGATGCGCTCAGATAAGGTGTTGTACATCGGACTTTGTTATCATTGTTGTGCATGGTGTATTTAACAGGCTGTTTAGTAGACTGCTTAATACAAGTCCTTGCAGTTTACGAGGTTGCCGAGAGGTTTGGTTATTATCCGGCGTGTCGAAAGCGAAAGCTAGTAGCATAGGGATAGCTCTGGCTATCAGAATGACTGCGAAGTACCAGCCGTTCTAGATGATGCCAATCATTCATTACTACTCGCACACTTTAACGGTTTGATGGTTTATGATCCATCAAGTTCGGAGAGCTCGGACTGTAGAAAAGATGATCATATACTCTCTATGTGATTCTCAATATCCTTCACGTTCCATTTGCGGCTGCGAATAGGCAACTCCACCCACCGTAGTTGTCAGCGTGCCATTTGCCTCGAAGATATTCTCCATAGCATCAATAGACAAGTGGAATCCAGAGGGGCCTGTACGCTTGGTAGCCTGCACTGCGCCTGTTTGAGTTAAATCCGAGTACCAATCCAGGTGATTCCACCAGGGATTTGATTCAGACAATGTCAGAGTCACCATTTCCCGGCCATGGATAAAATGCCGGCCGTCGTCGCTGTAGTTGGTGTAGTTTACAGCTACAGTCTTGAAGCCTTCGAATCCTGGGTAAGCCGAGAGATGCACTTGCGCTATGCCGTGCACTTTCCCATGAAGAGTATAATGTCCAGCTGTCAATTGGTATGGTGAAGGGGTGCTAGCGCCGGGAGAAAAAGCCGTCGCCCAGGGAATCATATCTGGTACTGTATAGACAGGCGCAGGAGCCGCTGGTTGTCGACTGGTGAGATGGGCCAGCATCATGCGGTATGTACGACCACCTGGGGCGGTGGAAACGGGACAAGGAAGAGGATTCCGACCACCGCATGCGGGAGGAATTACCAAAGATTGCCAGAAGGCGATTTTTGTACCATCCGGAGAGAAAGCAGGGTCTGCGCGCCCGTTCCAATTGGGATCGTTGACGCTGCCACTTGTGCCGTTACCAGCAGCATTGACCTGTTGGCCAAAGTATGATCCTCGATCTCCATATCTATCAATTAGAATTGGCTGGAAAAAGCGACGAGCACCGTTGTTACGGGTAGACGAAGCTGCAGTCATGGTGACCAGGTCGATCAGCGGCGGGACATATCGCATGCCTGACATCCACATCTGGCGGTTGGATCCCCGGGTATCCATGACCACGAACCATTGATTGTCATGAGAAAAGGCAATGGGATCTGCGTATTCCGGGTGGCTAGTCAAACGACGGACAGCACCGGATGTGACGTGTACTGCGAAGAGGTCAACATTGTTCGCCTCTCTTGTAGGACCAATGTATAGAATCTCGTCCCCAGCACCACTAAAGCCGCGCAGCTCGCCAACAACAATTGCCTCGTCATGTAATCTGAGCTGCGTTCCCTCCGCCATGATCGAGGAGCGGCCTTTTGGATCGACCAGAATGTTCACATCCATCAACTCATACCGAGGAACGACAGGACTTCCGGTCGTTGGGTTTGGGTTGAACTGCAAACGCCCAAAGAAGGCGTTCTGGCCTCCCTTGGTGAAAGAGCTCCAACCCATGTGGACATCATCTGGATGCATGCGCAATTCTCGCATACTTCCACTGGACCAGTAGATGGGATAGATATATGTTTTGTTTGGAGTACATTCGTCGCTCACAAGGAGAGCATCACCACAGTCGAGTATGTTGCGGCCCCATAAAGCTTGACGGCCATTTCGAGCAGCGTGAGGATAATCCCTTGCGGGGTCAAGGCTCTGTGCTTGCTCTGCAGGGACGCCACAGCTGAGGCACTTCCATGGATCCCCGTTAGGGAAGAGTGACCCATCAGTCTTGACAGCAATCAATTGCTGGCCGGTGTAAATGCTGGCCGGGTCCGGGGCCGTTGGCGCACCGATAAATTCGACATTCGCAAGAACGTGGTTCCCGTCGGGCGTAAAATCGCCAGCTTGAAAGGTGTCCGAGGTAATTCCTATGCAACCAGTCCCATGTGGGTTAATGCTCTTTGTACAGGCGCCACTGTGGTTGCTGGGGGCCACGGGAGGTAAAGGCAACTCAGTCACTTCAATCGGTTCTGGCTGAGGGGCTGGAGGTGCCTGTGCTTGAATGATAGGTATGGAAACTGCCAACGCAAATGCAATCCAATTCATATTTCGCCGTTTCTGGTTCGAGGTGCAGTTAGGTGCTTGCGCTGGGATATTCATGACGGGCGCGGAAACCGCCCTTTAGTAGTTCTGCTGATTATCTCCAGGCAGCCAGATACAATCCGATCCTCATCAGGGGTCATCATTACATGACGACAACTTGGTTGTGCTGCAGGAAATGTGATCATTTATGGGAGATCGTCCTCGTAATCGTATAGTTTACCCCTTTGAGGAAGAGACACGAGTACGATATGCGGGTATCTCTGGTTGTCTCAGGGTCGAGATACGCGTTTAGATAAGTCGCGATTTCCATCCATGGTTTATGGAGCTTTTTGGGAAGGTAACTGCCAAATGATCAGACGTCAGCAATTTCTTGTTGGTTGAAGTGTGATAAAACCGTGCATTTGTCCGTGATCTTCGGATGTAGAAGTGGCCGTACCTAGAATCTATTCCTCGGTCCTTTATTAATTGCTTCGCTCGGAGATATGCAGCGTAATCTGCACGCATCTTCCAATGTCCGGGCATTGTGCTGTTATGGATAGAAATGTGCTGAATGATGTCCAGAGGACTTTTTCACGGCAATCCTGTTGGATCTGGCTGGATTCAACGGTGCCATCCTGCTGCTGGGTATGTTTCTTCTAGAGGGCACATTTGTGAAAAGATAACAAGAGCCTTGAGGAAATGGACCTTCAAGAATTCATTATCAGATCATCAGTCATGTCGATGTCCTCTGTCGGAATGGGCTTTCCTTTCTTGATAGTTCATCTAGTCATGAGATAAAAATATGATCTCGAAGCAAACGGTTCATTCTTCGCTTCTTGTCATTCTTTTGAGTTGGGCATGACCAATTGGTATCAGAGGTCCATTACTTCTAGGGTTGTATCTCTGCTTCCCCTTGCCTTAGGTTACTTCCATCAACTATTCCCGTCCTTGGCACACTCGGTTGCTCAAATCAAGGAGTATTAGTATCCTGCTTCTAAACAAGAAGACTAGGTTCGAAAACATCGATAAGTTGCAAGACACTAGAGGCACAAGGGTCAGTGAATAGAATTGTGACTGGTTCTGATAGCGCTTCAGGGATGCTTTGCGATCAAGGGATGTCGTCAAGTCCATGTGCAGAATCACATAAGCGTCAATCTCTGACTGATCTGCTAAAAAACGTTCTTAGGACAACTCATAGACCATATATACTAGTAGACTGCTTTCACATAGTCCAAGGAAGCAAAACTAATAGGTAGAAACAGAAGAAATTGCTGCTATTGGCCGGCTAATGGCCTGTCCGCTAGTAATTAGAAGAGCGTAGTACTATGGGCTCAACAGGCAAAGCTATTATCACTTCAAAGCAGCAAATGATGTAGAAGAGATGGAAGCACGAGTCGTCTATCTTCTTCTATTCTAAAGTATTATGGCAGTTATGTTAAGCAATTTTGACACCAAATTGGTATCGATTGGTGGTCGGAGAAAAGTGGTCAACAATATATATTTCCCGTATCTCAACCTCACCATATCCATCAACATACAATATATCCTTTTCTACGTAACAGTTGTCATTATCACTAAGCAAAATCATGCTCTTAACGAGATTATGCAGTAAAATCGCATGGATGATTAAGATGCCTTATGATTGCTAAGATTGGGAGATCACGAATCTATACTGCATATCCAACTACAGTGGCCGACGGGAAGAACAACTTGGACCTCGCATTTTACAACCTACGACTTCTGGAGATTGTTTAGGATAGTGGCCGAGTTGAGCATTTCCTATTATAACAATGTCTTCACCTACTGATTTCAGGCTGTCTGTCAGCTGCGGATGTTGATTATTTCATGGTCAACAACATGGACTGGAACACCTCGATCACTTGGATTGCATCTATATAACGAAGTAGTCAATCAAGTGAATGCATAATGTAAATGAGCAAGTGCATGAAACACATTCATTAATCCTAGACAGCAGGAGAATGAGAATGCTGGCGTCACCACTTCCGCAGACATAAACAGAGGCCACTTCACGCATCCTCCGACGAGGCACAATGATGGGATCGTTGTTGTTTGTCATTTCTCCTGACATAAATGACATAACTGACGTAATTCAGTTTCCTTGCCAGGTCTGAATGCGTCCAGAGCCGCCAGGCATTCCTGGCGGGATCCACCGAACCCCTAGCAGTATCCCTTGAAAGTGAGTGCAAACAGCATCAACTACCAGAGCGCCCCCCAAAGAAGTCGATCGAGCAAGAAGAGAATATACAAAGTGGACAAGGTTGGTTCTATGTTGATTTGTATCTATATGCTTCTAGAATGACCAATGAGTAGGGCGGTTGACCGGACTGTATGCTCGCCACGACTTTGGCCTGACAGGTATCTCTAAGTAGAATTGGCAATCATCATCCTAGCAATCTGTCAAAGTCTCACATCGCCACTGCATACGACAATAAGACATCAACATTGGTATTTCCCACACAAGTAATAGTGGCTAGTTGAGAACAGGAACTCCACGTGGGACAACAACAAATAAACAACGGTAATGTTTCCGCAAACGCAGGGGCAAAAAGGGGGGTATCCCGATATGCGAGCCCCCGGAATGCCAAATCTGTTGTGTACATGACGTCTGGAACATGCGGGGAGTGTTGATCCTCCTGGAATTGGTTGAGAGCGGCTACTTGTTTACTTTGATCGACAAGTTGACTGCTGTCTGCCATCCGAAGAATGTAAAAGCAGTCGATAGTCCAGGGCTGTTTAGAGCTCG